ACATCATTAATAGATTTAAGCATTCCCTACATATTTCTCAATATATGTCAGCATCAAATTTTTACCGTTTTTGAGATATTTGACGTCAAAAAACAGTAAAAATAAGTTATTTTTCAACTTGCTTCAATTTGACCAAATGTTTTTTTGAAAATCATCTACAAGTTGCCAGGAGTTCAAATCTGACATTAGTTTTAGGATTTGACCTTTACTTGACCTTCAGTGACCTTCGAAAGGTCAAAAAAGTTGATTTTTCAAATTGATTTTTGGATGTAAATTTTGGTCAGCTTAATCACAAAAGACCTTACTGAGCTCTGAATAAGTAAAATTTTCAAGGTCAAAGGTCATCAAACTAGGTCACACAACTATGCTATCTAAGTTTCTCAAAGTTCGAGACTACAAATCAAAATAAATATTTTTGTTTGAAAGTCAGGATATAAATTCCTCTGAAGGTTCCAAACTGTGTGAGCATAGGACCGTGGGTCCTTCATTTAAATTGTCATAGAAAATTACTCAAATTACATAACTCTGTAAATCAAAGCTATTATAGGAGAAAACATTTCATTATTTTTAAATATGCCATTTGAAAGAAGGTACTGTAAGTCATTAGAGGGCTACTATGCAAGTCTCTTAAAATCTCATGAAAAACAAGATTTAGCGAGATTTCAAAAGCTGTATGGAAACTATACTATTCACTATATACAAAATTGAAATGTGTGTATCATGCCACCCCTGCAAAATAATTGACTCCCCCACTTGGTCTCTGTAGAAGCATCCAGGGTCGTTCAATAATAATATACATGTAAGACATATATACAAGGTAGGCCAAAAAAACATTACCCAAGTTTAAAAATGAATGATTCATATGATATATGTTAAACCATGCCATGCATTATTTATCATTTTAAAGATAAATCATTTCCTAACAAAATGACACCATCCAATTGAAAAACATTTGTTTTCTTGTGGAGTTAGATACTAAAACTGACAAGAGGTGCCGTGAGCGACCAAAAATCGAAAAATGAAAATTCCGGCCCAAATTTTCCTCCATATTGCAGTAGACAGCTGCACTCAATACTGCAATATACGTGACTGAATCATCATAAATTTATTTAGAGTAATACATAATTGATAATTTATTAAAAATATATAAGTATTAATGCTGAATTTTGCAAGTTATATTCGGATAAATGTAGCTCTTTTGGAAGTGCCAAAGTTCCATTTTCCACAATTTGGACAGCCTCAGTTAATAATAATTTTTTTCTGCTACCCCTGGTGTCGATTTTAGCCTCTAGCTCCACAAGCAAACAATGGGTTTTCAATCAGAGGGTGTCTATTGTTTATGATTTATCTTTAAAATGATACAATACATGGCATGGTTTAATGTTATATCATATGCTATTCATTCTTGTTTTTTTGGCCCACCCTGTATATACGAGGGTTGTCCCAGAAGTAATGCACTATATGCTCTAACTATATCAATAATTGATATTTTTCCATGAAATTTTCAGTAAATGTTCCTCAAAGACATTTTGATTATTCTACAAATTTTCATGTTGACTGATAAAACTATATTGATGTTATAATAAAATCAAGTTGGTGAGTTTGGGTAGGGTGGGGCAGGTTATGCAGTCACGTCAAAATGAATAAAAAATTAAAAATATGAAATAATTAATCAACAAATACCATTTTGTGTAGGTATAAGAATTAGTATGCTCAAAAATACATTTTAAGATACTAAATTACATACATCCAGTCATCTCTTTTAAATCTCTTCTGCCACCTCATAAGTGTAGTTCTATCTGGTATATACTCCTTTTATACTTTCTTCATGGTAGCATCAGTTATGCGTGGCTGTGGCTCCAAATGAAGTAAGAAATAAGGCCACCAAACACAAGGCCTTCTGTTATCAGGTAAGGATTGCAGCCATTTTGCAATTTCTTGACTGCGACTGTATTTGAATTTGTGACTATTGAACTGTGGTATTATGACATGACAGTGCTAAATGTCATTATTTGTACTTGGTTAACATCATGCTGAATAAATTTAACAATTTCCGAAACATTTTGATCATTTAAAAGAAAGAATTATTAATAAAGAAACACTTTGGATCATTTCATAATTAGAAAAATTGGTACCTGCCCTGCCCACCCCTATCCCCATGTTGCTATAGTAACCATATTAAGACTTAATATTAGTATTTGATGCTGAAACTTCAGGATATAATAGATAAAACTTCAATTGTAATATACACAAAATTTCAGCTGAATTGAAGAATATTAGAATTAGAATAAAGTTAGAGCATATAGTGCATTACTTCTGGGACAATCCTCGTATGATAATAAAACTATAGGTATCACCCCCATCATAGTGAATGTGTAGGTCTTTCAAATCACCCCCTCAACCACATCTACTGTGTATTGAAATCTTGCAGTTGAAGATAAGCTAGTGATTATTTAGATGAAAATAACATGATCCAGTTTGTCTCAAGTGATTAAATGGACTTCCTCACTCATTGTTAGTTGAGAACAAACTCTTACTCAAGAGACAAGAAAATGAAATGAAATTTTGAAAAATGGCCGTCATTATGGCCACCATTTTAACGTATTTTGCTATAACTCGAAAACTAGTGGATTTTGTTCATATTTGGTATGTGAATACTATAAGCAGGCACACTGTCTAATGACACTTTTGGTAGAAGGTGGGCATTTTTCAAATTAAAAATTGAAAAGTAGTGGAGCGATGTTGTTCATATTTGGTTTGTGAATACTATAAGCATGGCTTACTGTCTAATGACACTTTTGGAAGAAGGCGCCCATTTTGAAAAATGGCCACCATTTTAACATATTTTACTATAACTTGAAAAGTAGTGGAGTGATTTTGTTCATATTTGGTATGTGAATACTATAAGCATGGCACACTGTCTAATGACACTTTTGGTAGAAGGTGGCCATTTTGAAAAAGTTGCTACCATTTTTGCTATATATTTCGTTTGTAAATATGCCATGGTCCCCATGTTAAAACTGTATCAAAATTGGACATCTTATATTTATGTGATATCTCTAACACATAGAATAGCGTTTAGCAGAATACATACACAATTTGTGTGATTTCATACACAGTTTGTTCGAGTTTGCACACTCTATGTTTGTAAAATCACACTTGTACATGTGTATTTGTGTATGCATTGTTTAAAAATGACATCGAACAGGATACACAAGTCGAACAAATGCTTATGCGGCTCGCACAAACGTTTTTCCCTTCACAAACCATGATGTGCCGATCATACACCTGATGTAACATAGATTGGTTTCTATATGTTCGAGATTTTGTTCGCGATGTTTTTGGAAATCTCGCGTGACTTTTGACTTTCTGTTGAGGGAAGAGGAGGCATGATTCAGTTGATGACATACGATTTCCTCCTTCACGCACCTCCTCTTGTTGAAAACTTACCCTCTATCTTGGTTTTCAAAGTTTTCAAATTCATAAACATTTCAGACAGAAGTGTGAATAAGATTGAATATACATTGTATTCATGCTCTACATACCCTTATAATAACGTTGACCAAATTTCATGGTAGTATCACCATTTAAGTTGTAATTCTCAATTTTTTAAAAGAAATTAATACCTCCCACGTGTTTTCTTTTTCCACCATCTTGAAATTAAATGTAAGGGGTTTGTATTTCTAAATCATGGGCCTAATTTATGACTAATTAACATTATAAATCATCCTATATGATAAATATCAACCAAAAATCTACTTCAGAACAAAAAAGTTTTAATTTACCACTTACTATCACCCTCAAACATTTTCATATCTTAATTATAATCAGCCGTTCGCAAAGTTACGAAGGGGTCAGAGGTGCTTTTAAATCTACGAACGAAAGCTAGCATGACATCACTATTTTCGTAATTTTATGAATCGTTTGTTACTGTATGAATCTTACGAAATAAATAAATAATAGTACCCAGCGTATACGAGGGTATATCATAAAGTTCTCATAATATCTCTCTAATTTTTCTATTTTTCAATATGTTCTAATGGAATTTTCATGAAATCTGCAGTATAGAATACTTTATTAATCATCAAAAAATATTTGGTATAACAGAAATATTAGATAAGTAATGGTTGCCATAGAAACTGGAAATCAAGGCACCCGGGGCAAATAAAAATAATTGAGAAAATTAGCTTAATTAACCATGTTTACATACATAGTAAACTCTCATAAATTATCAAACACATTAAAATGTTATCTTGAATATGTTGATAAATGTTTTTACTATAAAATAAATTAATCAAGTGAATTGTGTAATGTCATAGGGCATGCTTACATGCTTCATCAGATGTGATGCCAGACTCTGTGAACCAAAGGCCAAAGCTTAATGATCAGAAATGACTGAGTAAGATAATGCATAGATGCAGATATCATCAGAAAAGTAAAGTGCATACTGACAAAAAGTTTAGTTAAGTTCGAGTATCCTTTGCTCATACTAAAGATGATCTAAAACAAATATGTTGCAAAGATATCAATAAAATTACCCCCCTATTTGTGGTCTAAACATATTTAAGGGGGAAAAGGGGGGAAATCGACTTTCCTTGGAATATTTGACAAAACAGTTATAGTGTCTAACATCACTTCTAATGAAGCATTACAATCATCCATTATGAGATCACAAAATTCACATGACCATTATAATTGTTCAAAACAGTGAAGTATTTAACAATTTGATGGGTTTCATAGCTTATTTGATAACTTATTATGCATTTAAACATGGTTAGTTTGAGCTATTCTTGTACATTTTTTTATTTGCCCCGGGTGCCTCGATTTCCGGTTACTATGGCAACAATTTCCTAAATAATATTTCTGTGATAAATTAATACAGCATTGTATACTACACATTCTGTAAAAAATTCATCAGAATGTATTGAAAAATAAAAGAATTAGAGAGATATTATGAGAACTTTATGATATACCCTCGTATAATATTGCTTTTCTTCCAGATGGCTGACAAACATGCTCAACCTCAAAGCTCCCTTGTTACCATCAAGAACAACTATATCTTACAGAAGTTAGAGTCTATAAGAAATGATGAGGCATACAGAGACTTAACAATTGTATGCAAATATGGTGCTATTCTCCGGGCACATAAATTGATAGTTGCAAAGTACAGCTCTGTATTAAAGAATATGATTAATTCCAAACGGAAAACAGCAGCAGTACGCATAGATTTGAATGACTTGGATTCAGAACAGATATGGGAACCCTGGATGGTGGAAATAGTTTTGGACTTTATGTATGGCAAGGTGATTGAGCTAGCAATGGCTGATTTAAAGCCTGTTATTGAAGTTGCTGTGAAGTTGAATGTTCCAGAATTTCTACTAGCTTGTCAAGGTAATAAAGTTCATTCCAAAATTAAAAGGTGCAATCCATCATAAAAGAAATGACAAGATATCAAATAAAGTTAAAAAATATACAGGGTGGTCCAAAAAAAGTGAACCCCTGCAACAGGCTGTATTTTCTTTAATACTTGCATGAATTGCCTCATATTATCACATGTTGTAGAGAAAGGTCTAAAATTTTTGTTGATGTCATAATTTCTTCTCATTCTTAAATTTTCAAGAAATTACAAGACTTAAACGAACATGCCTGGAAATTAGATTGTGCAAATTTTTACCAACGCAATTCATGGAAATTGTTGAAACATGTTAGGTATTCTTAAAACAGCTTTCGGTTAGAGATACAAGTTTAAAACCCTACCATATGACAAATGGGATACTATTTGAGTAGAAAACACATTTCACACTTTCATTGATCATTTTGAAACAGTTTTTAAGTTCAACAGTTAAGGGGTATGTTACCTACACAAATGGATAGAGGGGGGCAAAGTTGCCCCCTGTGACCAGGAGTCAGAGAAGCCCTTCATCAAATATCTCTAGAAAATCAAAGGAAAATCTAATATTTATTGTTTTGAGCCATAATTCACAAGAATTGATCCATGATTAATGAAGATATTGACATTTCAAGATCATATAGGGGTATGTTGCGATTTCGCTGGGAAAAATTTCCGTCTGTGGAAACTTAGAACATTTATTTTGATCACAATATCTTTGCAACTAACAGAGGTAGGATGCTAGTTTTCACGCCATAATGTCGGCGATTCAAAACCAAACAAAGTCAGAAAATAATAGCTCTTTAAGACTGCAGCTAAAAAACTTGTCAGGGGAAGGGTGTTGATGGGTTGAAGAATCGCGGATGTTGAAAATCTCATTTTATCCATTTTCAGTAATATTTGGTTAGGGCTTATAATTTCTGCAAATTTCAAGACTAACAAAAATGTATGGTACCAACAAAAAATTTAGACCTTCCTCTACAACATGTGAAAATATGAAAGGATTCCTGAAGGTAATAAGGAAAATATGGCCTGTTGCAGGGGTTCACTTTTTTTTGGACCACCCTGTATATTTTGATCTCGTGGAAAATATCATAGTTTGGCAAATTTTCACTAAATCATCAAATACATCTTTCTAGAAACCATCAAATATGCCTATTATTGTTTATGCTGTATAAATTGTAGTTTCAACTATATTGTAACTTGATGGCATTATGAATCTGTAGTTTCAACTATATTGTAACTTGATGGCATTATGAATCTGTAGTTTCAACTATATTGTAACTTGATGGCATTATGAATCTGTAGTTTCAACTATATTGTAACTTGATGGCATTATGAATCTGTAGTTTCAACTATATTGTAACTTGATGGCATTATGAATCTGTAGTTACAACTGAAGGTTTTGATCAGACTTGTTCATATTAGTTGTAAAATGGAATTGATGAAGTTGTTTAACTACATGTATTCTACAGATATACTGAGTATGAATGATATGCTACAGTCTGAGAAGAATGACACAGAAAATGCTGCTTCTCCTCCAAAATCCATTAAAATTGAACCACTCGAGGAAGTCAGTCAAGAAATATCATCTACCACAAATAAAAGTGAGACTTTCAACTTCATGCATAGTGTGACACAATATTTTTATATTTAATAGTTATTTGCATACAGCAATGATATTTAGACTATTTATAAGCTTATCAGCTTTAGATTTCAAATTGATTTAGATAATCTCTCATTTTGATTAAACAGGTAAAGGCATCAATGAATCATTGAATCGTCAACTGGGATCAACGTTGGAATTACTACATGATCACAATCCACTTGGAGATAACCAAACTGGTCACAACAACAGGTCAAAGGACAATAAGAACAGTGAAGGCATTGAGAATGAAGAAGGTGAAAATGATGAAGATATAACAAATGATGAAAATGAGGCTGATGATGAAGATGACAATACATTTGAGGTGCCTATTGAACAGCCACAGAAAAAAATAGTGAAAACATCTCGTGAGTATATTTCATAATTTTGGGCTCTTAATTAGGTGTGCCTTGGATGATGAAGGTCCTACGATGTAAATCTAGATGTAAATGTGTTTCTGGATTCAGCTACTATAGTAATAAACAATTATTTGTAAGGCATTTAACCTTGTCATTTTTATCGTACCTATTAAAGGTACGATATTGTCTACAGCTTGACGGGCAGGCGGCGGGCGGGTGGGCGGGCGGTGGGCGGGTGGGCGTGCGGCGTCTCACTTTTCAGCTTGTCTACAGGTTTCCAGCCAAACCATTTGACAGATTCATCTGAAATTTTCAGGAATGTTTCTACGTATCAAAGTTAAGAATTGATTAGTTTTTGGGCATTCTGGGTAAATTTCAAGGTGGCCAATTTGGATTTTCCGTCCTAAAATCTTCACTTTCAAGACTTGTCTACAGGTTTCCAGCCAAACCATTTGACGGATTCATCTGAAATTTTCAGGAATGTTTCTATGTATCAAAGTTAAGAACTGATTAGTTTTTGGGCATTCTGGGTAAATTTTAAGGTGGCCATTTTGGATTTTCCGTCCTAAAATCTTCACTTTCAAGACTTGTCTACAGGTTTCCAGCCAAACCATTTGACGGATTCATCTGAAATTTTCAGGGATGTTTCTACGTATCAAAGTTAAGAACTGATTAGTTTTTGGGCATTCTGGGTAAATTTTAAGGTGGCCATTTTGGATTTTCCGTCCTAAATTCTTCACTGTCACACTGCTGTGATTTAGGTACAATATTGTTCACGTCTGTGCCTTGTTTAATTCTGTCACGTTCATGTCCCCGGTATATAATGACTAAACAATTGTCTTCCTAGGTGAAGTTTGCAAATTCTGTGGAGAGGAATCTGCCTCAAAAGCTGAGTTAGCAGACCATTTATTGGAAAAACATGATCTATCTGCCTGTCCAACATGTTTGAAAATGTTTGAAAACCAAACATATTTGGAGAAACATATAGAAACCCATACAAAGCCTGTAACAAATAGATCTGCAAGAAAGAAAGCTACGCTTAGTGCTTTACGAGTTATAAGTCTGATTGAGAAAGGTAAAAAACTTCAAATGCCAAGCCATGTGGGAATTACCTGACTTGCCATACCAGACCAATATTGAACTGATTAGTGATGGTGGCTCTGCAAGAAGCATCAACTTCATGTCTATATCAATTGATATAATATCTGCTCAAATTAAGTTCAATTTATTATTCACCTCATGTTGTCAAATATCTTGGGATTTCTGGCCGAAAAGTGGATTTTAATGTTCTCAAATAAGTTATGTCCTGAGGCTTATATAATTTGTTCACCTTATAAATAAATAGATTATTCATTTTAAATCAAAACAAATTGTTCAGCTATGTTTGACCACCCTATGAATACTAATATTTTGATTTGCAGCTTATAATTGCTCAGAATGTGATGCACAACTATCTTCTTATGGGGAACTTGCGATCCATTTGAATGAGGCCCATGATCTTATAGCTTGTAACATTTGTGCAAAGGTGTTTAGCAGTGTCGGACATCTAGGCAGGCATAAAGTTCTACATTCTGGTAATTTTTTATCTTCTCTTATTATAAAATTAGCCTTGAATCCAGGCCTATACCCCCAGCCTGTGCCGGAAAGGAAATGGGGGGGGGGGGCAATGTAAAGGGGGTCTTGTCACAAAACTATAAAATAATGGCTCAAGAATTCAGGAATGAAATATATACATATACTAAAACCAAATGACAAACAGTATTCGTAAACATATCAATTTGATGTAACTACCTGAATTTCAGAAAAGATCTTGGTTGCTGGCCCAAATGGACTTTTTCTTTACAACTGTCACCATTGCCAAGATGTCAATGACAAACTTCCTGATGGCCATTCCAGATCTGATACAACATTCCAGAATATCTCAGAGTTTTACAGTCATCAGAACAATGCACATGGAGGACTGAAGTGCCGCACGTGTTCTGCCAAAAAAGCGAAACTCATAAGGCTCTGTGACCACATTCTGCGAATGCATATCAAGGAAAAGTTGTTTGAGTGTGATGAATGTGATCAACATTTTCCTACTTTGGAATCACGGAGTAAGCATAAATTGTATCGTAAAGAGGGCCACTGCCGTGTTCGTTCAATGGGATCAATGTGTGAACATTGTGGGAGGAGTTTTAAGTCTCGGAAAGGCCTAGATGTCCACATGGAGGAAAAACATGCACCAACAAAAGATTTTACATGTCCGGAATGTAATAAATCCTTCAGCAGTGAAACACTTTGTCAAACTCACATTAAGACAAGACATGGTGAACGGAGTTTTATGTGCGATGAATGTGGTAAATCATTTTACCGACAGGGACTTTTAAATTGTCATATCGCAACAGTACATAAGCCAGAAGTTCTCAAAACAAACTGTGAACACTGTAAGACTGAATTTCCAAACAAACGACTTCGATTGAAACACATACGCCGTACTCCTGAATGTCGTAAAGCCCTTAACATGTATAACATCCAATGTCCGATCTGTGAGAAAGAGTTTTGTCGCCAAGTTGATATTGACATGCATATGGATAAAGTCCATTCAGGGGAGGAGTTTGTATGCGATGAATGTGGCCGAAAATATGAAACAATAGTAAAGTTAAAGAAACACAAGAAAGAGCACTTAAGACTGCACGAGTGCTCAGTATGTAGCAAGAGGTTTGGAGACAGAAAGCACTTGGTAGACCATGCAAGGATTCACACTGGGGTAAGACCATACAAGTGCCTAGATTGTGGGAAGGCATTTACACAGAGTGCTAGTTTATACAAACACAAGCAATCCCTTAACCATAAGCAAGGAGTAGAAAAGAATCAAAGCAATACAGGTAATGATCCAACTATACCTGATGCTGAAGATGAAATAAGTATAGTCATACCTGCCCAACATGATAAAAGACCAGGGCCACAGCTTGTTCAATTTGTGCAGCTTTTATCTGCGACAGAGCACGAGTTTAAATGAGGAAAGCATCAACCAGGCTTTGTGAATAAAGCTTACAATTTATTATTCTTAGAGGATTATCAGTTAAACTCTGGGATATGCTAAAATGACTGATGTTACCTTGATAACCCCGAAATATTTTGAATTCATAAGAGTAAGCAACTTACACAATCAATAGACTTGGACATAAACCTTCTTTTCTGGAATTATCGCAGCTTGAAAAAAATGTTTATGTCACAAAAATGAATTGCTTTTTCAAAGTGAAAAATGTGCAAGTAGTGTGGTAAGGAGGGTCTGTGTCCAAGTCTATTAATTGTCTAAAGTTAAATATCGTTATCAAAAATAATTCTGGGTTATTTAAGATGAAAATTATGGCTATTGACGCTAAACATATTTATCATGCCTTTTTAGTTTATTATTATTCTATACAAGGGGTCATTATTAGGTTCTCACATATATATCATTATTTTGTGATGTTCCAATATACAGGGTGGTCAAAAAAATGGAAACCCTGAATTTTCCTCATATCTTTGTCATTTTGGGTAATTATTCCCTGAAATTTGACACATATGTACAACATTCAATTTCCTACCAGTTAACCATATTTCATGACCATCAGATTGATAGTCACAATGGTACAGCACTTTGAACAAGATGCCCCAGTGTGGCCACCATCGCGCTATTGGCAAATCTGAACAGGTTGTCAATGATCTGACTACATTTTTCAGCAAGTAGGCCCGAATGACATGGATGATCTGCTTTTTGAGGTCTGCAGTTGTCCTGGGGTTATTCTCGTACACTCTTATTTTGTGTATCACCACAGGTTGAAGTTAGGTAGGGACATTTTGGATGATAGGTGCAGGTTTGCCGAAGGTGCAATATTGGCCAATGGAGCAAGTTGTTTAAAGTACTGTAACATTGTGACTATCAATTTGATGGTCATGAAATATGGTAGGCCAGTAGGAAATTGAATGATGAACAAATGTGCTGAATATCAGGGAGTAATTTCTTAAAATGACAAAGATATGAGGGAAATGGTGACAGGGTTTCCATTTTTTTGACCACCCTGTATTTTAATGACATTTTCACAGAATGTGCAACATGTAAGGATTTATCAGTCCAGCAAAATATTTAAAATAGTCAATAAGCAAATTTAAGGGAGAAAGGGAACATGAAAAAAATCAGGAGAAATACCCTTATTACCCTTATATTCAACAATTTTGATTTGAAAAGAAATCTCAATTTGAGCCAATGAATAGCGCAATTTGAATTGTTAAAATGAGACACAATTACCCTATTCTTGTGCTTCTTATTTGATGCTTAAATTAAAATTAAGTAAAACTGTAAACTTAAGTATGCATGTATTTGTTATAATTATGATGAAAGTTATTAAATCAACTGAAAAATGTTATGGTTTAGTTTTAAAATTAAATTATTATATATTTCAACAATTTACAGTACGAATATTGAATACCATCTGCACAATACAAGTTAAGATTCCACATAGACTAAATATCTAATACAAGTTAAGATTCCACATAGACTAAATATCTAATATATCACATTTTTGTCACAGAACAATTTTCATCAGCATTGGATTATAATAAAATTGTAAACCATGTACAGTGTATGACATTCCTAAACACCAGTTATCGGTTTAATGTGTACATGGGTTTCACCTCCACTTCTATCCAATAGTATGCAATACATGTACAGTATACAATACATGTACAGTATACAATACATCATACAGTTTAAATGTATGACACAACAATTTTACAATACAATGTAGGTACATGTATATTATAATGTTTCATGTACATTTCATTATGGGAGAAAGCGAGTACTTTATATATAAAGTTAGGTTTTCAGAACTTCATCATTAATAAATTAAAAAAATGTTACTACTAGATATAGTTTTCAAACAGTAAGGTCGAGTTACTAAAGGATTTATTTGCCTCAAAAATGCAAAAATGTTGGTTTAACAAACTAATTTTCATGAGACATGTGAATATAAACTGTTGCTACATTTGTAAACAATACATTGTTGCTACATTTGAAAACAATACATTGTTGCTACATTTGTAAACAATACATTGTTGCTACATTTGTAAACAATACATTGTTGCTACATTTGTAAACAATACATTGTTGCTACATTTGTAAACAATACATTGTTGCTACATTTGTAAACAACAATACATTGTTGCTACATTTGTAAACAACAATACATTGTTGCTACGTTTGTAAACAACAATACATTGTTGCTACATTTGTAAACAATACATTGTTGCTACATTTGTAAACAATACATTGTTGCTACATTTGTAAACAATACACTGTTGCTACATTTGTAAACAATACATTGTTGCTACATTTGTAAACAATACATTGTTGCTACATTTGTAAACAATACATTGTTGCTACATTTGTAAACAATACATTGTTGCTACATTTGTAAACAACACACTGTTGCTACATTTGTAAACAATACATTGTTGCTACATTTGTAAACAATACATTGTTGCTACATTTGTAAACAATACATTGTTGCTACATTTGTAAACAATACATTGTTGCTACATTTGTAAACAATACATTTCTGTTACAATTGTAAACAATACATTTTTATACTTTATGCCTTAAAAGTACAGTTTAGTGAGGCATCATGTTGTGTTTAAGGCTATGGGAAGTTTATTTTATGCAAACATCAAAACAAAAATTGAAAAGAGTGCAAGAAGAACAAACACAAACTAAGAAACTGCAAAACACAAAATTATATTCCTATTTGCCTATGTATCTACCCATGGACCCAATGTAAATGTCTGGAGTTATTTACATAGGCATATACACTTTGTCTAAATAGTGTAATGTACAATTTTAATTCTATGATGTTCATTTATACAAATAAATAATGTTATTCTACACATTTTTACTGTTCAATATAATATACAATATACAGTTAGGAGACATGGTGGCCAATTCAAGTTTGTATGTGGTAGAGAAATTCAAGATATCAGTCTGTTCAAAAATGCTTTAAAAGAATTGGTATGAAACATGCAGAATCAGAGTGACAATGCAAATAAGTTGAGAGGGTTAAGAACACATTAGTACGTCAATTGTAGTTTTTTTGCAGTTTCATCACCCCTTTAACTCTGTTTTTAATGTGTGTTTCGGTAAATACTCCAATACACAAAGTAAACTACATATACAGATAGTTCTGCACCACATTATACCACAACAAAACAGTAATATGTTTGAATGGAATGAGACACATCACAGGATTACTTGCTCAAAAGCAGTCACACAAATGCTTTGTAATCATTAAATGCATTTGTAAGCATCACACAAATGCTTTGTAATCATTAAATGCATTTGTAAGCATCACACAAATGCTTTGTAATCATTAAATGCATTTGTAAGCATCACACAAATGCTTCGCAATCATTAAATGCATTTGTAAGCATCACACAAATGCTTCGCAATCATTAAATGCATTTGTAAGCATCACACAAATGCTTTGTAATCATTAAATGCATTTGTAAGCATCACACAAATGCTTTGTAATCATTAAATGCATTTGTAAGCATCACACAAATGCTTCCTAATCATTAAATGCATTTGTAAGCATCACACAAATGCTTTGTAATCATTACACCCATTTGTAAGCATCACACAAATGCTTTGTAATCCAATTACTGAACCCCGGTAGCATGTTTCACCCCATTGACTACAGTATATAATAATTCCCATTAAATATAAGAAAACATAAATCTGGACAGCATCTCAACAATCCTTACAACTTTTCAAGAATCAATATCCAATTGCAATGGTATCCTAGAGTGAATTAGCTGGCTAGCTTTCTCCAAAAGTCAATTCACTCCTAGTTTATTATCTTGTATTTTTTATTATGTGAAGAGTTGCATTCTGAAGTCATTTGCAGACAAGTCTCAGTATAAGTGTACTTGGAAATAAATTATAGCATAATGTAGTGGAAATGTCTCTCTGTTTAAAGCAAAATCGATGTTTAGCCTGATCTGATGAATATCTTGATGAAGAGAATTGAAGAGAAGGATATGTTTCCAACTAAACTCTTTACTGCGATGTTGGTTCACTCATCAACTCATCTGCACTTCCCTAAAAATAATAAAAAAGTAATGAGACAATTGGTAGTTTTACATGGACCTGATCATTATATATTTGATACCTTAAAGGCTTAAAATAATTACTAAACTACTCTATCATTTTTCAGTTTGTCATTTCATCAAATATATGACAGCATTGAAGAGTTATGTTCCACAATCATGAGAAGGTGATGAGTTATCAAAAGCCCACTCTCTTATACATTATGCCAAGATTTGCTTTAAGCCTACTCTCTTATACATTATGCCAAGATATGCTTTAAGCCTACTGTCTTATACATTATGCCAAGATTTGCTTTAAGCCTACTCTCTTATACATTATGCGAAGATATGCTTTAAGCCTACTGTCTTATACATTATGCCAAGATTTGCTTTAAGCCTACTCTCTTATACATTATGCCAAGATATGCTTTAAGCCCACTCTCTTATACATTATGCCAAGATTTGCTTTAAGCCTACTCTCTTATACATTATGCCAAGATATGCTTTAAGCCTACTGTCTTATACATTATGCTAAGATATGCTTTAAGCCTACTCTCTTATACATTATGCCAAGATATGGTTTAAGCCTACTCTCTTATACAATATGCCAAGATATGCTTTAAGCCTACTCTCGTATACATTATGCCAAGATATGCTTTAAGCCTACTGTCTTATACATTAAGTCAAGATATGCTTTAAGCCTACTCTCTTATACATTATGCCAAGATATGCTTTAAGCCTACTCTCTTATACATTATGCCAAGATATGCTTTAAGCCTACTCTCTTATACATTATGTCAAGATATGCTTTAAGCCTACTCTTTTATACATTATGCCAAGATATGCTTTAAGCCTACTGTCTTATACATTATGCCAAGATATGCTTTAAGCCTATTCTCTTATACATTATGCCAAGATATGCTTTAAGCCTACTCTCTTATACATTATGCCAAGATATGCTTTAAGCCTACTGTCTTATACATTATGCCAAGATATGCTTTAAGCCTACTCTCTTATACATTTTGCCAAGATATGCTTTAAGCCTACTCTCTTATACATTATGTCAAGATATGCTTAAGCCTACTCTCTTATACATTATGCCAAGATATGCTTTAAGCCTTCTGTCTTATACATTATGTCAACATATGCTTTAAGCCTACTCTCTTATACATTATGCCAAGTATGCTTTAAGCCTACTCTCTTATACATTATGCCAAGATATGCTTTAAGCCTACTGTCTTATACATTATGCCAAGATATGCTTTAAGCCTACTGTCTTATACATTATGCCAAGATATGCTTTAAGCCTACTCTCTTATACATTATGCCAAGATATGCTTTAAGCCTACTCTCTTATACATTATGCCAAGATATGCTTTAAGCCTACTGTCTTATACATTATGCCAAGATATGCTTTAAGCCTACTCATTATACATCATGCCAAGATATGCTTTAAGCCTACTGTCTTATACATTATGCCAAGATATGCTTTAAGCCTACTGTCTTATACATTATGCCAAGATATGCTTTAAGCCTACTCTCTTATACATTATGCCAAGATATGCTTTAAGCCTACTGTCTTATACATTATGCCAAGATATGCTTTAAGCCTACTGTCTTATACATTATGCCAAGATATGCTTTAAGCCTACTGTCTTATACATTATGCCAAGATATGCTTTAAGCCTACTCTCTTATACATTATGTCAAGATATGCTTTAAGCCTACTCTCTTATACATTATGCCAAGTATGCTTTAAGCCTACTCTCTTATACATCATGCCAAGATATGCTTTAAGCCTACTGTCTTATACATTATGCCAAGATATGCTTTAAGCCTACTGTCTTATACATTATGTCAAGATTTGCTTTAAGCCTACTGTCTTATACATTATGCTAAGATATGCTTTCAGTCTACCTGTGGAGATATAATAGGCATAGGTCCTCCTTGTATGATGTCAGGATTCAATAGAATGGGAACAGTAGGTGAGTCAACACCATGTACACTTGGTAGTTTACTGGGGGTGTCAGGCAGAGGGGGGTGAAGAATGTACTGCTGCTGAGGGGCTGTCACCTCCTGGTTTAGAGGGCTCTCTGGACGCGACGAGTCAGAATCTAGAAATATTGATTTCAAAATAGATTATAAACTCATGTGATATTATAGAGTAGCCATAACATTTTCAAATCAAATTTCGCCGACTTTTCATTGAAATTAAAGCATGAAATCCCCTGATCAACCACATTGGTTTTACTTCGGTAACCATTTTCAATGAATTACCATGTGGTAATATTTTGCCACGTTAATGGTAATCACTTAATTTTCCCACTATCGTTAAATATAAGATTTTCAGTGTCATCCTTCTGCACACAGAAGGTCACTTACCATCAGGCATGCCTATTTCAATGACAGTGTCAGGTGATTCAGGCCTTGCTGGAGAGACCACCTGGGTGTTAACTACTGGCTTCACAACAGGGGGAGGGAGAGCCTGGGTACTCCCAGAGGGCTGTGTTGTCTGGGCTGGTGTATCTGGACTTTCTAAAGAACTGGGATCTTCAACTGTACCTGGTTGCATCTTACGTGTGTCTAAAACATGAACAACAACATTTAACTCCTATGTCATTCTGAAATCAAGGGTTCATCAATATGGATTGAATGTTGTCCACCATCTTGAATGATACTACTCTAGTTTGGAGTTAGTATTATCCTCTTGTAGACCAGTGCATGTTACCCTGTAGAATGATTGATGAGGCTGAATATCCCCACATATTTTAAGGAATGATGGGGCCTGAATACCCAAATAGATTCATCCGTGGAATGGTGGGGTCTGATTACCTCCTTATATTTACCTGGGGCTTGATGGGGTCTGAAGACCTCCTCTCTGAGCTGAGGTAAGAAGCTGTCTATTCTATCCCAGGTGAGCTTCCAGAGCTGGGACTCCTCTCCTTCCAGTATTCCTGCTGTGTGCATTACCAGGAGCATGTTCTTTAGAGACTCAGGAATGGCTTCACACTGTAATCAACATACATAATGGTCTACATCCATTTGAGGTTGTTTTATATTACATTTCTATAAGCTTTAATTTTCTTGTAAAAATCATTTTACATTTAATCCTAAACTTAATTTGTTTAAACTGAACAAACATTCTCAAAGTGAAAAGTTATCTTGACATATTATATACATGTATATTAATTCTCTGCGTTCTTCATGATGTTATATTTGTGATATTTGTTGCTCTGGGTTTTCATTGAGTTATCATCCTCAAATGTTTACAAGTGAGTGATTGCAATAGCTCACCATGTGAGCTCTATAAGCACAAGTACATCACAGGCTGGTATCGAAAGATTTGTCCACTGTGACGGAGCATGTTATTTTTCATAAAAACACTTAGGAAACAACGCAATGTATTTTTTTAACTCATTTGTTTCTTTCTAAGAAAGAAAATTACTTACTCCATGCAATGGATATATCATTTGTGGGTAACTTTCACTTCTGTTTGAAGTCCCATAACGCTAGGAGGAAAAGCTATTGAAAATGGCGCTGGAGTGTCACACTCCAAAATGTACTTTTTCTTTTTTAACTGTGAAACTGCTCCGTCACAGCGGAAACAATATTTTTTATAAAAAAATAAAAAGACCCAATACATCCAGATCTCATTAATACATTTAGAGTTATGATGAAAACATATCTAAATATTATCTTGTCACTATTTCATGCCATTAAAAAGTTAAAAAAAGAAATGGTACATTTTCGAGTTTCATACTCTTGCGCCATTTTCAACAGCTTTTGATACCAGCCTGTGTACATGTGAACTTAAAAAACTACATGTCCACTTTAAATATATACAACTTACCAAGAGGTCACTTCTGTCTGCATGCATGTATTTGTCCATAAAGTCCAGTATGGTTAACCAGAGAGCTGTAAATGTGGAGAGAGACAGCAGAGGTGACAGATGTTGCAGAAACACCTAGAAAAAACATATAATATGTAAATGTGGAGAGAGACAGCAGAGGTGACAGATGTTGCAGAAACACCTAGAAAAAACATATAATATGTAAATGTGGAGAGAGACAGCAGAGGTGACAGATGTTGCAGAAACACCTGGAAAAACATATAATATGTAAAGGTGGAGAGAGACAGCAGAGGTGACATATGTTGCAGAAACACCTGGAAAAACATAATATGTAAATATGGAGAGAGACAGCAGAGGTGACAGATGTTGCAGAAACACCTGGAAAAACATATAATATGTAAATATGGAGAGACAGCAGAGGTGACAGATGTTGCAGAAACACCTGGAAAAACATATAATATGTAAATATGGAGAGACAGCAGAGGTGACAGATGTTGCAGAAACACCTAGAAAAAAACATATAATATGTAAATATGGAGAGAGACAGCAGAGGTGACAGATGTTGCAGAAACACCTGGAAAAACATATAATATGTAAACGTGGAGAGAGACAGCAGAGGTGACAGATGTTGCAGAAACACCTGGAAAAACATATAATATGTAAATATGGAGAGACAGCAGAGGTGACATATGTTGCAGAAACACCTGGAAAAACATATAATATGTAAATGTGGAGAGACAGCAGAGGTGACAGATGTTGAAAAACACCTGGAAAAACATATAATATGTAAATATGGAGAGACAGCAGAGGTGACAGATGTTGCAGAAACACCTGGAAAAACATATAATATGTTAGGTGTTGTCTCAAAGATTTTGCCCATCTTGTATATATTGACTTTTTAGGAATCAGAATTTATGTATTAACCCTCCATACCTTGCAAAGTAAAGTTGAAGCTCTCATCCTGGTTTCCTCTATGCCATTGGGATCCTGAGGGTTAATTGTGCCTAGCAGTTTGTGAAGTAATGGAAATAAGACCTGCAAAATTGAAGGTTTGATATGTAGGAATCCTGCATTTGTGAACATAGAAAGGGGAAAATGTACAGTACATTGTAATTGTAAGGAATAAGACAATAATATACTGACCTTATTAAAGCATGCTTCCCATTCTACAGCAGATAATGTTTGTAGGTCATGCACCAGTAACGCACGTTGGAGATATGTTAATGCTTGACTTCTTACTTGTCTTCTAGTGTCACAACACAGCCTTGCTATACCTACAATTGATTTTTAGATGAATTAAGTTTTTATAACATGCAACTAAATATGTACATACACTAAAAAAGGTTCATTTAACATGAAGTAAATTAGTCATGGTACTCTGAATTTCACGAGGTATTCCACTTACAGAGATGTTCCACTTCTCAAGTTTTACAGTTTATTTGTAGTCTGGTTGGTCTTTTTATGTTACATTCAGATTATAGATCTAAAATTGTCCTCAATAATCGTTTTGTACTTACATTGTAATAGGGGACACCAGCATTTTACCCATAATGCACTAGTTCCAGCGTCTATAACTTCATCTTGCTGTTCTTGATTTTTCTCCTCCTCTGCCCAATCTCTGTAGATCTGTGCAGCTCTAGTATGTAATGTGTGCATTAGATCTAGAAGCTAAAACAAATCAATTCTGATTTAAAATATTTGTTTAAAGTTTTGGTATGGATGGTCAAATTGATAGAGTTTAGAATATTTTGATTAAACAAGCTCAAAGGGAATTTCTGAATACTGTAGATACACTTAATTTGACGCAACTTAATTTGGCGGATTTGGGATTTGCTCAATTTCAAATGTTGGTGGTTATTTAATTTGGCGGAGTCAGGACTGAGCTCAAGGTTTATCATAGATCTGGAAATAAAGATTCATGTGTAGGGCTTTCAGTGAGTCTTGGTTTAGCATGGACATCCAAATAGGAATACTTAAACAACTGAAATAATTGCAAATTACAAATTCTCTAGGGATTTTCCAAAATAGATCTGAAAATTGGAGGATTTTTAATTTGAGGGATTTTTTCAATCTGTCAAATTAAAACGGTTGCCAAATTAAGTGTTTTTACAGTATCAGGCTTGTAATGATTGTAATCAAAAATTGACACAAAAAATACCTGAATTGAGAGAGAATGGTAGCTAGCAACAATCCCCTCCCCCTCATCCTCTTCATCAGAGTCCATTTGTATGTTGCTAGGTGATGATTTAGATTTCTTCATCTTGGTAGACTTCCTTTTACCATGCTTATGTTTGCCTTTTTCATGATGAGAGTGTTTTTTGGGATGCTTCTGATGGCCTGTAACCAAGGAAACAACATAATTAACATGTCCATGCTTGTCGTGGCTATTTAACGCTATGTCTTTTGTTTGTCATGGCTATTTTAACTCCATTTCTCTTTTCTGTATGAAGTCTGTGTGTGAGTCTGATCACTTCTATGCAGTTTAAAATGTTAACGTCAATCAAGATATCCATCAAGTAAAAGTGAAATATACACATACATGTAGCGAACATAACATATTTATAGAGTATCTAAAACATGAATACTTCAAATGACAACCAACAAGGTTGACTTCATTCCTGTGCAAACTTTATAACAAAAAGAGATTTTCTTACCTCCATTTATGCTTGCCTCCACAAATGTGCGAATAGTATGTACACAGCTCTCAAAGTTATGTGGAGTAACATGCACAGCATCTCTCACCAAGAATGCCAATGTTTCACTAGCCTTCATCAGAGACTTGGGATCATGGTTTTTGATTTCATCAGTTGTAATGTCAATACTAAACAGGTTGGAGTTGTTGCCAGATGTTTGTTGTTGTTGTTGTTGTTGTTGTTCTCGTTGCTTGTTATTTGCCTCAAGGTCAGACTTGTTCACCTACAATACAATTATTCTATGATTAAATAATAAATTCACACCGCAACATTCAAAATAGAAATGGATGTCATGGTCAGAGCTATACCAGATTGTCAATTACCCCAACCCCAATCATAGTCTACTACCCAGAGCTATACTAAATTGTCAATTACCCTAACCCCAATCATAGTCTACTACGCAGAGCTATACCAAATTGTCCACTACCCCAGCCCCAATCATAGTCTACTAAGCAGAGCTATACCAAATTGTCCACTACCCCAGCCCCAATCATAGTCTACTACGCAGAGCTATACCAAATTGTCCACTACCCCAGCCCCAATCATAGTCTACTACGCAGAGCTATACCAAATTGTCCACTACCCCAGCCCCAATCATAGTCTACTACGCAGAGCTATACCAAATTGTCCACTACCCAGCCCCAATCATAGTCTACTACGCAGAGCTATACCAAATTGTCCACTACCCCAGTCCCAATCATAGTCTACTATGCAGAGCTATACCAAATTGTCCATTACCCCAGCCCCAATCATAGTCTACTACGCAGAACTATACCAAATTGTCCACTACCCCAGCCCCAATCATAGTCTACTACGCAGAGCTATACCCTAAACAAAATTGTCCACTGACCCAGCCCCAATCATAGTCTACTACGCAGAGCTATACCAAATTGTCCACTACCCCAGCCCCAATCATAGTCTACTACACAGAGCTATACCAAATTGTCCACTACCCTAGCCCCAATCATAGTCTACTAAGCAGAGCAATACCAAATTATGCAATACCCCAGCCCCAATCATAGTCTACTATGCAGAGCTATACCAAATTGTCCACTACCCCAGCCCCAATCATAGTCTACTAAGCAGAGCTATACCAAATTGTCCACTACCCCAGCCCCAATCGTAGTCTACTACGCAGAGCTATACCAAATTGTGCAATACCCCAGCCCCAATCATAGTCTACTATGCAGAGCTATACCAAATTGTCCACTACCCCAGCCCTAATCATAGTCTACTAAGCAGAGCTATACCAAATTGTCCACTACCCCAGCCCCAATCATAGTCTACTACGCAGAGCTATACCAAATTGTGCAATTCCCCAGCCCCAATCATAGTCTACTACGTACTAGTAACCAGCTGCCATCTCTCAACATAGGCCTGAGTTCCAAATTGTCCATTACCCCAATCCCAATCATAGTCTACTACGTACCAGTAACCAGCTGCCATCTCTCAACATAGGCCTGAGTTCCAGCTCAGTGCTGCCTCTATGTTGCTTTCCCTCATAGAGCTCGCTGTCACTAGTGTAGCCTCTGTCTCCCCCACTGCTCTGTGATGTCACAGTCAACTCACTATCACTCTGGGCACCTGTGATATATACAACATTTTGTTATTGTGTATCATATATGTAACTTGTTAATAACTTCCTAAACAGTCAACACATCTTAAACCAAGCCAATCTATTTCAAGATGGCCTCAATACACAATTGCAACCCCTCGCTTCTTTCAAGGGAACTAAAAATCAGTGTTTAAAATTTGGATAATTCGCGAAAGTACCCTATAGTAGTACTTTCTTGAGTGAAAATGTAACACTTCTACATGTCAAATTGTTTTAACTATAAAAATAATTGCATGTAATGAGCATCTAGTAAAAATATTGTCACACTCTGTCATGTGATATTAGTTCAGATGTCAGATTCCATGAAATTTCCATGACAGAAGAAGGGAAAAACAGGTGAGATCTTTTGACTTTTTATTAAATCAGTGTGTACAGCTGTCGATGGCAGAGAATGGTACATTTTTACATTTTTCTCTCTTTCCTTTGGTAAGGGAAGCAATAAATCTATAAATTCTTGAGAGCCAAGAATGAATTCCGATGTATTTCAGTTAAACATATATTTACTATTGGTTAAATGTAAATTTTCAAAATATTACCATGCAAACTGATACTCCTTTGAAATTAGAAATATCATTTTAACTATTTACATTTGAGAAATTATTTAACATTACCCTCTCCATTATCTGTGTGTTCAGGAGTCCTTTGCGCTACGGGGGTGACAGCCTCTGGTACCACCCCCTCAGGATTTACAGACCCACCCACAGACATCATAGCAGGGGGGTTGCTCCCTGCCCCACAGATCTCAAGTAGAGAAAATAATGTAAACCAATCTTGAGCTGAGTGGATATTAGCTGCATTAGTCCGTAAAAGTTCATGTAAACCAAATGCAATTTGTCTTGAGACTCCGTGAATGACTTTTGGCTTCATCATGAGTAAAATTCGTATAGATGTCAGCACCTGAAAAACATGTAATATTTTCTAGTTATTACGTTATACATACTAGTGGTGCAACTCACCAGAAAAATGCCATTGTACCCTCCCCCTATCTGACACCTTGCTTCCATAAACCAACCATCAAATTACACATACATTTTGTATTAGACTATTGAAACTATAATTACCACCAGGTTTCTGATGTCAAAGACCTCAAATAAGTAAACTAAACACACAAGCACAGCATTATCACATATAAATGAGAATATAAAGCCTCAAGAATGCCCAATGATGACAATTTCACCTTCAACATTACAGAATTCCTACTCCTTGTAGTAATGCTGAATAATAAGTATGACTGGTACTGTACCTGGGGTGCAATTTCTTCTCTCCGTAGCAACCTGATGGCAAGACGTAGTAGCCCCACTACAGCCCTCTCTACCAGCATTGTATGCTCACTAGGGGTCACTATGAGATTGTACACATGGTCCCGGATGGACTGCCATATTGGGGCACATCGATCTCTACAATGTAAATATAGGGGTCACTATGAGATTGTACACATGGTCCCGGATGGACTGCCATATTGGGGCACAGCGATCTCTACAATGAAAATATAGGGGTCACTATGAGATTGTACACATGGTCCCGGATGGACTGCCATATTGGGGCACAGCGGTCTCTACAATGTAAATATAGGGGTCACTATGAGATTGTACACATGGTCCCGGATGGACTGCCATATTGGGGCACAGCGATCTCTACAATGTAAATATAGGGGTCACTATGAGATTGTACACATGGTCCCGGATGGACTGCCATATTGGGGCACAGCGATCTCTACAATGAAAATATAGGGGTCACTATGAGATTGTACACATGGTCCCGGATGGACTGCCATATTGGGGCACAGCGATCTCTACAATGTAAATATAGGGGTCACTATGAGATTGTACACATGGTCCCGGATGGACTGCCATATTGGGGCACATCGATCTCTACAATGTAAATATAGAGGTCACTATGAGATTGTACACATGGTCCCGGATGGACTGCTATATTGGGGCACAGCAATCTCTACAATGCAAATATAGGGGTCACTATGAGATTGTACACATGGTCCCGGATGGACTGGCATATTGGGGCACAGCGATCTCTACAATGTAAATAGGGGTCACTATGAGATTGTACACATGGTCCCGGATGGACTGCCATATTGGGGCACAGCGATCTCTACAATGAAAATATTTTAGTCATAGAAAAAGAATATTAGAATGATTAATCTCATGATTATGACTTTCTAACATTGTGTCAATGGGGATTTAGCAAAATGCATCCTGGGAAAATATCGACCAATCAAATTTTGTCCTTTTGGGGGGGGGACTTTTTAAGTTCATATTTTCGTACATTCTCGATTAAAGAACGAACCGCGAAAAGGAGAATCGTACATTGATATTAAATGAAATGACCACTGACCTGTTCTGTAGCACCACCCTAATGAGAAGCTCAAGAAAGAATACTGCAGAATCCTCATCAATACCATCTGTATTGTCTCCTCCCTGGCCAGCAAATATCAAAGCCTACAACAGTGGATTTCATACATGCATGTAAAGCAAATTAGGAGTACAAATATTAAAGCCTACAACAGTGGATTTCATACATGTATTTAAAGCAATTTAGGAGTACAAATATTAAAGCCTACAATAGTGGATTTCATACATCGCCATATGGGAATAAAAATGTCCCAACTCACATTTTTGAAAGATTAGGCGTTTGTAACTTCAATACTATCTATCTATCATTTGTGAAATTTTTACATTGTTTTTATCATAAATTTGTTTAAATTCACTAAAAATTCATGAATTTTAAGATTTTTTAAAGCAGTTTTTGAGCATATTAAAAATGGAGATAAGACAATTCAATTCCGAATTTTTCGTAACATCGAAAAATTAAAGCTGAGCTATGTCCATTTAGCTATGTATTTTCAATGGAGACGAACTTCTCTATTCGTTTTTTCAAAAATAAATTCAATCTCCTTTTAAAATTGTATTATAATAATTCCTATGGTGTAATTTAAACAATTTGATTGATTAAAAAGCTTACAACAGTGGATTCCATACATGCATGTAAAGCAATTTAGGAGTACAACATATTGATCAAAAAGAAATGTTTTTTTCATAAAAATAAATATTCAATATGACATGAAATTACATTATTTGAACAGAGTATCCCATATTTCATTGTACCAATCCTTATTTCCTATAACCCAACTTCATAGTTCCAAAAATTGGCAAATAAATCTTCCAAATTCTTCCAAATTAATACATGTTTTATGTCTTACTTTGATAAGTTCCTGTAAGGAATCTATACGTAGGAACTTGCAGTCTGTGATGAGTTGTTCTAAATGACACTCTCTTATACAGTTGTGTGCTTGCTTGATCAGCTCCTGGTCCTCAGGACTGGGGCCTCTACTACTGGGTGTGTCAGTAGTAAAGTAGGAGTAGAATGAGCTAAGGACACCACTATCAGCTCTGTAAATTAATATACAATAATATGTCATGAGATCAATCAAGAGCATTTCATAAATGGATTAGGGCATGTGTTACATCTATGCCAATACCATGCTTTATTTCAAGGACACTCTTTTTAAACTTGATGAACCATAACTTACCTCTGTGATGCTGCATCTATGCATGCTGTATTTCAAGGACACTCTTTTTAAACTTGATGAACCATAACTTACCTCTGTGATGCTGCATCTATGCATGCTGTATTTCAAGGACACTCTTTTTAAACTTGATGAACCATAACTTACCTCTGTGATGCTGCATCTATGCATGCTGTATTTCAAGGACACTCTTTTTAAACTTGATGAACTATAACTTACCTCTGTGATGCTGCATCTATGCCAATACCATGCTGTATTTCAAGGACACTCTTTTTAAACTTGATGAACTATAACTTACCTCTGTGATGCTGCATCTATGCCAATACCATGCTGTATTTCAAGAACACTCTTTTTAAACTTGATGAACCATAACTTACCTCTGTGATGCTGCATCTATGCATGCTGTATTTCAAGGACACTCTTTTTAAACTTGATGAACTATAACTTACCTCTGTGATGCTGCATCTATGCATGCTGTATTTCAAGAACACTCTTTTTAAACTTGATGAACCATTAACTTACCTCTGTGATGCTGCATCTATGCATGCTGTATTTCAAGAACACTCTTTTTAAACTTGATGAACCATTAACTTACCTCTGTGATGCTGCATCTATGCATGCTGTATTTCAAGGACACTCTTTTTAAACTTGATGAACTATAACTTACCTCTGTGATGCTGCATCTATGCATGCTGTATTTCAAGAACACTCTTTTTAAACTTGATGAACCATTAACTTACCTCTGTGATGCTGCATCTATGCATGCTGTATTTCAAGGACACTCTTTTTAAACTTGATGAACCATTAACTTACCTCTGTGATGCTGCATCTATGCATGCTGTATTTCAAGGACACTCTTTTTAAACTTGATGAACCATAACTTACCTCTGTGATGCTGCATCTATGCATGCTGTATTTCAAGGACACTCTTTTTAAACTTGATGAACCATAACTTACCTCTGTGATGCTGCATCTATGCATGCTGTATTTCAAGGACACTCTTTTTAAACTTGATGAACTATAACTTACCTCTGTGATGCTGCATCTATGCATGCTGTATTTCAAGGACACTCTTTTTAAACTTGATGAACCATAACTTACCTCTGTGATGCTGCATCTATGCATGCTGTATTTCAAGGACACTCTTTTTAAACTTGATGAACCATTAACTTACCTCTGTGATGCTGCATCTATGCATGCTGTATTTCAAGAACACTCTTTTTAAACTTGATGAACCATAACTTACCTCTGTGATGCTGCATCTATGCATGCTGTATTTCAAGGACACTCTTTTTAAACTTGATGAACCATAACTTACCTCTGTGATGCTGCATCTATGCATGCTGTATTTCAAGGACACTCTTTTTAAACTTGATGAACCATAACTTACCTCTGTGATGCTGCATCTATGCATGCTGTATTTCAAGGACACTCTTTTTAAACTTGATGAACCATAACTTACCTCTGTGATGCTGCATCTATGCATGCTGTATTTCAAGAACACTCTTTTTAAACTTGATGAACCATAACTTACCTCTGTGATGCTGCATCTATGCATGCTGTATTTCAAGGACACTCTTTTTAAACTTGATGAACCATAACTTACCTCTGTGATGCTGCATCTATGCATGCTGTATTTCAAGGACACTCTTTTTAAACTTGATGAACTATAACTTACCTCTGTGATGCTGCATCTATGCCAATACCATGCTGTATTTCAAGGACACTCTTTTTAAACTTGATGAACTATAACTTACCTCTGTGATGCTGCATCTATGCCAATACCATGCTGTATTTCAAGAACACTCTTTTTAAACTTGATGAACCATAACTTACCTCTGTGATGCTGCATCTATGCATGCTGTATTTCAAGGACACTCTTTTTAAACTTGATGAACTATAACTTACCTCTGTGATGCTGCATCTATGCCAATACCATGCTGTATTTCAAGAACACTCTTTTTAAACTTGATGAACTATAACTTACCTCTGTGATGCTGCATCTATGCATGCTGTATTTCAAGGACACTCTTTTTAAACTTGATGAACCATAACTTACCTCTGTGATGCTGCATCTATGCATGCTGTATTTCAAGGACACTCTTTTTAAACTTGATGAACCATAACTTACCTCTGTGATGCTGCATCTATGCATGCTGTATTTCAAGAACACTCTTTTTAAACTTGATGAACCATAACTTACCTCTGTGATGCTGCATCTATGCATGCTGTATTTCAAGGACACTCTTTTTAAACTTGATGAACCATTAACTTACCTCTGTGATGCTGCATCTATGCATGCTGTATTTCAAGGACACTCTTTTTAAACTTGATGAACTATAACTTACCTCTGTGATGCTGCATCTATGCATGCTGTATTTCAAGGACACTCTTTTTAAACTTGATGAACTATAACTTACCTCTGTGATGCTGCATCTATGCATGCTGTATTTCAAGGACACTCTTTTTAAACTTGATGAACTATAACTTACCTCTGTGATGCTGCATCTATGCATGCTGTATTTCAAGGACACTCTTTTTAAACTTGATGAACCATAACTTACCTCTGTGATGCTGCATCTATGCATGCTGTATTTCAAGGACACTCTTTTTAAACTTGATGAACCATAACTTACCTCTGTGATGCTGCATCTATGCATGCTGTATTTCAAGGACACTCTTTTTAAACTTGATGAACCATAACTTACCTCTGTGATGCTGCATCTATGCATGCTGTATTTCAAGGACACTCTTTTTAAACTTGATGAACTATAACTTACCTCTGTGATGCTGCATCTATGCCAATACCATGCTTTATTTCAAGGACACTCTTTTTAAACTTGATGAACCATAACTTACCTCTGTGATGCTGCATCTATGCATGCTGTATTTCAAGGACACTCTTTTTAAACTTGATGAACTATAACTTACCTCTGTGATGCTGCATCTATGCATGCTGTATTTCAAGGACACTCTTTTTAAACTTGATGAACTATAACTTACCTCTGTGATGCTGCATCTATGCATGCTGTATTTCAAGGACACTCTTTTTAAACTTGATGAACTATAACTTACCTCTGTGATGCTGCATCTATGCCAATACCATGCTGTATTTCAAGAACACTCTTTTTAAACTTGATGAACCATAACTTACCTCTGTGATGCTGCATCTATGCATGCTGTATTTCAAGGACACTCTTTTTAAACTTGATGAACCATAACTTACCTCTGTGATGCTGCATCTATGCATGCTGTATTTCAAGGACACTCTTTTTAAACTTGATGAACTATAACTTACCTCTGTGATGCTGCATCTATGCCAATACCATGCTGTATTTCAAGAACACTCTTTTTAAACTTGATGAACCATAACTTACCTCTGTGATGCTGCATCTATGCATGCTGTATTTCAAGGACACTCTTTTTAAACTTGATGAACCATAACTTACCTCTGTGATGCTGCATCTATGCCAATACCATGCTGTATTTCAAGGACACTCTTTTTAAACTTGATGAACCATAACTTACCTCTGTGATGCTGCATCTATGCATGCTGTATTTCAAGGACACTCTTTTTAAACTTGATGAACCATAACTTACCTCTGTGATGCTGCATCTATGCATGCTGTATTTCAAGGACACTCTTTTTAAACTTGATGAACCATAACTTACCTCTGTGATGCTGCATCTATGCATGCTGTATTTCAAGGACACTCTTTTTAAACTTGATGAACCATAACTTACCTCTGTGATGCTGCATCTATGCATGCTGTATTTCAAGGACACTCTTTTTAAACTTGATGAACCATAACTTACCTCTGTGATGCTGCATCTATGCATGCTGTATTTCAAGGACACTCTTTTTAAACTTGATGAACCATAACTTACCTCTGTGATGCTGCATCTATGCCAATACCATGCTGTATTTCAAGGACACTCTTTTTAAACTTGATGAACCATAACTTACCTCTGTGATGCTGCATCTATGCATGCTGTATTTCAAGGACACTCTTTTTAAACTTGATGAACCATAACTTACCTCTGTGATGCTGCATCTATGCATGCTGTATTTCAAGGACACTCTTTTTAAACTTGATGAACCATAACTTACCTCTGTGATGCTGCATCTATGCATGCTGTATTTCAAGGACACTCTTTTTAAACTTGATGAACCATAACTTACCTCTGTGATGCTGCATCTATGCATGCTGTATTTCAAGGACACTCTTTTTAAACTTGATGAACCATAACTTACCTCTGTGATGCTGCATCTATGCATGCTGTATTTCAAGGACACTCTTTTTAAACTTGATGAACCATAACTTACCTCTGTGATGCTGCATCTATGCATGCTGTATTTCAAGGACACTCTTTTTAAACTTGATGAACCATTAACTTACCTCTGTGATGCTGCATCTATGCATGCTGTATTTCAAGGACACTCTTTTTAAACTTGATGAACCATAACTTACCTCTGTGATGCTGCATCTATGCATGCTGTATTTCAAGGACACTCTTTTTAAACTTGATGAACTATAACTTACCTCTGTGATGCTGCATCTATGCATGCTGTATTTCAAGGACACTCTTTTTAAACTTGATGAACCATAACTTACCTCTGTGATGCTGCATCTATGCCAATACCATGTTGTATTTCAAGAACACTCTTTTTAAACTTGATAAACCATAACTTACCTCTGTGATGCTGAGCTGTCCTCCTTCACAAGGGACAGTCTCCCTGCAAGGAAGTCCTCCACCTCAACCAGGAGTTTAGGAAGAAGTTTAGCCTTGTAGAGCTGTAGCATACATTCCAGTATATTCTTCCAGCCTTCTCTCAGAATGTCCCCATGTCTGTGTGCCAGGGCAAACACTGTCTTGGCTGCAAGCTGGGCTTTCAGGTTTGTACCAAATGTGATTGGCAAATGTTCAGGTGACTGCAATAATTCGGTGTCAATTATGAGACTTTGTGAGGGCACTACACATGTATACAATATCAATGAATAGGGAGGGGAAATATATCATATTTGTAATTGCAGACTGGACCTACAGTTTTGATCCTGACTGACCTATTACAATAATCAATACTAATAAGTTAATAACAACTAGAAAACATCAATGTTATTTCAAGGATTAATTCAATGGGTAATTTAATGGGACTAAATTATCATCACAGATTCATTCAAATGACAAATACTATTATATTTTCCTTCAAGCTATTTCCATTATTGAAGATTAACATGAGAGAAATAGGATAATTCTTACCTCTGGTGTACTTAGCAGTGTTGTGAATTTACATAGAGATATGACCAGATTGTCAAATACGTCACTCAGTCCATAGTGAGCTGATATCATTGCACATTTCCTACAATAAGGAACTTATATTAACCATTTGGAACCAAATCGGTACTTCTTAAAGCAGATATGAAATGGTATTTTTGACCTAAAGGAATCAATAGAATTTTTTGTGTATTTGGACATGTTTTCTCATCAGTATTGTTAAAATTATTTCACTCGAACGATCGTTATAGCTGCTAAATAAGCAATATTCGAATAGGTTGTGACGTTATTGGCCCCCACGTGATCTCTCACTGGTCCTCACGTGGTCCATTTTGGTCCATTAAATGATGACTTCATAATGCCAAGATGTTTTGTTATTTGTTTACACAATAATCATATGGTTGCTGTGGTGTCATGATTACCAAGGAACCAATAAACCAAAACTATATATTATGTATGACGTTACTAATCATGTGGGGACCAATCTGATTGATCAGTTAATTTTATTAAGTTAATTCTGAGCATTAACAGTTATCTAACATTTCTTTTATAATGGCTATCACAAGAACTCTACGTTGGGCTTACAATGAAGAAAAACGCATTTTTGTTGCTGCAAGTTGAGAAAACCTATTTCAGTTGTCCTTTCAATCTTTGAAGTTGTATTCTCCAAATGTACAATTTGCGAAGTTAAATGTGATAAAATCATTACAGACCCATTAGATAGGTGTTAATATAGCCAAAAGTAGAGTCATTTTAGTGACTTCACTAACCTGAAGCCTGAGATGGCTTTTTGTATAATTGTATCATCTAAACTTTTATCGAACACAAATGAAAGAGCTGCTACTGTCGGGCCCCATATCAAATGGAAGAGATCGTGGTCGAATGCTCCTGTGGGGACATGTAGGAATATACCTTCCTTGGTGGCACCTCGCTTCAGTAACACCTTCCACTGATAGTTGTCACGTACTAGCCCAGTCTGCTCTGCTGGCATCACAATCTCGTCATTCCTGTATAGGTAAGTAAGGTAAGAGATAATAAGATCAGAAGTGCTTGAAAATACTAAAATTAAAACCGAGGTGAAGTGTCTTTTTCACATCAGCCCTTAGCATATGAATTGATCCTATGTTTCAGATTAAACTCAAAATGGCCAGGTTGCCTAAAACCTTGGGTATTGATCCAATGTTTCAGATTAAACTCAAAATGGCCAGGTTGCCTAAAACATTGGGTTTTCATACCAAGAACATTCCTGGAAAGTTTGAATCAATCAGTCAAGCAATTTGGCAGGAAAATGCAAACAAGAAAAGTTTGACACTATCACCAAGGTAATGACAACAGCCTGTTTGAAATCACAGTTGTGAACTGTACATGCAAAAGCCTTAGAAATGAGAGCTATCAGCAATGAGAAGATTTAAGACCATGAAATTTTTTGGTCGTAAGAGCCCATCGTGATATATCTGAGACAGCCTGCACTTTTAAAGTTGTACTCACTTGATATGCGTATAGATCTCTTCTAACATGTCTTGATCAAAGTCATTTCCTCCATTAACCTTTCTCACATTTGTCTTGAATTCCTAAAATATTTTTAAGATTTAAAAGATGTTAAATATAAAATGAATAGCATGTATACAATACAATACAATACATACTGTGACAAAAATACAATACAAAACACCTTAAGCATGTCGGCATCTAAAAGTTAAACCCTTACCCTATACATGAACGTATATGTATATATTTTTATATACCAATATACCTTTACTTGCATGTTATTTCTACCGATATTAGTACAGTATTTTGTCTTACTTTGACAGTCATAGGGACACTTTGTTTCTTGACATTATGATTGTGCTGGTCCACATTGAGCATAATGATAGCATAGGTCAATGTGAATGCTGCATCTGGATCCACAATGTGAGTCCCAGGGTTGGATTGCTGGAACAAATCATGCAATCAATTATATGCAAGTCATAAGAAATCAAGTGGGCGATAATAGAGTACTTACACTAAACTGTTGCAAAAGTGATTGTTATTCAAAGTATTCTCCTGATAAATATCTGTCATTGGGTGCTTCGACATCATACTAAACTAACATCCTCTCAAAATAGTCCAAAATGAATGAAGGAAATGTTTCAGTATTTTGTTTCAGTATTTAACCAAGAAAGCTTCTGCACAGGTTTTATGCTCAAATCAGGGTTGTGAACTTTCTAATTTCTTTTCGAACATTTTTTACACAATTTATATATAATGTAGCTATTAAAGTACTTACTGTACAGTAAATGATTTTCACACAGGGAGGGGTTATTACTTACATGCCAATGTTCAGCAAAATGTTCAATGAGGTAACTAATTACAGGAGCCTCCCCAGGCAAACGGAATGTTTCTAAGTACTGCCGGAGTGACTCATCTACTCGCAGATCCTCAAAATGAAATGACCTGAAATTGTTCATTATCATTTAAAAACCTACTGGAATAAGGAGGAAAGTCAGATAATAGCAATCTATGTACTCATACTTACAAAATACAACTGTGTGTATTAACTTTGAATATTAGTGATTAAATTCAACGATAAGTTCATAACTTACTGATTACCAAGACTGCATTTGCTATGCCAGTATGTTTAAAGGATATCCTATATATGTACATGCTTGTAAACAACACCCCATAAAATCATGTATTTGTGTTTAAACTACAGTTAACACTTACTTTACAAATGCCTTTAAAACATCAACATTATTCTTCCGAGACAGGTATTCCCCAATTTGTTTTTTATCAAGTGTTGGGTTCTCCTTTAAAAATTGCACAATTTCATTTGGCTGAAGAGGAGTTGAGAATAAACCATGGTCCTGGAGGAACTGGATTCCCTTAGAAGGTTTCACATTGAACTGGTCTGCCCCACTTTGGATAAGCTGAAAAACAAAGAAGATATTCTTGAAGTCTTCACATCATGCACTAAAAAGATGCTATACAGGGTTAAGTTAAGTTCTGAATTGAGAGAAAATGTTTCATATACGTACATGTATCACTTCTATAATTTTTTATTTTATTGTAATTATAAAAAGAGTAAAAGTGGTCCGCGGGTCAGCAAATTTTGACTGATGTTAATATTAAAGTTTCCTGCATAACATATTCATCTTGCCTGGATGGTTGCTTCAAACTACTTGTACTGGAGGAAGAACAGTACTCAAGTCATTTATTCAGAAGTATTCTTCATTGCTGAGAGGATCGTTTCATTTATAATGATTTCCATTAGTCTGGACGTACATGCATTGTTGACAAACCTAGTCCATAAAGACGCTTTCCAGTCCTCCCTTCGGTATCCCTTGAAGATTTGCAAGCCTTTGAAATCAGTCCCTTATCGGAATGAATGAAACTTATGACCTCTCATATGATACTTCAACACCAAAATGTAGCGAAGCCTAATGGTGCTTCATCTGGTGAATATTTTATAGTAAATGTGGGGCATTAACAACTTGTATGAAACCTAATTCTTCAAGAGTAGTATGGGCAGTTTGAGGAGTGAGAAAGAGCATACTGTAGTCATAATGGAAGATACCCCGCTATTTTGAGTCATGATTGTGACTTTGAGAGACTCAGACGAATGATTTGAAAATAGAGCAAAGTAAACTCTTATATCACAATAGGGATGTTACTTTAGAAACTTAAGTTAGCAATATTTGAAAACATAAAAAAATCACAGAAATTTGTCTATAAAATAGGTAGTAATTTACTAAACCTTTGGACCAAGTAAAAAAAAAAGAATTCAAATTTTGCTTGACCCGCTACGCCATTTGTCATGTTGCTATAGTAACAATAATTATCAATTGTGACATCATATGACAATGATACTGTTTTATCCAACCCAAAATTACATTCCCCATTTACCTTGAAAATTTCAAGTCAATTGGTTGAAAAATAATGAAATAACAGATAATTGCCAGAACTTAGTGATCACCCTGTATATACTGTATATTTTGTTAAAAACGAGTGCATATATGCCATGTCCATGATTGAGTACAGATGGAGTCTCATATACTGAGCCTCACATAGGGTCCTCTGTATAGAGCCCACTTTTGAAGATATGTCAATGATTCAATGATTACAAACTGTCCAACACCATATATATTAGAAAGTAAATATAGATATAGATATGAATACTCTACCTTCTTTTTGTGTTTGATTGCTAGTAACTCTTCTTCAGTGGGAATCTTCTGTGATATCTTCATCCTATTTGGTCGAATGAATGGAGTTTTCTTTTCATCTGTTTTGCTCTTGTCCACATCTAAATCACATACATTGAGGTAATATAATGTATTCTGATCTCAAAATGTGCATGCGCTTATTAACATATAACAACAAACTAGAAATCAGCAACTCCACGGAGTAGTAAATCCCAGCAAACACTATATTTATGAATCTGTATATATCAAAATGTAGTATTTACTATACCATTTACTCTACCCATGACTCACATAAAATAAAAGGCAGACATTTGAGACATATCAGAATTTTCTACCAATTTGAGCATTTGGGTGACCATTTAGGAGTTTCAAAGGCACAAATCACAATATTTGAGATCTAATGCCGTTTAATGTAACTGTACTTTGAAGTTGAAGAGATGACCAAATTCTAGCAAAGGAGGAGGGAAGTTAGCGCAACAGATTTTGGACAGTCATATGTTTGATTTTGGCCATTTCCTGGGGATTTAAACAGGTGCATATGTAAGGCGAATGCATTTCCTCCAGGAAAATCACTTCTAGAGATGATAAAATAATTTTGACTTGAGACAGGGTAGATGCAAACAACCCACCCACATGTTTTTTCTGAAATGTTTTCCTGATTTTCAACCCCTTCCATCCCTGCTTTTTTAATTTTTCTTGCATCAATATGTTGCGTTTTGACACACAGTTAATCCTTTAAAAGGAATAAATGATTCCTTTTAGATAAAGTGGAAAACAATATTTCCCATGTTATTTTTCCATAGGAAAAATCATTGCTTTCAGCTAAGTTTGGTCACCCAAAATGGGTATCTTTAAAACCCTTGAAGGAATCACTTATTCCTTTACAGTGGTTAACTATGTGTCAAAATGCAACATATTGATGCAAGAAAAATTAATAAAAAAGCAGGGATGGAAGGGGTCGAAAATTAGGAAAACATTTCAGAAAAAACATGTGGGTGGGTTGTTTGCATCTACCCTGTCTCAAAGTCGAAATTATTTTATCATCTCTAGAAGTGGTTTTCCTGGAGGTAATGCATTGGCCTAACATATGCAATTGTTTAAATTCTCAGAAAATGGCCAAAATCCAACATATGACTGTCCAAAATCTGTTGCGCTAATTTCCCTCCCCCTTTCTGCCTGAGGCAGCCATTTTGAATTTTCCGAGGCACAAATCAAAAAACCAATCATAGTGTTATAGTGATCTACTCTAAATTCATTCATTTTGAGTGTAATGGCCATACTTTGAGGAGTTCAGGAAAATATTGTGAAATCCCACATTGAGTGGCCATTTTGAATTTTCCCAGGACTGCACCATTGTGTAGACAAAACGACACTGGTTCATGGAACTTCATGCACAAACGATAATAGAATGAGCAAAAGGTTCAAACCTAGTATTTTCTATTTTAACATGCCATATGTGGACATGAATTTAAATATGTCCATTTTTTTGAGGGATTAGCAGCAAGGTTACTACCTTTTTAGATTGGAATTCACAAAACTTGATAATTTGGAAGGATTTCAGGCCAAATATTTAGAGATAATCTTGAATGAAAACTTTACAGTTAATACCTTCATCTACTGCTACTGCCTTGTGATGCTGGGAGGCTATAAAACCTGATACTGCAATTGCCGGTTGTTCAATTGTGACATCATCACTACTGTCATCAATTGCGCCAACTGGCTTCTGAGGGTCATGTCCTGAAGGTGTGTTTAGGATGCGACTGTGACAATGTTGCTCTATGCTGTCCACAACTGTGAGAAGAGCATCTAAACACAACAGATGTGTACTAAACAACCCAGACACTGGGAATGCATTCTGGAATAAACAGGCAATAAGGTTAATTCACTTTCTTTCATTTATATATTGTTTTAAATATATTATGAATTTTTATCCATTTTCAAAAATAATTCAGATTATTTTTCCAATTTTAAAACTATAGAACTAAATTTTGAAGTGAAGCAGTAAAAGAAGATCATTTATGCTTTTTACGAAAAAGGGAAGTTGTGTTCAGAATGAATTAATCCATTTTAGAGACAAATATTTGCTGCAATAATAGAAAATCAAATGATTAATAAGGAGAAAAAGAAACATACCTTAGACAATAACTTTGTGAGGTCTTCAAAGAGAAAGGAACAATAAAGATCACAGTCATAGTTGAGATAAATCTCCGTCACTAGGCCAGGAATCTTAAACAGCTGTACCATTGCCTCTAATGTTAACTCTCTTTGCTCATAAGATATACGAATTGACTCAGAGGCTATGATCTCCATCAGCTTGTTCAAGTACATCTAAAATATGCAATTATATCATGTGTCAAATGTTTTACTGTCACAGAAGTTACGAAGTTGATCAATTGTTTGCCAGTTTAATGCCCTGGAGTCTCATTGTGATCCCACTATGAATCAATTCATTCTAAAATTCTGTCTGAGTTTTAATCAGACGAGTGTTAGATCGGGTGAATAATTGAACCTTTAAAATTATTAAAATGACATTCTATCTTAAATAGTTCAGAAGTTCTGAAGCCAACATCCTTTTCACTACAAGACCAGCCTATTTCATTATATTATTGTATTGTATTTGCCATAATAATTTCAAAAAAGAACTAGTAATTTGTTTTATTATTAATCACCTCCATCTGCAACTTGAGTTGACTCCTCATCGATTCAAATAGAAGGAAACAAACACGGAGAGACGCAGCAAATAGCGAGAGTCTCTCAGACTGCAAGAGCTGAAACATAAAAACATAATGTCATACTAGGGGTCAAACATGATATTAAATACACATTAAAACATGATGCCAAAACTTTGGTATCACTTTAATGATGGAAACCCATAACAAATAATTGATGCTAGTATTTTACTTAACACGCAACTCATTAATTCTAGCAATAACTTCAGTACAAGGAGAATTTCCAATTAGGCCTTTAATATTGAAGAAGCAATTCTAAAACATAACTAATATTACAGACAAACGCTATATGCTATAGAAACCATACTATAGAAACTATTGAGATGTGTCCAACCTCTATTGCTCAGAAAAATCCTGTCCCTTAACCATTTATTTCATGACTATAATGACTTTTTCATACCTTAATACTCACCAGCTATTGTAGCAATAATAGTAAAACATTACTTGAGACTGAACATTGAACACTTCTAGGTGATGAAAAAGATATTTCATGATTCATTTCTACGTAAAATGTAATTTGACTTTTGATTACAACAGATAGACTAACAGTAGTAAAATTGGAAAATACTACATTCTGTAAAGCAGACAATATTTGAATATAAAACAAACATTTGTTCTTACAGAAAAGAGATTTTTGGTCATTTCATCCTTGACTAGTACAAGAAGTGAATTATAGGTGGTGATGTTATCTGCGCCCGACTCCAGAGCACCGGCCAACAGACTGAGTCCCATGTGGATCATAACATCAGTGTTGTGGCGGTCTAGGGGATTTGTTAATGATATAAGGAATCGGAATAGCTCTCGTACACAGGGAAGGCCATATGGTACCAAAGGTCCAGCAACACCTGATGAATACAAAATGCACTTTTTATATTTTAAATGCTAAACAGTGATGAAAGAATCAGGCAGTTTGGTAGTAGATTAGCAACAACTCATTTCATGTCCTATCTTGGTACATTAGTATTTTATTGAGATATCATCGACTCCATAGAGCAAAAAAAATTTCAAATTTTCCATTTTTAGAATGTGCTGAACAGAAACAAGTCGAGTTGAAATATATCTACCTATAAGTACATGTCTGTTAAAGAAAACTGATCATTTGCCTGTGTTGGCCTTAACTGTCAAGATTTCTCTGACCTTAATCTGTCACAAGTTACTTTAAGATATAGTTATCCTTCACATTCAATCAAGTTCAACATGTGACTTTAATCTAAGCAAGGTCAACCCTAGTTTACCTTCTTTTGCATGCTGCTGATGTGCAGTGAAGCGAATGCCTCTAGGGTTGACATACTCGGAGTCCTGTACTGACGCTGCATCAGACTGCTCAGTAGCCGAGTGTACAGAACCATCATCCTCATGCTCACTAATGGGACAATCAGAATCATTCAAAATTTTCTGAAAAAAGTTATAATGAATTCATCTGAAATTAGACATATGGAATTAGACATGTATATCTCTTAGATGTAAAAGTATGTGTATTAAGTAGAAGTGTTTCCATGTGAAGACATGTAAAAGAGTAATAAATGATGAATATACATTATACAGCGATACATTATCTAATCTGAACACTTCTTGCTCACGGTTTCTGTTTACTGTCGGAGCCCTACTATTAATTTCTCTATTTCTTTTGGAATTCTCTACTAACACTTACTTTAGTATCATGAATATCAGGGACAGCCAATCTGCTGGTTGCATCTGTTGCATCATTATCCTCTTCAATCTTGTCTTTTTGTATGGAGGCGTCAACAGGCTGTGTAGAAGTGTCAACATCTTGAGTAGAAGTGTCAACATGATGAGTAGATGTGTCACATTGAGTAGATGTGTCAGGTGCAGCTGTAGATGACTGGTCAAGGTCTTCAGTGTCTCCTTGCTGAAATATTCATATCAACTTTGAGGACAAAATGTCAACATTCCACTTCAGAACAATAATAGTAGTGGTTCAGCTCGTATCAAGAAATGCACAAAGTTGGAAATGATATTCAGTAGTCAGTCAACTTGACAACTGAACACAGCTGAAAATCTGAGAACCAAGCTGATATTCTAAAAACTCCAACAGCTGAAAACTCAGTTGAGGCTCTAGCAAAATAACAGATATATATGAATTTGTATGTGATAATTTGAAAGAAAAGTCATGTGAGAAATGGAGTAGAACTTTAAAAGCCACATCTACTTACTCTAAAACTATCATGAATATCAACCATTGTGCGTCCTGGTGCAACAGGTGTGGTAGCTATAGTGCTCCCATTATTATGGTCACCAGGGGTCTGAGGAATAACATCTGGGGGTGTGGGATCCCTGGGTATGACCTCGGGTGCATCAGGAACCTGGGTAGAGTCAACCTCTTCCATGGGCTCCTGTGCCTCTGTCTGTGTGCTCAACCTTGACTCCTCTTGTAGAGCCACTGCTGCCCCCTTTTTGTGGGTTTTGGAAGTTTTACCAGATTTTTTCTTGCGCCCAGTTCTCGAGGGATCCATTCCCCCAGCTCGCATTTTAAGCTGGAATTACACCAAGCTTGACATTATTTGACCAACATGACATAAATAAGATAGTGTGTTTCATTTTTTGCTAGCATTTCCTTACTATACAGAGTGTATTTATGAATGCTGCATGTTGGAAACAAGTGACTTTTATTGAAATCATTAAATTGGGATTGTCAGTGATTTATACCTTTATATGTGTTAATGGTATAACATGCAAGGTGAATTACATACAATCTTTTTATGCATCTTGCATGTTATAAAGTATAAAGGTGTTATACCATTAACACAGGTATAAGAGTGTTACACCATTAACACATATAAAGGTATAAACTCCTACCTTTTTACTGGCCATCCATTTAAGATCCTCCTTGAACTGTGGCAACCTTGAGAACAACAACTGGACCATATCCATCAATGTATGCTCAGCTGACTTCCTTAGCAATTCTAAAACATAAATATAGATCCATTAATGTGTGCTAAGCTGTCTTTCTTAATGATTCTAAAATATATAGCCATTTATATATGCTCAGCTAACTTCCTTAGCAATTCAATAAAGAGAGCCAGGGTATATCCCAGGGATTCACATAAAGCACCAAACAAAATTCCCGGGACTACTGATGAGCGGGTGATATATATCTCCCGCTCTCCTTAGATATCAATTATATTCCCATCTGTTATTTAACTATAATACTACTAAGTATGGGATAAATATAAATGTGTGTAGCATAACATTATCAGTCAATCTAATTTCCAAGTACAAGAAAACATTTATTAAACTTCTTTACCACTTTTAATTCTCCTATTGATTCCCATGATGAAAATTCAATGGGACACCTGCTAATCCAAACACTTTTGGCCCATCCCAGTGATATTTGAATTAGACAGGCTTTACTTTACATGTAATATCTTACCACTGAGTCTCATCTCAAAGCATATTCTAAAGCAGGACTGCATTATTTCACACACAGACTCATTAGTTAACTGTCCTCCAGCAGTACTTAGCATAAGAGTCCTTAACACCTGCAATCAACAAAGTTACTATGATAACTAAAATAAAACGAACACATGAATTGCAAAAAATCACAGATTATGTATCTATATCCCCAAGCATGCTGGGAAACTCACAAATGCTATTTTGAATTCAGAATGAATTAAGTGTGGACATTTCTTGATGAAAAATAATAATGAAAGAACAAAATTAAGTATTGGGTGAGCCTTACATGCAATATTTTCATGAGAACGACTTCATCACTGCCAGGATCTGTTCCAACAAACCTTGCATGAGTCACAGCATCAGCAATGTTTTCAATAGCACTAGCAGCAGTGACGCAACTTGGATCTAAAATTAACAACAACAAAGATCTATTTCATTTAATAATTTATTTGTTGAGTATAAAACTATTCATTTTTTCATATTTTTCAAGAATTTTTCTTTGTAGACAAGATATTTAAATTTACGAGTAGAGTAAATGATGATAATGTTCTTTTTATGAAGCGGGGAAGTCAAAACAGTACTATTAGAATTCATAGTAAGCATCTGAAGTTCATTTAGAAGCATTTAAAATCGAATCCACAACAAAATTGAAACAAGGCATTAACATGACAAAATGTCACCATCTAGTTGCTCACAATATTATTAGTTCAATCTTAAAGGAATATTCCTTGCCAGACCCTTTCTCTCTTGATATGGTAGCTATAATCATATATATAGTTTCCATATTTAGCAAAACATGGGAAAATGTTTTAATATGGTCAATATTGATCATTTAAAAATCTAGTGCTTATTTCCAGTGAGCTGCCATCTTTTAAGATTTCTTGCAGGAAGTGATGTCATCAACTCTCAACTTCTATAACCTTGCCCATAACAGTATAGGAAAGTAGCACAAAATCACTTCTAGACAAGTGACCATTACTTTCCGTGCAAAAAATATTTTCAGGGCTTGTCAACTTAGAATAAAAGAAGAGATTTTCAGAAGGATTAAATAAGATACAAAGTTGAAAAAGAATATTTAGCTGGTTTTGTAATTCTTAATAGCTCCTCACCTAATGCTATATGCAAAGTTGAGAGTCGATGACATCACTTCCTGTGTGAAATTTTAAAAGATGGCAGCTTACTGGAATTGAGCATCACATTTCTAAGTGATCAAATTTGACCATATCAAAACATTTTTGCGTGTTTTGCTAAACATGGCAAGCATATATATGGTTATAGCTACCATATGAGGAGAGAGATGGCTTGGCAAGGAATATTCCTTTAAGTCAGATTGGAATTTCTGAGAACTCTGTAGATGATTTTGAAAAAATAATTGAAGGTGAAATCTCAAATCTAAAGTCAGATTTGAACTTTTGAGAACTCTTTTTTCACCTTGAGAATGTCATTGAAGGTCAAATCTATAGCCAGATTTGAACTTTTGAGAACTTGTACATGTATATGATTTTGAAAAAAAAATTGGTCAATTTGAAGCAAGTTGAAAAAATAGCTTTTTCACCTTTCTTTGACCTTGAGAAGGTCATTGAAGGTCAAATCTTAAATTCAAAGTCAAATTTGAAGTTCTGATAACTTGTAGATGATTTTGAAAAAAATATTTGGTCAATTTGAAGCACGTTGAAAAAAGATCTTTTTGATCTTTTTTAACCTTTTTTTACCTTGAAAAGGTCAAATCTTAAATGAAAAGTCGGATTTGAACTTCTGAAAACCTTGTAGATGATTAAGAAAAAATTGAAGTCAGTCTAAACAGTATTTGTTAGGTTATTGGAAGTTTTAAAAATTTGTTACAGACACCAACCACTGCCTGCCAACCGCCGGCCCTAACAATGGAGAGGTTAAGCTTTGCATATATAATCGAAACTGAACCTGTACGTATCACTCGACCATATACAAATTCATGTAGCCTTCTCATATAAATAGCCGTTCAAATCCAGTGTTTGTTTGACTACACCATAGCGTGTAATGATTCTATAGTATGTCATTGATGCGGTTTTATAGCTGGTTTTCTAATACATATTTTAAACGAGCTCGTTTCGTAAGATTTTTGGCGCTAAATCATGCATGAAATACATCATCGTGTTCAGCAAGAATTCAACTGTGCATCGAAATCAAAATTGACAGCATAGTGTTCAATAGACACGAGTAAAATGGTTCCCTTTGACCCAACGTCAAATTTCAAATCTCCCGTTCTTAACCCGAAACTCTGAAGCTGAAAGAGTATCTGAAGTAGACTAAGCGCGCATAAAACTATGAGCGCTCGATACATTCCTTTGTTAATTTTTGTACTTTGCGTTCACGGTTACGTTGTGAAAAACATCGTTAGCTTAACCTCTCCAATATGTCACCACTTCTTGGTGGTGATATACTGTATAAGTGGTATTTAATCCGAGTAGTTAATTTTCCGAATGGTCAAATTTCATCATTTTCCTAATTTTAATTTTCCTAATTACAAGAAACCTCCCATTGGATAACATTATAAAGACAATATTTCCGACATTTAATTTTCCGAACCTGGCAAAAATTAGGAAAGAGGCAAATTAAATGATTAGGCAAAATTACCACTTATACAGTAATAATAACTGAAATCTGTATATGTCTTCTTCGTCTTCTTCACGGACGTCACAGAACACACTTCCGGTTTAGTAATCCATGATTTTATCGATCAAAAATTATTTTTCCCTGTATTTGACCGATATCGGCTAACATATGGACTGTATATTTGTGTTGATTGTTAAATTACAAAATAGGTAGAGTAAAGAATGTGTCAAAGTTGTTTGATCTCTTCCCAGAAGTAATATTTTGACATTTCTGTCGCCTAGAATTCCTTTAAAAATGATATAAAAGCAATTAAGAACATGTACGGACATGTATTTTTATGGAATTAATATACATATGTGCCTTTGAGATATATGACTTACTTACCCACAAGGCCATATGACAAAAACTTGTTCACAGAAGACAATGCAAGACCCGTGATTGGTCCAGTTGTGTCTTCAGACCGAATCACTTCAAGAAATGGTCCCAAATACACATTCAGCTCCAACTCTCCAAGATCTGGAAAAATCACCATAATATTAAAAATGCTACCAACTTATTATCAATATGTTTTTGATTTTGAGTTTTAGACTGAATGAGTGTGTTTGTGATCTAATAGGGGAAAAGGACTGAAATTGATGTGTTTGCGATCTAATAGGGGAAAATGACTGGAATTGATGTGTTTGTGAACTAATGGGGAAAAGGACTGAAATTGATGTGTTTGCGATCTAATAGGGGAAAAGGACTGAAATTGATGTGTTTGTGATCTAATAGGGGAAAAGGACTGAAATTGATGTGTTTGCGATCTAATAGGGGAAAAGGACTGAAATTGGTTCTATTTCCAAAGTACTTCCTTAAGTTCTGAGTAATGAGATGTTGGTCTTCTCTTTGAACTGTTCTTCAACATCTATTGGGGGAGGGGACCCTACTTCACACTTACATTTCCTTTTTCTGTTTTTTAATATTCCATAGTATTTACTAGTATATAAGATATTGGTTTGTGTTGACCATTTTCCATCAACGAACATTCCCAAATGTATAGAGCTAACAAATCAAAAGCAAGAAATATGTTACCTGATATAGTGTGAAGGACGTCTCTGAGCTGATAGAAGCTGTTCACTAAAGGGTCCTGCTCTTCCTCCTGAAATACAAAAGTCAAACAGAACAAATAATATAGATTTAAATGTTGCATTAAAGACCTTTCTATTGGATGTTGAATATTTTTGTGTAAGACTGCAGCAAATTATCATTTCTCAACAATATGATGTCCAATCAAGACGATGCATATATACAGGGGCATAGCTGTATATACAGGGCCGGGGCATAGCTATATATAAAGGGGCATAGTTGTATATACAAGGGCAATGGCATAGCTGTATACACAGGGAAATACCTGTGCATAGCTGTATATACAGGGGCATAGCTGTATATATAGGGGTGTAGCTGTATATACAGGGCCATAGCTGTATATATAGGGGCGTAGCTGTATATACAGGGGCATAGCTGTATATATAGGGGCGTAGCTGTATATACAGGGGCATAGCTTTGCATATCTGTATATACAAGGACATAGCTGTATATATAGGGGCATAGCTGTATATATAGGGGTGTAGCTGTATATACAGGGGCATAGCTTTGCATATCTGTATACACAGGGGCATAGCTGTATATACAGGGGAATAGCTGTATATACAGGGGCGTAGCAAGCTTTCAATCAGAGGAGTGGGATTGTGGCATAACTTAAGTTAGCCAAAAAAATTGATAATAAGTGCAATAAAATTGATGCAACTTCCTTCAAAATTGAGCCAGAAGCTCATTTAAAAGCTCTTTTCTTCTATCTAATGGTTCTATTTTCATGTTTTTTTTTGGGGGGGGTGTACCCATCGTACCCCCCCCCCCTGGGTATGCATGATGTAATAATAATAGCTTGGGCATTCAGGGAAGATAACAGCACTCCAAATGCTGCATACTATTTTCATATACAGTAATTTAGGTTATTAATGAGACTTTATGAAAAAAAAGTTAATTACATTAAGAATTTCAAAAATAACTGCCTAGTACTTTTACCCGGCATGTCCAAAATCTAGTTAGATCTTGGCACTTTAGTCTACTGTTGAATCTGTAAAAATTACAAGTTGAACAGCGAGGTAGTTTTCCTGGAATTTTGGAGACAAGATTCATGGTTGTTCTAGTAAGATTTCATTTGAAGATGCAATGTCCAATAAGTAGAAAAAAACATGCAGAACTTACCTGGTGACTATGTGTATTCCAGCGTGAATTTCTCCTCATTGCTGTCACAAGGAGAGAGATCTCCCCATGTACAATATAGATGGCATTGGGTGGTGCCATCTTGGCCTCTTCTTATTAAGATAGGTAATAGAATCTGGAAGAACATTTTCATTTCTCAGCTACTGTAGAGAAAGAAGCATTCAAGCATTTCTAAAAAATAAAGTAAACTGAAACTACATCATTAAAATGTAGACTTTCCAACAATTTAACCATTTCAGTGGCCATTTTGGAGTATCAAACGCAGAAATCATATGGACAAATAATATTTGTTATCTTATTTAATAGTTTGGACAAATCTTTAAACTATGGTGAATTCCCGCTTTAGGCAGCTACAGATACCAGGGGCCCCCATACCATAATTCTAAAATAACTCTTATGATTTTCCTATTCCTATGATTTAAGAATATCACATGTATTGTAATACAGTCATACTTTGAAGAAACTACAAAAGTATTTAATTGGGAAACCCCATGTTAATAAATAATAGATGGGTTTTCGAAATAGAGTGTTCCTTCCCCAATAGATTTGTCTATAGCTTAGACTACAAGGATAAAATGCACAAATGAAGCTAGTTTTGCTATTATAGGCAAAATCTCTCAGGTCATCATAATGTAGGGTGCTAGATGACATATCACATAATGGTAAATAGGTAACTGATGAGTATCATACCATTTCCTTAATTTTCACATACTTTATAACATGTATTAAATCCGGGTGCTTTATTTTCCGAATTGGATTAAAATTGTTATTGCCGAATAAAAGTTTGCCGACCTGACACCCCTAAATGTAAAGCCATATAAAATGTTGCTAAGCTGACCCCCCTAATTTAATTTTGATTTACACCTGAATTTTAATCACCTCCATTTGATTGACTCAGAAAACCTGACATCCCTAATGGTTAAGATTATGAGTGACAATTTGAGTGATTTATTCACATAATACCCGCATTCGATAGACTCAGGAAAATTAATACCAGGATTAAAAACTTTTAATATCGAGATTAAAAACTTTTAATACTGGGATTACCAAAGCACTTGGATACAATTAGATCTTCTGACATTTTAACTGATCGCCCACTAAGATCGATCTTCAATTACTTAATTATATTTCCGAATTTTATGTTGCCGTTTTTGTTTTACATTCGGCAATCGGCATCTTTATATCCACCGCAATATTTCAGGTTATACAGTATCAACTCAAGTAGTCAGAAAAATATGTTTCTGGTTGTAGCTCTAGGCCTACAGTAAAATTTTAAATGTTTGGAAGAAATTCATATGGTAAAAACAAGGAAATGATGTGATGTTAACCACATATCTACTTACCAGTATGTTCTATGTCATCTCTCATCCGAGGTTACACACAGAAGGCAGTATTCTGAGGTTATAAAATATAAATCAAAAAAATTCCATTTCTAGATTTCTTGAATTGAACAAAGAAGTAAACTTTAGTTCGTTGTTTTTCACCACTTTAGGGAGCATATCAAAAAGAATAATGTGAAGGCATTTGGATACATGCAACACATACTCATTGGCTTTATAGTTGGATCGTCTGCCTTGAAAAAGTCAGTAATCTGACGATCTGATCATTGAACAGTCTCACTTTCTTGATTCAGGAATAAATCCAATTTTGTTGGATCATTTTTGTATTCCGACCACATTTTATTAGCCTAGTCAATGATCTTGTGGTTTGGTTCAGAGTTTTTCGATTTGAACCACACCCCATTTATAAACTAATTGAATTCCATGTCGGTTCGCTAACTTTTTAGGCCAATGACCCCCTCCCTCCCTAACTGTGTAAATACAGTTATTTTTCCGATATCGATCTTTTGATATGCTCCCTTATATGTAGTGTTTTAATTTACTTATTTCAATGCATCATGTCAGGTCTTTATGATCATAAAATCAATAAGTTTCCTAGCGTAATATCTTGAATAGAGTTCATTTTAAATAGTCAGTAGCTTCGGTGGCCCATCCTACAACTTGTATTTGACATCGCTATCTTATTTTCTTCTTTATTCAGCAGCAGATGTCCGAAAACCATTTTCTATTAAATTAATAACTTTCTTTGAAGACATGTTTAAGCAACACATCAAAAGTCACGTGATATCAAACAATAACTAGACACGTGATCAGACATGTGACTGGCAAAATGGAGGATCTAGGGCGAAGGGGTGTAACGTTGACACCATGATTTTTGTGTAATTTCGACATGTGGGGTAACTTTGACGCCTTGTTGTTTATTTGCTCTAATTTCCGATATAGGGGGAAGTCATGTTTTTTTTCTCGCATAGATCGAGATCCTGCCAGATTTTAATTTTTCTAGAAATCAAACATGGCGGAAAACGGAAATTCTACTTTTAATAAGTAAGTGTCGAACTAACACGTCTATTATGTTGACATTACCCCACGCGTCGACGTTACACCCCTAAATTCTGCTAAGATCAAAATCAGTATGTCGTTGCCTTCGCTGTTGTGTTTGGCGGAGTTCCACCATGGGCTTTCAACTAGATAATTGAAAGCTCATGGTTCCAAAATGTAACCTCAGATCATGTCCTTGTTTTTACCATATGAATTTCTTCCAAACATTTAAAATTTTACTGTAGACTGTAGATTCAATGTAGCCTTGGCTTATCAATGATTTTTAGGGAACGATTTTTTACAAGGTTGGCGTTACATTTTCATTTCTTTTAGACCTCTTTCGTTAAGATTGATCTGGTTTGGTTAAATAAAAATGCGTATTTCAAAAAACTTACATTTACCAAGCCATTTATTCTCTGTCTAGGCGAAGAAACTGTCAAGTAAGATAAAATAATGTCAAATTTTACAACTTTTTCTCCATGACGTGGTACGCATGTGCAACATTTATTGTCGCCATATCCGGTTTTGAGTGTCATTTTGTAAATAAGTAGTTTTCAAAAGTATTACCTTGAAGTTGTCCTTCATCAAAAAAAGCTTCTATAATGATTTCAAATACAAATGTTTCACTTTTTTAATTTTAAAATAATAAAAAATATTTTGCTATAATAATGATTGAAATAGTCAAAAACTAAAAAAGTACCAACTTTGACAGCTCCCTGGGAAATACGTCGATATTCAAAACGAGGCCACACGAAATCCCGAATGATAGCTGGTGAGTAAAGTGCTGTTTTTTTCTCTATATCTACATACCTTTGTCATCTAGAGTGATATTTGTATGATCAGTATGTTGCAATTAATGTTCTCTTTCAATAGGATGCTAATTCAATAGTCGTTTCTTTGGTTCTTGTAACGAAAACAGACTTCCTTCTGTTCCTCATGTTCTCTTTAAAAACAACAGACGTGGATCGTATGACACCAATCACGCCATTTCATCGAAATTTACGTTATTCGAATTTAGATCATTGTAGCAGATATAAAGTTGCAGATTTGTTGAGGTAAGTTGAATATAAATGATGAAATTTAGTATGCTTAACAATCTACTCTAGCCTGTCAAACATAATCAATGTTTGGCATACAGAGGTCAATGGATGGGTTCCCGATTACTGAACACAGCTGGCTCAGAAGCCAGCTGAGGGTAAGTTCAAATATACCGTTTTGTGTAGTGGTTTTCTCCAACTTCCAGCCTGCGCGCTGGGATAAGTAACAGTATTTAGGAAGATAATTAAATGTAACTTGCCTTTTTATGACGCATGGTGACAATTAGTCCAACAACATTAGACCTAGCCTGGGCCTCGTTTCTTACCTGACATGTCTTATGACCCCGACTAGGTCTAACCTCCATGATCATTTTGCCTATGATGCGTTAATTTAATCGTTCCGCAGGTTTCGACAAGCGGAACTAATTAAACCCTGAAAACATGGTAATATTACAATTACATAAAGAATGTGATTCAAGCATGAATACATACATACCATCCTGTATCCCCCTTAAACCCTATTGATGCATAATTACGAAAATATTGGAGACAGGTTTGGAATATAACGAAAATTTCGGTCAGTTCTGGTAACATCGAAATTGCAAATCGTATCAGAAATCATTGCGGCACTGCATTAACAAACAATAGATTTGCAATTAATAACTATTTTGCGTATATACACGTGTTATATAAATCATTCAAAGATACATGTTATCCTCAAAATTGATCTTTTTATCACGAGTAATCACAATAATAATTAACAATCTATTTGACAACAATTTCATTTCGCTAATAGTTTGATTTAAACCCAAGACACTCGGACGAACAGACACAATGATGGACATGCGGAAATGTCATTTTAGAGATTGGTAAGTGTAGCCTCATTTTACTAAAATGAACATTTAACACAATAATATATGTTATGTGTTTTTATATTATTGTCAAGTATCAGTTGCATGTTATCGCGGAAAAATGGTTTTGATGGATCCAGAACTTGCAATAAAGGAAAGAATAGTAAGGAGGTTAAACCCAATAACGGGCAAGAAAATTCCTAATAGTAAAGAACGCCGTTATTGGGTTTAACGACGTTTAACTAGGTGACAATAAGTCCTATTTGTTGTTTTGCAGTTAAAGTGGAGAAATGTGAAATCTCACGCGCTCCATTTATATTTTTGCGCACGTGTGCACAGGGCATTGGACTTTACTTGCGCATTGCTATTGTGGTTAAAAGATCACGTGACTATTAATTAAGCTAATGCGAGTTATTTTGTAGCAAATCTTTACTTTCGAAAGTCACAAGATCTTGCAAGACCTAATAATGGCTGCAATCTAAATTCAAAAGTTTTATTGTCTAATAGAACATTGATTTACTACAACAACAGACTGTTGAAGGAACAAAATAAGGTAACAACAAATAAATTGTGTATTGGCTTCAAAATGATCAATGAAAGTGTGATATGTTTTCTACTTAAATAGTGTCCCTTTTGTCATATGGTAGGGTTTTAAACTTGTATCTCTAACTGAAAGCTGTTTAAGATCATCTAATGTGTTTCAACAATTTTCATGAATCATATTGGTAAAATTTTGCACAATATCTCATTTTCAGGCATGTTTGTTGTTAAACCCTTGTAATTTCTTCAAAATTTAAGACTGAGAATAAATTATGGCATCAACCAAAATTTTAGACCTTTCTCTACAACATGTGATAATGTGAGTCTAGTCATGCAAGTATTAAGGAAAATATAGCCTGTTGCAGGGGTTCACATTTTGGACCACCCTGTATAAACAATATTCATCTTACCATGTTATGCAAATCCTTAAAGGCCCCATACAGTTTGAACCACTTTGGCTTTACTGTAGTATTACCTTATGTTATCAAGATACGATGAGAGAAATTCTTTTTTAAATATTCAAAATAAATGCATTATGGATTTAAATACTTTTTATTCAAAAAATTATGGGTACTTCAAATATTTGAAAAATAAAAGGTCAATAACTTTTTTCAAAAATCTTTTCATTTGAAAAATGAAATAATTTTTAAGTCATAAAAATATTGTTTGAATGACAAAAAACATATTTTCAAATACCATGGGGCTTATTAAAAGCTTATTTCATGTGGTTAATTATACCAAAAGCATATACAGGGTGGTCCAAAAATGGGACACTCGTATATAGAAAATAACTTTAATTCGGTATATTATAAGTTCAATTTTATTATAATGACTGTCAACCAGCATCTATAGTACAAATGACATCATTTTTGTTTCACAACTGTTTTTCAAAAACTTGCAAAAAACAAGTTTTTTGTCAACATAAAGACATTAACAGGTGTTCAATCTGTCCACCATTTTGATCAATTTTAGCCATCAATCTTGGCGTAACATCATTGATATGCTTTAGAAATAATGAATTCCACTTCTCAATAATTCTGTCTTGAATAGATGTAAGGGCTTCATGGTACACCAACTCTGTTAGTTCTTCCCATATGTGGTAGTCACGGACGTTGGTATCTGGTGATCTGGAGGCCAGTAATTAAGGGGGATGAACTACGTTTTATTATGTCCCCACCACATAGTGTGGGGCCATATTGTCGGCCTAGGCGCGTCCGTCTGTCTGTCCGACCGTACGTCCATCCGTCTGTCCGTACGTCTGTTCGTCCGTCTGTCCGTACGTCCGGGAGTTTTCTTCAAAACCGCTACAGATATCACCTTCAAATTTTCAGGGATAACTTATGAGTGCATACAGATGTGGATGAAAATTTTTTAACTCGATACCTACTTCCTGTCGGCCATTTTGAAGTCAAATGCTAAAATCCTTGTCTGCAAACTTTAAGAAAAACGGCTTCACAGTTGCTTTTAAAACTTTAAAATCTTGTTCAGCTCACTTCATTCTAGATCTGATTAGGTTTTGGACCTGTTAGCTCAGTCATGTCAGCCATTTTGAATGTCTTAAGAAAAGTTAGCGCACGATACTACTTTGTATCATATTGAATGGTGTTTTTGAGTTTTCATACTTTAACTATTTAGTAGCTTTATAAATAATTTCAGATGTACTTTGTTGTTAAAGCCTATGTTATTGTTAACAGTAGTTATATGTGATAATTTTGTAAGAAGAAATCAGCAAAAACACATAATCACTTTTTTTTTGTCGGCAATTTTTGAATTTTTTGGTCCTAAAATCTTGTCTGTGAAGTCTTGTTTACGTGTTTTCAGGTGAACCGTTTGGTGGATCAATTTCAAATTTTCAGGGATGATTCTTAGTATAAAAATCTAGATCTGATTTGTTTTTTGGCATTCTGGGTAAATGTCAAGGCAGCCATTTTGGATTTTCCGTCCTAAAATCTTGTCTGTAAAGCAGTCTTGTCTACGCGTTTTCAGGTGAACCGTTTGGTAGATCAATTTCAAATTTTCAGAGATGATTCTTAGTATGAAAATGTAGAACTGATTAGTTTTTTGGCATTCTGGGCAAATGTCAAGGCAGCCATTTTGGATTTTCTGTCCTAAAATCTTGTCTGTAAAGTCTTGTCTATGCATTTCCAGGTGAACCGTTCTGTAGATCAATTTCAAATTTTTAGGGATGATTCTTAGTATGAAAATCTAGATCTGATTAGTTTTTTGGCATTCTGGATAAATGTCAAGGCAGCCATTTTGGATTTTCCGTCTTAAAATCTTGCCTGTAAAGTCTTGTCTACGCGTTTTTAGGTGAACCGTTTGGTAGATGAATTTCAAATTTTCAGGGATGATTCTTAGTGTGAAAATCTTCATCTGATTAGTTTTTTGGCATTCTGTGTAAATGTCATGGCAGCCATTTTGGATTTTCTGTCCTAAAATCTTGTCTGTAAAGTCTTGTCTATGCGTTTTCAGGTGAACCATTTGGTAGATCGATGTCATATTTTCAGGGATGATTCTTAGTATGAAAATCTAGGAACAGATTAGTTTTTTGACATTCTGGGTAAATGTCAAAGCAGCCATTTTGGATTTTCCATCCTAAAATCTTGTCTGTAAAGTCTTGTTTACATGTTTTCTAGTTAACTGTGTGACGGATCAATTAAAAATTTTCAGGGATGGTTCTTAGTTTGAAAATCTAGAACTGACTAAATTTTTGGCATTCTGGGTAAATTTTAAGGTGGCCATTTTGGATTTTCCGTCCTCAAATTGTGTTGGTAAAGTCTTGTCTACTCATTTTCAGGATAACCATTTGATGGGATCACCCACTGGTGGGGACATTTTGTACACATTTGTGTTCTTGTTTAACGTTGCCAAACATTAGATGGACGCCAAAAAATAATAATTCCCGAGTCCCTTGGATGCAGTTTTCCCACAGCAGTTTCCAAAAATCTTACCTCTTTGAATGCTAAAACTGTAAAAGTAGAAACATTTTCACCCCAGAGCAGCTTTGTATCCTCTGTATGCACGTTTTAAGAGACTCTTTGTATGAAATCTTAAAAAATGTGATTCAAAATGATTCGCCATATTGATAGCCTCAAGATCTCAGCCGATGCATCATCATACAGATCTGATCTTTTTTACATATATACTGTACATGTACACACGATTATTTGCTGAATCTTTACTGTTTTGTACATATTCTCAGAAAAATGATCCATACTCTCAGATGGCAGGCAAAATAATAACCAAATGAAAAGTGAAAAAATAACATTTTTCACTTGGGACAAAGGAGTTTCGCACAAAAAGAGATTTTCAAGATGGCCGCTTAATTTCAAAATGGCGGCCATTTTTCGTAAAAATATGTAATCTTTGATAACTCAAATACCAGTAAACGGATTTGGTTCAAATTTTATATGATGATGCTTAGGGACACAGTAACTATGTTTGACAAAACATTTTCAAGATGGCCGCTTAATTTCAAAATGGCGGCAATTTTTCGTAAAAAACGTATTCTTTGATAACTCAAATACCAGTGAACAGATTTGGTTGAAATTTTATATGATTATGCCTAGGGACACAGTAGCTCTGTTCAAGAAATAATTTTCAAGATGGCGGCTGAATTTCAAGATGGCGGCCCAAATTCCTTAAAAAACGTAATCTTTGATAACTCATATACCAGTGAGCAGATTTGGTTCAAATTTTATATGCTGATGCCCAGGGACAAAGGAGTTTCGCACAAAAAGAGATTTTCAAGATGGCCGCTTAATATCAAAGTGGCGGCCATTTTTCGTAAAAATATGTAATCTTTGATAACTCAAATACCAGTAAACGGATTTGGTTCAAATTTTATATGATGATGCTTAGGGACACAGTAACTATGTTTGACAAAACATTTTCAAGATGGCCGCTTAATTTCAAAATGGCGGCAATTTTTTGTAAAAAACGTAATCTTTGATAACTCAAATACCAGTGAACAGATTTGGTTGAAATTTTATATGATTATGCCTAGGGACACAGTAGCTCTGTTCAAGAAATAATTTTCAAGATGGCGGCTGAATTTCAAGATGGCGGCCCAAATTCCTTAAAAAACGTAATCTTTGATAACTCATATACCAGTGAGCAGATTTGGTTCAAATTTTATATGCTGATGCCCAGGGACAAAGGAGTTTCGCACAAAAAGAGATTTTCAAGATGGCCGCTTAATTTCAAAGTGGTGGCCATTTTTCGTAAAAATATGTAATCTTTGATAACTCAAATACCAGTGAACGGATTTGGTTCAAATTTTATATGATGATTATTAGGGACACAATAGCTATGTTCGACAAAACATTTTCAAGATGGCCACTTAATTTCAAAATGGCGGCAATTTTTCGTAAAAAACGTAATCTTTGATAACTCAAATACCAGTGAACAGATTTGATTGAAATTTTATATGATTATGCCTAAGGACACAGTAGCTCTGTTCAAGAAATAATTTTTCAAGATGGCGGCTGAATTTCAAGATGGCGGCCCATATTCGTAAAAAACGTAATCTTTGATAACTCATATACCAGTTAACGGATTTGGTTCAAATTTTATATGATGATGCCTAGTTCACAATGGTATAAACTAACTTTGTGCCAAATTTCATGCTTCTATCTCAAAGTGCACAAACATTTCAACATTTACACTAGCTATAATAAGCATAATATGTTTTGTCCGGTGGGATTTGCTACTCCGTGGAGTTGCTGTTTTTTCTAGTTTAAATCTACATAGTACAATCATATATTTGCCACTGAATGAATCCATTTAATAAGAAAACAATGCAGTATGATGCAATAGACGCACCATTTGTGATCAAAACAAATGGTGTGCCTAAGCATAGGCTTCTAATTGAAAGCCCATGGCCTAAGTAGGCACATCGTTTAAGTACAGCAGCGTGATAAAAACATTTGGATAAACGAATTAAGGACAATGAGTTCTTTTTGGAAATAATTTTAGATGAATACCCTATATTTATATTAAAATTAAATTCATTATATTTCTTAGAACAATTTTGCATGTGAATTGTATTTGCTATTTTATGTGCCAAATATAAACTTGTTTATTGTATAGTCTTAACATATGGACATAGACCTGAAATTATCCATGATATCTATGGCCAATTCTACCTTCAAAACTATTTCATAACTATTTCATAGTAATTTAAGGTTAACATATTCATTTTCTCTAAATGTTTTATACATGTTATATAAGATATCTTTTATTGACATTTTATATCAGTCACATGATACATTGGTCACTAAATCACTACAAACTACTACTACAACTATTCTAACTATAAAAATAATTATTATACAGTGTGATGCACACTACTAATACTGAAACCATGATACATACATTTTCCAATGTGTAATTGAACAGTTAAGTGTTCAGTTGCCATTAACCTTTTAAAAAAATATGGGTCATCACAATCAAAACTAAGAATAATTTCTTTTAATTTTGAGTACAAACATTCTCTCAGTATTTCATGTTGTAATCAAATGGTTTTGTAAAATGAATGAAACTATTATGTGTACCACTGTCCATTATTAATGGTACTTGACATATATGTGTACCACTGTCCATTATTAATGTGTACCACTGTCCATTATTAATGGTTCTTGACATATATGTGTACCACTGTCCATTATTAATGTGTACCACTGTCCATTATTAATGGTACTTGACATATATGTGTACCACTGTCCATTATTAATGTGTACCACTGTCCATTATTAATGGTACTTGACATATATGTGTACCACTGTCTATTATTAATGGTACTTGTCATGGAAATTTTTCTTTTCTTCCTCCTCAATTTTCATCTCTTCTTTGACCTGCTTATAAGCCCAGATCTCCGTCTTTAGATACTTGTTATTTTGAAATTTTTTATCCAGCAGTTCTTCGTGAAGTTTTTCAAGCGCAAGTGCATCAACATTAGGATCCCAGAGCCACAATTTCTGGTCCATACGGATCATATCATGTAGTTCTTTCCAATTTGCACCCGCCTCGCTATATTTCTCCGCAAGTGCAGCAGGATTACGTGATGTCTTCATATATTCCCCACTAAATGAATAAATAATGGCCATGCCTGTGGCAAACATTGATGAGCTACCAATAGCGCCACCTGCTTTTCGTTTTAAAACCTTAGAGAAAGAAACACCACCTAGCCCAGCTAGACCACATGAACCAAGGACAGTTTTAACAACTTCCATATTCCTTGCCCTTTCTTCCCAATGATCAGCTGACAAATAATGTGCCCTCGTCACTATACGTGCATGTTGCCTCATTCCTGTCCATAACGCATCAATCTCTTTGCGACGCTGGATTTCAAATGGTGTGAATTGTTTAGGTTTTGAATTCTCTATCCCCATATTTATGAATCTGTGAACCTGACTCAGATTGTATCCTCTAATAGTTTTAATCTCAGTAGCTGTGCATGTTGTTACTGCAACTTAGTTGTATGTATACATGTATAATATGCACTGCCTAAATATCTATATTTATACATCAAGGTCATTTACTGAAAAATAAAATTGCATATGTGTTTTAACTCATTTTGCAAAAGTAAGATAAAGATTCTAAAAAAAGTTTAATCAAACACTAAGAGGTGAAATGAACCTATTGACCTTTCAAGTATTTACCAAGCATTACCATTCAACATGTTGTCCATTACAGTTCTAATGCCACAAGAAATCAACCTTTTTTAACACCACAACATCCTACACTTTGATAGAGTAAAGCTCTATTGGTATGATTGGATTGTTTAGTGGGTAACTTTAGAATGTAACTTACAAATAACTTTCAAAAAACTGTAGTACATGTAAAGAAAAACATGTAGAAACATAAATAAAATGGTTAGCCAATTATTGATGGCTCATGAAAACCTAAGTAGCACCTACCTTAGATTTCAATCTATTAGAAGTCCTGCTCACCTGCTTATAAATGAAATAATTCACATTGCCAGATACAATATCAATAGTTGCCTATTTCTGGGTAATTGCCAGATGTGTGTGATAATGCTGAATTTGACCAGTTTAGAAGCAAATGCACCAGCTGTTGCGCATTTGCTTATGCCTGTTGTTCCGGAAATGGGGGGGGGGGCTGAATAGTGGATGAATTGTTTGAGACAAACATATTATAATTATGATGTGATGTTTGTTTGCTTTAATCTTATTTCCATTGTGTATTAGCTTATACTTATAGTTATGAAATGCTTTGTTTGTATATTTGAGATGTTTGTCTGTTGTTTTGGATATGGTATGAATGCTGATTGTATTAATAATAGTAAAGATGAAGAAAGTTTGTCTGCTATTTTGATAATTAAATATGAAGTAGCCTAAATGACAACTGACAAACTAATAAGTAGCTTAGTATGAGAATATTTAGAATGTTTTAGTATTAACAGTTTGTTCATTACGATATATTTTTATGAGATGAAAAAGTAATATTTGGCATAGAGGTTAAAATATATTCCCTCAGACAGAACTTGTGATAATAATAAACAAAAAACACGGAGTGCTCATCAATACTGGTTATCGAGATACATCATCACTAGAGCGAACTCCCCCCCCCCTCCATCAAAATCATGCAGTTTTTCACCATTCTGAACATTTTTTAAGTGATTTTGGTCATTTTGGATCAAAATTGTCAAAAGTGAACCCCCTGGAACTTTTCAAAAAGTGAACCTCTCTTGGCAAATTCTGGCTACGGGCCTGTCTGTTGTTTTTACCACCTAATGTTACATAATCATATGTGTCTAGCGTTGTATCAGGCCTCTCTCACAAAGAAATATTAATTGGAAAGAGACAGCAAGAAAAAAACATGCACACACAAAAATATGATAGGGCATTCTAGCTGATCGTTTTGTAAACAAACTCAAAAAACTGCAGAGTTGATTACTTATGGAAAATCAACATCAATTATTTGGTGTTGGAAAATGTGATGTCACTAACCTGAGGAATTCACATCTAAGCCAATGACATTTAGAATAATAAATAACATGATGAAATGATAAATAACATGATAGGCTGGCAATGCTACATGTATGAGTTTAGAGGGGGTGCATACATATGAAACACATATTATTATTAATAAAAAACTGGAAATAGTATATTGAAATTGTTAATGGAATTGATTCTTGGGTCTAAAAAGTCTTAATTATGAAAAGAGCAAGATGACCCTGTAGAAATGATAAATGATACTAGTAGGCAATGCCAATACCCATATATTGATCTAAAAATCTCACAAAAAGTCTGAAAAATAAGATCACTCTCTTTTTATTATGATGCATATTCCAAAGTCTGATGTCCAACGTTTAGCCGTGCAGGGTCCAAATTATTTTTGTCAGATGATGGATGAATAATAAAATAATTTTAGCATATGATGACATGATTATTATAAATATCCACATTAGATTATTCTGCTGTTTTTAACCTGGCCAGAAACATGTATAATCTACTTTTGACTGCTTCATTAAGGTTTCATCATATTAAGCTGGGAATTTAACTATGTTGTGTCCTTTAGATGAAGAGGTTACTCACATGACTCATGTTATCAAGTATATAAGATACAAATTATGAATTAATATTCAGATCAACTGATGAGAGATTGTTGGAAGGGCAGCTGAGAACCATAATACAATAATCGTGATAATATTAGCAAGACATTCAGAGCTTCTGGAAATAATGTAAGTGGGCAGGAAACGTGAACTGATGATTGGGGATTGATCTTACTTAGACTTACTCTGTCTCAAAGGCACAATTATTTTGTCTGGACAACATTGGCGCATTCAGATATTCAAACTTTGCATATCATTCAGAAAATTCTAATCAATATACAGCGTTATATCACTGACATTTTCAGATTTTTATGGCTGCAAGGCAACTAACCTTTTTTGTTATTAAGTAATTGTTTTTCAGATGATACGTAAATCATGATGAGGCTCATTGTTTACATACACAGTGAAATAAAGGTTTCCATACTATTTTTTTTGTATCATAAAAATTACCTTTTTTACTTTTTATGTGTTCCAGATTAAAACCTGACGACAAAACATTAGGGGTAATAACTGACAGGATGCCACCAAGGAACCCGGATTTCGATGTGGCTTTTGACCCCCTGGAGCTTCAGACCAATGATGATCACGTCAACGCAGGGGGAATCGCTCCAGTGGTGACAGAAGCAACACATGAACAGAAGAGACCTCCTCGTAGGATCGTATGGCGCAATGTGGTTCTGTTCACCCTGTTACATGCTTACTCTCTCTGGGGAATCATCTGTATACCATGGGCCCATCCCCTCACTTGGCTGTTCAGTAAGTTTTTATGTCTTTTAAAGAGTCTTACCCTTGCATTATGATGACAGTTCTTGGCATGGGGTGAATTAAATTGCTCAGAATTAATCATTTACTGTAAATGAGAGAATTTAAAAGATTACCTAGAATTAGTGACTTTAAGTGTTCAAAGGTTTCTGAAGTGATGTCTTATGAATGAATCGGATGAAATATTTTAGTTGATATATTAGTTGTGTACTGTGTACATGTATGTTTTTTTTCCAGCCATATTTTTGTATACAGCAAGTGCTATAGGAGTTACAGCAGGGGCTCACAGACTCTGGGCACATAGGTCATACAAGGCAAAGCTCCCTATGAGAATCATTCTTACCATGATGAACTCAATGGCTCTACAGGTGCGTAAATTAACTCTTCTCAACATGGTACAAAATCCCTGCCTCTGAGATTCCAAAACTGTTACTTTGTACTTAAATGCTATAAAACTACTCCCTTTGTGTGCCAGTGGTCTCATTAACATTGTGGTCATTAGCAAATGGTGGCTGCATCTGCTTGAGGTTTTGAAAATAAGTTTGAAAACCAAATAAAAAAACAATGTTTTTTTTAAACTAGGATTTGACCATAAACTTGAATTGGATTGTGTACTTCAACTATTTAAGCTTATCAACTGTTATTGGATGTGAACTGTGTAGATTATTCATGCATTGTGTAACATCTGATCTACTGATGAGTCTAAAGTACATAAGTTCATCTTGCAAACATTAAATCATACAACTCAAAAATTACAATTATTCAATTAATTTTAAATTAGTGTGAAGAATTCTATCGTACACAAACACAAATAATAGTTATTCAACTCAACAATGATTTTCATGAATCTGTCTTCATTGTGATGATCAAAAAAGCCCATGCCCATGCGGCTGAAACTATTCCATATACAGTCTACTACATGGAATTAATAGCTGTATCCTTTTCTCCATGCTACAATAATCAGATTCAAACAATACCTCCCACTATTTATTGATTACATTGTACCCATCAGATCAACGTCAAATCAATCTTCTTTTAAAATCAACAATGGAAATATCAGAGATTCAGACATATTAATATATATATTTTGTAGAAGGAAGGAAGCCCACGATTATTAATTTATTTCAAATTTTAACATATTTATAATTGTTCAAGTATCACACAACATTTGCCTTTGATGGTGTGAAGCTTTCGGTCCTAGATTTGGGGATTTGACCAGAAGATTAACATCATTGGAGTTGATATCATTGAGTTGACATAATTGATCTGATATCATTGAGTTGAAATCATTGAGTTGATTTCATTGAGTTGACATCATTGAGTTGAAATCATTGAATTGATATCATTGAGTTGACATCATTGATCTGATATCATTGAGTTGACATCATTGAGCTGATATCATTGAGTTGACATCATTGAGTTGATATCATTGAGTTGACATCATTGAGTTGATATCATTGAGTTGACATCATTGAGCTGATATCATTGAGTTGACATCATCGAGTTGCCAAGGTAACATTTTTTGCAAATATCTTTAGGGTTAATATGTTATCCGATTGTTAAAAAACATTCTAACAATTTTGACATTTATCATTTTTCAGAATGACATTATTGAATGGGCAAGAGATCACAGAGTCCACCACAAATACTCCGAGACAGATGCTGACCCCCATAATGCCAGACGTGGTTTCTTTTTCTCCCACATTGGCTGGCTGTTGGTAAGGAAACATCCCGATGTAAAAGATAAGGGCAAGAATATTGACCTTAGTGACCTCTATGCTGACCCAGTGCTGCGATTCCAAAGAAAGTAAGATAACCACCATATACTTGACATTAGCTTATTGAAATGAATTAAAAGCACTTTTCACTAATAAACAAAAACTACTGGTCAGTTTTCCTCTGAGGATTTTTCTCATGTGACATGCTCCAGCATGGTCCTTGGCATTGATATTGCCAACATTTTTGAATGCCAAAAATGCCTTTGTTAGTTATCCCAACAAACCAAGTTTGGTAGGGATATAGTGAAGCCCTCTGTCAATCTGTCAGTCCGTCCGTCTGTTAATCCTCCCATCTGTCCGGAAGATAACTTGAATACTGGTCGAAGGATTTTCTTCATATTTGGTGGAAAATGTATATTGGAGAATAATTTTTTGCAAAGCAATAAATAATAATATTTGAAATTTTGGTACTATATTCACAACATCTATCTATTTCACATATATTCCGTGAATGGGGATTTGGAAAACAGGAATTAGCTTTAATTTTGAGATGGTTTTGAAGTATAGCTTTATTATACTCAAATGAAAGGCAATTTAGAGAAGATTGCAAATATTTCATCGTTTTTCTGATATGGGCTTCGTAAAAATTCAAAATGGCCACCTTATGTGGGAATTTCACAATAATTTTCTGATCTCTTAGAAGTATGGCTATATTATACTCACATTGGAGATAGAGTATATCACAATTATGGTATTGTTTTTCTAATTTGTGCCTCAGAAAATTTAAAATGGCTGCCGAGAGCAGGATTTCAACATTACATCAAGATATCTTTAAAGTATGGTCACATAATACTACAATGAACTCAAATATTTATCGAAGGGAAGAGTAGATGGTAAATATTACATTGTGACTGTACAGATTCATGATTTATTTATCAATACCTTTAATTTTAATATGTTGGTATCTGACCATTCGCAATTTTATGTTTAAAAAAAGAATTTTGTAGTGCAATTTTGTGAGGACATTGACATGTCATCCACAAAAAGATTACCCAGTTTTGAACTGCCCTCTATTACACATACAAGTAATAATAACAAAGTCCATTAAAGATGTCAGTCTTTATTGTTCAACATTAAATAATGAATGGAACAACCTAAACTGATTGTGTGTTATTTCTTCCAGATACTATGTCCCCTCTGTGTTGTTGATGTGCTTTCTAATACCAACTTTGGTACCTCACTTCCTGTGGGGGGAAAGTCTCTGGTACGCATTCCTCATCCCTGGTCTTCTGAGACTCTGCGCCACTCTCAATGCCACCTGGATGGTCAACAGCGTGGCACATATGAAAGGAGACAAACCATACAATAAATTCATCAACCCTGTTGAGAATATCTTCGTTATCTTTGGCGCCGTTGGTGAAGGGTTCCATAATTATCACCACACTTTCCCGCATGATTATTCCACCAGTGAGTTTGGATGGAAGTTTAACCTTACCACTTTCTTCATTGATTGTTTCGCGAAAATGGGCCTCGCAACGGATCGACGTAAGATGCCATATAATTTAGTATTTAGAAGAGCGCTGAAAACCGGAGATGGAAGTCATCATGGCGTACAGAAACATTTACAAGAAACAGAGGCAAATGAGGAAAAGACGTTAGAAAGTGAGAAGCCTAAAGATGAATGATCTGATAACATTTTGTTGCAGTGCTAAACAGTTATATAGGCGTGTGGTCACAGAGATAAACTTATTCAATCTGAATGGGGATTGTTGCCTGCAATGAACTTAAAGTTGTATTGGTAGAAATGTGTCATGAAGTTGTGAGATGTATTCACGCAGACCACCTTAAGAAGTGAATTTAGCTTAAGACTTTATACAAGCAAACACTTTGCCTCCATAAGCAGGCCAGAAGGTATTAGGTATAATATATATATAATGGTACTATATAAATGTAAATAAATGGAGGGTTGTTATATTATACTTCCATTAATGTTGTAAAAATGCTTTTAAAGTTAATGTAGCCAATACATTGAAATACTAAGGGCAGTGGTAAAGCTGATGTTATGTTTGACATTTAAAACATGTCTAGTTAAAAGCCCATGGTTGTACTTCCCTACATGTATAATATTTCTCTACAAAAGATAGCTAAATATTTCAAGCAGATGTATTTTTCTCTTTGCTTACTTAATGCCAAAAGCAGCTGCATTATTTGATACTGTAGTTTGCATTAATAAAATAATCTGTACTGTATGCATCGATGTATTATCCACAGGGTGATCACAAAATATTACAAATGTACAAGTATTACATATAGGATGGCCAAAAAATGGTCTTATTTTTTTGTGTTATTCTATAGAATAGACTGTAAAACACACAGGAGTTTAACTCATGGAAAAATCACAGAGAAATACTGTTTTAGATGCTAAAGTTGTAACATTGTAAATGTACACCTGATTACCTGTATATGTATTTTAGATACAAAATGCCAAAAAGATGTGCATCCACAATCATAGTGGGTAGGTACCCAGAGTACCCAAAAGTTGCTGTATTTTAATGAAGTAATATTATAATTGGATTGTATCATAATAACAGCATTATGTATTTCTTTGGTTTTGTATTACATTTTGAGGAAATACCAGTGTGGTCTTATATTCTCATTTTTGCCAATTTGATTATCATCACTCACTACCTTTAAGGCAAGACAAATATTAGTGTGGGCAATTAATATTAGTTTGGGCACACCCATCATGGCTAATTGAAATACTGTAAATTAGTTTAGTTTGGCAGTACATAAAATTTACTATTTTTAGGAAATTGAACTATTTTTAATTTGACATTTTTTGTGAAAGTATATCGAAAATACCTTAGGATATTGTGGTTTACTATGTCCATTATACAGATTGAAATTAGCAATGTCATACAAAATTTGTTAACACCAAATTGAAGCAGTTTGCAGTATTTGGGAGGTCAAACTGGGAAATAATGTTAATAGGTTTAGGAGTGATTACTCTGGTAACACCAGTAACAATTTATACAAGTGCCATTAAAAATTACTGAACACTAACTGGCTCTGTAGGTAATCGTTGTTGTTTTTAGCTGATTTTTTTAGCTTAATTTTATTTTATTTGGATATGTTTCAAAGAAGCATAATGGTGTCATTTTATAGTTTTTGTCATTCAAATAAATGTTCATATTGTGTATACCTTTTTGTATGTTGAGATTACTCCCCCCCCCCCAATAATTTGCATGACCAGTTACGTAGTTGTATACCTGTGCATCTTTCACAAGTGATATTCCAGCGGTAGTAAGTTCCCTTTAACTAAAATTACATCTGTTCTAGTGGTGAAATATCACCCTTATGTAAGCTAATAGTTATGCAAATTGAAATATGTCCAGTAAAAGAAAATGTTATCTGTCCAATACAAGAAAAGATATTTCACTTTTTGTGATTTTGTAACATGGGGTCTATGGGGAATCTCCCCTAACAAGAAGTCACATTTAAAAAAAAAATTTGAAGTTGATAAATAATTTCGAAACCATACTTTAGATCTACTTTTACATGCAGATTTCAAATATGACATCACTTTAACCATGCTTTGACTGAATTTTGAATATTAAATGACGTAAATCAAGATTATTTCTATTCGCATCTAGTCTATTAATCATAACAATGTACTCCGGGATATATAAAACGAAAAGAACACTGGACTGAGTCGGACTAGTGAAAATCATTAAATTTTGATATTGAATATTGTTTGTTATTTTTAGTCACATGTTGGATATGGACCAATCAAAGAGTGAGGAATCACAATGACATATTACTCAGTGCAGTGTACAATAAATCACCCAAAGTTTAGGGTTATACCATTAATATATATATAAGTTAGTACTTCTGAACCGTTGTTGCCTATGTTGTTTTTATAAAACAGACATATATTAGAAGTAGGATTTGATCTCATGATATCTGCAAAAAATAACTTGTCCAGATTTTCCTAAAAGCCTATAATGTAGGTAATTGCGCTAGTTATTAAGTAGAAGATGTGTATTTAAAAAGGCTATTGGAACCAGAGAACTTTCTTTGACAAATGTTTTTTTGTGATATATTAATGGAATAATAGATTGATTGTGAAATCAATAATGTTTTCACTTTATTTCATCAGTTCAGATGTCATGTTTGTACCCTAATATGGTATTTCAACAAAATGCCATTTCTGTATTGATAAATCCCTTTTGTATCGTTTAAAGTTTACAATTTGCAGGATCCTGTTCCAGGGGAAGATAACAAGAGGAAAGGGGCCAAAATTTGCTTTGTTTGTTTGTTTGTTTGTTTGTTTTTGAAGGACTTTTTGTTCGAAAAATCATGAATTTATTTAAAACTAATTTTTAGAGGTCACACATCGTCCCATTATTTCCACATTGTTACAATTCCATTTTCGCTGATATTGAGAAATCAGAGGTTGAAGTTTAGGTCTTCATAACTTTTGAGTGGTAATATTTAAAAACTTATTTTTTCGTAAAGGTAATCATGTATATATATGTAGGCCTTGCAGACCAAAAATCACTGATTAACAATAAATAAAACTCATCTTTTTTATGGTTCCATTTTGACTGATAAGGTACTGGATGAGCTTGGTCCATGTTTTTGATTACAGGATTGCATTTTTCTAATTATATTAATTATGTGAAATATATCGTTTCCCATTGATTCTGAAAATAATAGGGTCTAGTTTTTCAGCATCTGTGAATTATTGCCATTTAAACCCCCTTGGAAACTTTTATGTGGGGGTACTATGATAATCATCAATAATTTCTGTTATATACCTTCAATCACATTCATATTTTTAGGGATTATGTATCTATATATAATTAGTTGCTATGCCAAGTTTGACCATGATTGGTCAAGTGGTTGCCATAACAACACAACTTAACTGCGAAAATTGTAAATATTTTGGATAATCCACCAGATCTTTAAAAGGTACATGACAAAGGTAAAAAGGCTATAACAGGGAAACAGGGTCAGTAATTGATTAAGTTCACTGAATAAACTTTTTTATGTTGCAAATAATCTCAAATCTGCTTTCTTTTGTTTGTAATACATGTATGGTATCATGATTTGTGATCTCCTTTGTTAATTACCTGCAATGTAGACTTGTAAGAGATCATCCCATTATTTCCACATTGTTATAACTATTGGTCACATGATCAAAATTATGTATGTGATTGGCTCTGCTGCCTACCCAAACGGATATGACAAGATGGGCCTACATTTTTTTCCTCATTTTGCACTTATAACAATGTGGAGATGAGATCCATTGAAATGGACCTCAGAAATGAATTCCTCGTGAAAAATTGAGAAAGATAGTATACTTATCTCAAAAACTGTAAAACGTGAGTTATAACAATGTGGAAGTATAAATGGGACGACATATCTTTCAATAAGCGATAAGTCATACCAATGCATAGCATTCATCCTCACATGTTTTTTGCCGAAAAAATTAAGGAAATCGGTTCATAAATAAGCGAGAAATGAACTCATCAATGCATGAAAATGGTTCAAAGAAAAATGTATTTCAAAATTTTAGTTCTCAAAGAAACCAATGGTACAATAATATCTAAAAACACTATATATTCTTCCTTTTATCTTGGTTAGACAATGAACATTGGTTTATTTTTGAAGTTAAGCATATGTAGAAAAGATTGACATAGAAAAATAATTCAATTTTTCAAAAGGCTTTTGCCACCTGAGTGAGCCATAATGATATCACTTAGGTTGCAAAATATTTTTATATTAAGTCACTTAGGTTGCAAAATATTTTTATATTAAGTATTGCGTTTTATTATTGAAGGCCTTTGTTCAATCTTTGCATTGGTGTTAAAACACGGGGGCTTTAAAAGATAGCTTCGTCTTAGGCAGTTTAGCTTTGCGCGCAGGGTAATAAATAATGCTGGCTGATTTTAGCAAAAACATTGACCTTTACACGTTAGTTACGATGGATATCATACCTTAGAAGCGTATCAATTCAAAAAAAGCTCAGAAGTAAATAAATATACCAGATTTGTTGAATTTTCTTGCAGAAATCGCCGCACCCCCTCCGTTCATTCTGTCCGATCACCGGGCGTATACATCTTTTATTGACTCTTTGAACTAAAACGATGTGACCTAAATACGGGCCTAAATATCAGCCTGTCTGTTTACATAAAGATGAACAGATGCAAAATTAGAAGGGGGAAATAAAACCAAAATTGAGGAATCCAATGACTATAGTACCTTTACAAGGCCGTGCTAGTTAAAATGTGTTTAAACTAAGTATTTTAGTATTTTAAATCACGATGAAAAACGAACTCGAAAAACGTAACGTCGTCGTGGTCCATCCTTCTTCAAAGGACTTCATTTATGCCTAAATTATATACTTGTAAAATACCCTTGCAGCAAGGATGTCGTGGTCTGTAATGTCATACTTTTAAGTGATGTCTCGGTTCTGCGGTTGTTAAAAGACAAATTTTATTATGGATAGGTATTTCCCGAAAGGTATTTAGGATCATTATGAGAAAACGCACGTGACATGATTACATAATGTTCAGTATGAAAATAACAAAAACTCTTCTGTAAATTCTCTGTCTGTAAAACGTTTGATTTCTTAGCTCTTAAGCGTCTCTTAAATTTCCTCAAACCCTGTTTAGAGGCCACTTGTGGAAAACATCGACTTGTTGGTGACCGGCGGGGTCGGTCTTTTTCGTAAACTTATTCAATCATTTTATTACAAAACAATTCTGTACTCCTAACTCTCAGAAATAGATTTTGATCAATGTTTTATCAAGCTTATTGATAGGCTACAGTAATGTGTACTCCTAACCAGTGAAAAATTCTCTTGCCTTCTATTCCCAAAAAATGAGAAAATAGTTTTCTGCTTTCTTGCAGTTTCATTTACTGTCTACTGTTCATAAATCACCAACATAATGTATTATATTGGATTGGTCAAATTTCCGAGAGAGGGGAAACAACTGATTTCTCACTTCCTTTCAATTAAAATTGATTTTTGTCCAACACCCAAATTAAATTATGAATATTCAAAAGAGGACATTTAAATCTACACTGTAAAAATATTAAAATTGGCCGAAGCAGGCGTAACGTGCAGTAGACCGATTCAATAAAAGAAGTCTCGTTTTGGAGAACGAAGTTCAGCAGACAACTGCACTGATAATTTTTTTATAAAAAATATAGAAATAACACCCAAATAAGATCATGGATATTCAAATATTCAAAAGAGGACATTTAAATCTACAATATGTAAAAATATCAAAATTGTTGAAAGCAGGCGTGGCGTAACGTACAGTAGACTGATGTACTTCGTTCTCCAAACCGAGACTTGTCTTTTGATTTGGAATTTTTAGAAGTTATGTTTGTTAATTTAAACACTTTAAAGGTGCCCGGAAATCCTGGTACCCCAAACCCAAAACATGAAGCATTTATTTACTCATTAAATAACCAGACAGCTAATTCTTGAACTCAGTAAAATTTTCCGGAGGCATTCCCCTTTCACTCCCCCAAAACCGCAATTGAAAGAATTCTGAATTTTTGATTCTATTGATTCAAACGCTTGAAAGTCCAGAAATCACTGAATGTTCAGTTTCCCAGGTAATTAAAGGCTTCCCTTCTAGCACTGCCTATCATTTCTCCGAAAGGCATAACTAAAACACGTGGCCAATGGAAAAGTACAATTGAGCTCAACGAAGTAATCTCCTTCGGCTTGCTCATACAAAATATAAAACCAATTACCGTACTCCCCTTGAAGAAAAGTGTCTGACAGGCCTGATATTACAGCAAACTCTAAAACAGGATTCCACTTTTTCTAAAGCGCAAAGTAAAGACAATGATTATGTTCCCCGGCTGAAATTTCAAGAGTTAAAATTTCCCGGGTTAATTATTTCGTGCGGTGTAATGTACTTATATAAGGTGCAATTCTTCCCATCTTGCAACGCTCGCCACGTCTTCATCAGCCATATTGGAACGTGGAAAAAGCAGATCGCAGTGAAAATGAATATTTTTAGGCTTGTTGGGGATCTTTCCCATCTTCTAGCTATTTTACTTCTGTTATGGAAGATATGGAAAACCAGGTCATGTGCGGGTAAGTGCATATTTTCTATATTTATGTTGCAATCTCTTCTCAACGACAGATAAACAAACCGGTATTTTTTTATTTTTTCAAAACTTCCACATCATCAAATTTAAAATCAGGTATCTATCTTTGCTGTATTGTAGCCTATACTGTCAATACAGAGATTAAGTTTTTGTTTTTATCATCCTGTGTAAGTTGTTGTATCGCATAGATATAACAATTATTGTTGAATTTAGTTTACACCTTCCAAAGTTACTCTTGACAAATCCTAGGGGCTGCAAATACTAAAAGTTTACATTTCTAGTGTGTTCTAATATAATTCAGAGGCGTAACTTAAACAGGCTAGCTTGAAATGCACCAGTTTATGTAGATCTGTGACCACGCACACTGTATCTGTATGACATATATTGTATGTTATCAAGGCCCTTGGAATACATTCTTGAATTCTAAATGATGCTTTTCAGTTGATCCATAATCTTCTTGGAGGCATTGGTTTATTATTATATTATTATATCTCTTTATTTCCCATTTAGCATGGAGTACAAAAATTTAAACATTTAACACAACAGTGAAAATTAACCAAAAACAACGACATAAAACACATCTAAAAATTTAAGACAATAACAAAAAACACACAAAACAACAAGAACAATCCACATCTAAAATGTCAATGACAAGTAATAAAGTATATATTAAAAAATCACAAACAGTGGTAGAAAGTCACATTTCTAAAAAATATTTGCATCACTCTAAAATGGAGTGGTAAGATCAATATTTAAAAGTTCTACAACAGTACACAAGAAAGGTAGGAGAATTGCCAAGACTTTTGAATTGTCTGTAAAATATAAGCTGGAGAGGCCTTTCACTGACACGCAAAAGGGGTTTTCTCGAAAATCCTTTTTGAACGAGGCGTTATCAAGGCCCTTGGAATACATTCTTGAATTCTAAATGATGCTTTTCAGTTGATCCATAATCTTCTTGGAGGCATTGGTTTAACGAGGTCATTTAGTTTTTTCATTGATAGATATTCTATCACTTTTCAAAATGGCCGTTGGATTTAGTAGGGGATTCCCCTTATGGCTGGTGCATGCCGGGTCCAGATGTACCACTAAATGGAGGAATTTGACAGTTGAAATAAGTTCAATATTAAAAAGGAAGATTTCATCGCTCTGTCGATAAACTAAGATGATAATGGGTTTGATCAACAGAAAAGCATCATTTAGAGTTCAAGAATGTATTGAGGTATGTAATTTAGGTGTTCAGAACGGGGATAAAACTGGTTAAAGGCAATAATATAGCATCATTGATCCAATGATCCCACAACTGTTTGTAAGTTGTGGACCTCGATAAACTGTATGTAGACTGAAATTCTGAAGGGGCTCAATTTCAAACTGACATGTCAATGCATCAGCTCCATGAATATTTGTATATTTATCCTTTGTATTGGGCCTAGAGATTTGTACGTGGCTATGGGTGGCTAGCGCTGATATTTTTTTACTTTTGAAATCTAACTGTAGGTTTTATTAAGGCTCAGCTGGAAAGTATCATTTTGGTAAAAAATGCTTTACCTGCACATGTTATTTTCTGGTACAAAATTAAGTATGAAGGTATGTGTGTATTTCCTTGCTTTTTTCAGGAAAGTATCATTACACTGTCTACTTTTAGTAAACCTGGAAACGGGTCAATGGTAGCTCCTGTGTTGTCTGGAAACGTTGAAAGAAAATTTGGAAAAATAGAAAGTGTGAAATATCAGAATTTCCTGGAATGCCTACCAGATATTCTAAAAGAAGACAACGTAATGATACTTTTCTGAAAAAAGCAAGGAAATTGACACATGCCTTATACTGTATTATTGTATTACACTGTACTTATTTTCACATCACATTCAGTAATAAATTTTTATAGTAGCTACTAGTCTAGATCCAGAGAGATGCTTCTGGGTCTGTGTTATTCTGGGTCTAGACTAGTAGCTACTATAGAACGATTTATTACTGAATGTGATGTGAAAATAAGTAATACAATACAAAATTGTTACCCCCCCCTGTATTTCTTCAGTTGAATGTCTAAATCATGGCATATCATTTCTATGTGAATACAGTATAAGACATGCAAGTATAGTTCAGAAATAAGAGGAGGGGATTAAGCATCTGATACTAAACGTGTTACAGCTGATTTTACATTAGGGGTTTAATTAAAACCAGCATATCATGATTATTATTAGATTAGTGCTTCCTTGCAACATCTCAAATTAACAATGATTATCTTAGTGTTTAGAAAGTTCTCTAATTTACCAGAACAATTATGAAGGTGGTCACATGGTGCATATGTATTTTTATTTGACAATATATGTCTAACCTACCATATGCTACGTTCGCGTTAACGCCGTTTTTCGCGTTTTTTACGCAGTTAATTTCATCTTCACGCAAAACTGCAACACATCTTACGTATCGTGTACGCAAAAATCATATCCCCCAAATGTACCGATGAAATAATACCAAAAACAACCAAAAAACAAAAATTAAAAACTTAAGCACGCTCTCTAACAGCGTAACATAACGATCAATCTGATTCGTGCATAATATTTGTCTTCCGGTTATTAAGCCAATCAAAATTCTTGTAGCAAACGTATGCGGCTAAACAGGGTATAGCTGCAGAATTTTTTCCGCTGGACCGTTCGTGTGAATTGATCGATTATTTTATAATCTGCACTGTTCAGCCGTGAGGAATCAACTTTTTCATGGTAAATGGAGACAATCAACCGTAATATAGATGGTCACCATGTTAGATTCTTTTTAAATATTTCGAATGGCCACTTGAATCGGTGGGACTGCATTCAAATAACCACGGCTATTTGATGCCTACCGACTGCAGCAATCTGATGCAAGGCACCATACTCGGATGTCATAAGGGGATTCCCCGTCCATAGCCAAACTGCCGATGAAAAAAGGATTATTTCTTCGTTCTGTGCCAATTAACTTTTTTGATTGGAGATTCAATAACATAAAAAGAATCCTAAAACACTCAGGAATTTATTTAGGCAGGTTATCTGTGTAAAACTCGCATCAAAAATTGATAATAATAAGTGCCGTTCCACATCACCACACTTCAGGGTGGGCGTGGCACATCCAGAAGGCTGCAGATGTTCATGACTCCTTGATTTATGTTTTTTCATGATGTTAGAATTTGAGCTACAGTTTAGTCTCGAGAGGTAAATTTTAAAGTTGAAAGATGAAACAATATTGGGGTGTTTGGGAGAGGGAGATTCCATGGATGTACCTTAGCCATGGAAGGTAAGTTACAGGGACTTTGTGGAGGCCTCAGAAGAAGGTAAACAGGAATGACTTGCAATGCATGAGTACATGCGGTGACATAAACAGTTTCTTTTACCACAAAAGCCCGCTGAAGCGACTTTCAAAAAGTACCCCAAAATAATTATTTGTACCCCATTTTTTGAAGTGACCTGGGTATGAAGTACTCAAAATTACTAAGGCCTAGCGCAATCACTGATATGCATCTATGTGATTTTTCTACTTCTGCTTTTAAGGATAGACTAATTTTTAGACTTGACCATTTTATTAAGTACATGTTTTCTGTTTGAAAACCTCTTACTTTATTCTTGAGTCCTAGAGATGGACCTGGTTCATGATGAAAATTAAACCGATCCAAATCTGAATTTTCATGATTATAATGATGTAACTGAGACCAGAATATATGCATAATAACTTCAGATTATTTTAATTGTACATACTTATTACTATACTTATTTATTAACTATAAATTCAATCCTGTTCTTTGTTCTTTTGCAGGTGTGTCCGGCAAAAGTCAGATTATGTTTGGACTCGTCTATATTACTCGCTACTTGGACCTTTTTACCAATTTTATATCCATATACAACACAACAATGAAAGCCATATTTATTGCCGTAGCGATTGCTACCATCTACCTGATATATTTCAAGTTCAAGGCGACATATGATAGTAATCATGACACTTTCCGTATGGAGTTTCTCATTGTGCCAGTTGGAGGACTGGCGTTCCTGGTGAACCATGATTTCACTGCTCTGGAGGTAAGCCATTCAGGTAGTTTATAAAGTTGAATCTAATGTACAATTTGTTGTAAGGGAAAGAGTTGGGAGGAGGCTTGAACAAAACTGTTTCTGTTCTGTTCAGTGTCTTTGGCCATACAGCAGATGTTGTCATAATTTACAATCAAGATGTTTTCTGCTTCCTGGAGTAAAAGTACTTAAATTAAGTCATTGCAATCAACTGCAGCCAAAGGGTTCATCAAAAAGCTTATTAATTAATCATATAGAAACCATATGTTGTAGCTAGCCACTGTATCATTTTAACCATAAGTGTATGGGCTAATTAATCATGTGTTGAAGTGATTTGTAAATTAACATTGGTGAAATAAAAATGTTATCATGTATCTAAATATTGATAATTCACTGATATGTTGTGTAGGTCATTATTAAGTTTTCCTGTATCAACCTCCCTATTTTTGGTGAGATAACATCTTAATACAACAAGATTGTCGTAAAAGCTAAATTAATACATATTTCAAAAATTCAGTCATCTTTTTATAGTATATACGTTCATGTGTTTTTAAGCTGATGAGCGATGTGTAAATATAAACTTATTGTATCTTGAATAATATGATTTCATTGCTTTATATTCCAGATCCTGTGGACGTTCTCCATTTACCTTGAGTCTGTAGCCATTCTGCCCCAGCTGTTTATGATCAGTAAAACAGGGGAGGCCGAGACCATCACCAGTCACTATCTATTTGCCCTTGGCTCATACAGGGCACTGTACATAGTTAATTGGGTCTACCGTTATTATTTTGAGGGATTCTTTGACCTTATTGCCATTGTGGCTGGATGTGTACAAACCATATTGTATTGTGACTTCTTCTATTTGTATGTAACTAAAGGTAAGAGGATTCTTAAGTTTTTCTTAAGTTGAATGTGAATGTAGTTCTAGAATCTTAGAATGAATGGCTTCATCGTATTGACAATTTACATATAGTTTAAACTAGAATCTAGAATTCCCAGTACATGTAGTATGATAAATAAACATGATGTAATGATAATGTTTGTTAATACAGTCATTGGTTCATGCTTGTCTCACAGGAACGCATTTCTTTGACTTTGAAGCCACATTTTCTTGGACATAAATCTCATCTATGGTTTCCAAACTCAACAGACTCCAGCATGCACATTTATAGTCTGCCTTAATAAATGGTTTTCACATGAGAGAAGTTCTATGAACTATAGTTCAAAATGCATAACATGCATTGTGAATGTAACTTTCAGAAGTTATTTGCTAAATGCATTAAAAGCTTGAGTCTTTTATTGGCCAGTGTTTCACTTAGCTTCCTTGATTTTCTTCCCCTTACACACATTGGGAAAATAGAATGGAACCTGCAGTCTTATCGTCACTTGCAAGAAATGCATTCACTTAGGTGACCTTTACATCAGTTACAATGACTGTTTTCTTGGGCCCATATATCATATTCATTTTGGGGCTGTATGTTCAACTGAGTAGTATGCCATGTATGCTCTGTCCCAAAATTCATGATATTTTACCATATAGTGTGTGGTATCAGTGTTGATGTAATATTTTGCAGTGTTGCATGGACGAAGTATAGTGTTGAGACCTTAACGTTTGTGAGCCCTGTTTAACATTATGACATTAAGCTTAAAATGATAACACAATAATACCCCTGCAATAGCATTTGAATAAGCGTATAAGCAAGGCTACAGAAAATGGATATATTCAACAGAAGCCTATATATTTATGCAGCTTGTTACATTAACATGAGAATAGCTAATAAATATAGTCTTGTAAAATCATGCTGAACTGTGGTTGATGCTGCATGTGTTCCACAGGGCAATGGCCAATATCTATATCCTCCCAATATTATGTTCAGTAGATAACTTTTATGACTAAAATACTGCAAGACAAATACAGAAATATTTTATGAAGACATTAATCATTGCATCAATAAAGTTTGTTCATTTTAGATCCCATTTCCCCATTAACCCTCATCATCCCATCACCTCCTCTAACCTGTAATATGATCCCAACCTTTAACTACCATAATCATCAATGGTATTCAAAGGGTCAATGCATTAACTCCACACTCCTCTCTCCTCTGTTCTATTTCTCAGAAACTTACAGATTTACGGAATGGAAAGTTAGAGAACAGAGGACTTCAGAGGCCATAACCAGGATTTCTATAAGAACTGAGACAAAATGAGTTTTTGACAGAAATAATCATTTTGCAGTTTTATCTATTTTCTAGTTTTACAAATTTCCACCTTGATATTTTTGTCTCAGTTGAGTCTTTCCTGGCTAGACAGTGGTGGACTTGATGCAAACATATTGAATGGGATTAATGCATCTTGTTGAATGACATTTTTGTTGTTTGTTTGTTGCAGTGCTGAAAGGCCGAAAAATAACCTTACCAGCATAATGATTTAGTAAAATTAGGTATAATATTTATTACCTTATTTAAAATCTAGTAGTAATTTTTAAAAGCATATAAGCTGTATGGAGTACCTATCAGGAGATGAATTTCTTGTAAATCTCAGAAATGTATGTCACTGAAAAAATAATGGGAATTATTATTATTATATAAAATCATCCATTTTCATTTACTAACCAAATTACAGGGTGACCCAGATATAATCTAATTTGTCTTTAACTAATTGGATATTTGAAAGTAGTGTTTATTATTATATTTACAGAAAAACTGAAAGTATTTCTGAGTCAGGTTTCTGAGGTTTGATCCTGGTAGGTACTCATATGATGTATGCTTATTATTTCTACATAATCGTAATACAGCCTGATCACTATATACACAGCCAATATAATTCGACGCCGTTTCGGCATCGAAAAAGTTTGGCACTGTTTCGACACCGTTCCGGCACAGAAACCTTTTGACACCAAAATTTGCTACCGGACTAGTCAGTCCAATTGGTGCCGAAACGGCGTCGAAAATCAGATTGGATTTTGGGGGTGTAAATATTATCTATTCAGTGTTTGTGATCACCCTGTATATAAATAGATACACATTTTTAATTATATGCACATTTTAATTTTGAAAAGATAATTTCTTGATAGAAAAAATGAACATCAGTTCTAGTAAAAAAGTTGCATATTGTAGCAAGTTGCAGCTGTTCACTCATACAGTCACTGGTCTCCCATGAATGTTTTCTTTAAAATGCATACAAAATTAAGATAATTTTCACCAAAATTTGTCAATACATGTTGAATTTTCAAGAAAGTCACCCTTTTCAAGTGGGTTCAAACTTATTTTCAAAATCTCAGGAGGTTCAACACCTATTTGCTTAAACATGGGGAGGTCATTGACTACTCTTTCCTTGATATGCATGTACTTCAATAGTTTATACTTGGTAGATGGATTACACAGACATATAATAAATTATGTAATAGTGTAATACTATGCACTTGTATGATAATGCACAACCCAAATACATTTATATTTTCCATAGAATCTAACTTTCCTCTCTCTGTTACACTTAATCTGTTTAAAATTAAGTTCTATTAAATGTTGTTTTCTGTTGATTGTTCCAGTGATGCATGGGAAGAAACTAAGTCTACCAGCCTAGAGTATATTATAGGACAATGGATGCCTGGCCATTCTGCTGTAACAGCATCATCTTGAACCTAACAGTGAACACAATGGCCTTAAAACAACACACTCAACTCAACAATACTTAGGCAAACAACCGTGACCTCCAGACAAGCAACATAGGCAAACAATAGAATAACTTCCAATCAAAATCACATACTGCCTCTTATCATCCAATAATTGGTGAAATTATGAATGAAATATGTTTTAATTTATTTTTTGATTAATTTGTTTTGGTGTTAAGAAATAAATAAATGGATCATACAGAATGATGTTGAGAAACAAGATTTTCATTAAATGAAAGCTGTTATTTTCAAGATGATGAGTGGAGGTAATCTTGATGTATCGTGTAGCAAGTGTCAAGGTCACCTTGCATCAATTGAACAGTTACATGTAGTTGGATCAACTAATCGTCATCACCATATTGAAATTTATTGTGACAGAAATATGTGAAGTATTAATTTTGTAGTCATTTGAACCAAATGTGGTCTTAAACTGACACCAAATTTGTTAACAGTCTGGAGCATAGGTCCAAGAAGTGGTCAGTGTGCCATATATTTACATGGGTCACTTAACTATTTTCTTGATGCCATGCAACAGACTGTCAATGTTCATATGGAAGTTCAAATTATTATTTTGTATAAACTGTCATTCATGTTTTGTATTGTGTACAAAGACCATATTCTTGATAATTGTATGATGACATAGAAATTATGTCATGTATGTCTGGTGGTTGCCATATGTGTGTGGAAAGGGGACTATTTTATGTGTGTAAGGATACTTCAATGTAATTTGCACATTTCTGTCGTCATCCAAAAATCTTCATCGTCACTATACATATCATCATTGCTCATCTTCATCATTATCACTTCAGGGTGCATAGCTTTCATTTTGCATTTCATTTTCCTTCTATTATTGAGTATTTAATGTCAACATTTTATCATGGATCTTGGCTTAGCTAATTCCTGTGATGTTTGAATAATACACTTTATTAAACCCTTGTGGGACTTACTGATTATGGCCTTTTTGGAAATCAATATATCTCAACTATTTTGGTAATCTCAATAAACTACTCTTTAATATATGGTATCATTACATAGCATGCTTTGGTTTTTACACATATTTATTTAAATTGTGACTACAGAGCATAAGTGTTCGTCTAAGAGATAATGAAAGTGTCTCGATCTTCCAACAATTTAGTCTCACAAGGGTTAGATTTAATAATTCATAATTGAATGTAGTCTTGGTTATTATAGGCAGGTAGATGCCTTATTTGTGCAATGAGTTATACCTTCCTTAAACTGTATATTACAAGTACATGTATATCTTATCTTCTAGCGCTTTATTACAATGTAACTATAAACTTGGGTGGATTTATGGTAAATTCACTTCCAAAATTAGTGTACAAAATATAGATATATATTATGAGATATTCAATGACTTTTACTGTTGGTCTGTTAAAGCGATTAGCTTAGAATTTAGCTTTTTTAAGCTTGGTCAAAATTTGGAAATTATTGGATTGTATCCATACATGAAAATCGAAGGGTTATCAATTATATGTTTGACATCCTGTTGAAAGCAAATCTCATATTTAATATTAAATGGCCTAGATGAACTACTTCACCTTCAGCTGTAAATAGTTACCTTTCCTCTCTAGTTGGCTTATAGATGGCTAATATGCAGAAATTGTAAGAAGGCTTGGCTGCCTACAGCATACCGGTTTGCATTTATGAATAGGAACTTAGTGTGGAAAATCTTTTTATATGTGAATGTGTACATTAGTGATATGGTATATACGATGTAGAGAGGTAGCAGGGTATATGGGCTATGTTGTCTGATTGTCATTTATATCTGGCATCTTTAATGAAAAAATCAATTCAAGTGGTGCTTCAGTTTAAGCTTTTTTGTTTCTCTCGAACGCATATGCAGGTAATGAATAACACATTTATTCATTTATTACATTTCTTGCTTTTAGTCATTTTGTACAATTAAAATCAAGGATCATAACTTTTAGAAGTACCCTGGGCTCAGTGGCTAGTACACTACACTCTGACAAAAATCTATTATTTTGGAGTCATCAGAGAGCTATGCTTTGATTGGCTTAGCAGGTTGAAGGGGTGTATTGCTTAATCAAAGAGGGAGACCAACACAAATCTTAACTCGGGTTTTGAGGAAGGAGTATAACTTTATAATATTTGATACTTTTGCACAATTTTTTTGTTGTCAAAAGGTCATTGTATTTTAGGCAGTGACGTGACTAAAAAGTAATATTCATTATTGATGTAAGTAATTTTGGATAATATTAAAATTTGTGATACATGCTGCAGACCGCATGTTTGAACACAGAAAATGTGCCTTGTAAAACACAGTTTCATTCTTTAAGTTTGATTCTATCTATTTATCATTCTGTACAAACTTAGGCTGTCCTGGGGGTCATGACATGTCCAGATGTATCATCAATTTGTTTCACAATTTTTGTTAAATGTTATTGTATTGCATCATCAAGGCATATATAACAATTCATTATAAAGACCATGAAGATACACTAAAGTAATGGCCCCCTGCTTGAGCAGGATTTGATGAAGTGTAAAGCATTGTAAAAAATTAATGTAAATATTACAGATAAAAAAGCTCTTTGAGAGTCGACTCCTACGTAGTATATTAGGTAGAAGTAGAAATAATACAATTATTAATAGAATACTAGGCACAGGGATAATAAAAACTTTTTTTTACTAATTTTCACGAATTGTGCATCATTATTCGTGAAATGGTCCCTTGGAAATGAAATGTCTGTTGCTGATATTTGTATTCTTATTAAACATGTGCCTAGTTTCGACTCTTAGAGACTGAGTACTAACAGTTAGAAATTATTTAAGTCAGGACCTGAAGCAGAGTTGTAGGAAATATAGTATAAGTGCATGAAAAATGTATGATATTTAAAATATCTTTTCAGAAAAGCTGTATGCTGAATAAAGTGTAAGATAATTGTAGTTCTTGTGTCTGTTCGTACTTTTAGCTTAACTGGTGACCTTTTGTCTGCCTACCCATCTTTCTCTCTGTCAACAAGAATGATACATTTCCAAAACAGTACTTCCCATTTTGTTTATTACCAAAAATAATGCTCAATGACTCCCGATATAAAGGCAAACAACCAATATACTCATACTGTGAACTGAGATGCTATTAAATTTCAAGTATATAACTTCACTGGTCCCTACCTGGTTATAAATGGATGAACTTCTGTCGAACAAAATTTTTATTTTCACCAAGAAGGTAAAGGACGGGTGTCATTAAGGGCCTTTTTTAGCCCCCAAAGATATCTGATAATAATGCATATCATATTGAAGAAAAATCATTTGTGCTTTATAAAATTACAATTTCAGCGAATTTTGAGCTTTGATGTTCACACAACAGTCATTTAAAGATCATATACCATTTTTGGTGTTTTTACAAAAAAAATCTTTATTTATTGTAGTCTAAATAAATAATATATAAATATAAACCAATTTAAATATAACATATGAGAAAGTTGTGGCACAGTAAAGGATATGTACAGGATATCATATGATTTTAAATGATTTTATCTTCGAGTTGATATCAATATCTTGCCAAGTTAGCACAGCGAATTAGCGCAGATATTGATATCAATAAGTAGATTAACACGATATCATGAAAATTGATAGAATGTTCCATTTATCCAATAGTTTACCTATAAAACTAAACAAAACATATCAAAACAACATCCATTCATTCATTCATCCCCGTGATGTCATGAAACCACTATGTAACAAAACACATCATATTGGTGGTAGTTTCCAAATCCCTGGCAAAAGGTGATATCTGTGAAATATTTTCCGTATTCCACAGATATCACTTTTTCCACGCATTTGCAAAATATCATAAATATGTTTTCATGTTACCCAACTATGGGATAAAGAATAACAAATAGGTAAATAATTGAATTACCACTCCAAAAATATTAAATATGAGGGTTTAAAGAAAGAATATTGAATATGAGATTCAAAAAGTAGCAACTCATGTCTCACATAACCCAAACCCCAGATCCTCATATATATACTGTGTATCAATGTTATTTACAGGGAGGATTAAATATGGATAGCAATGGTCAATATGATATTTCCAGAGGGAATATCTTCTTTCTCCTAGAAGCGGAACCCAAACTCAGTCATGACATAGAAGCTAACTTTTGCAATTAATAGAAACTTGCTTTTATTTTATTTTTGTGTTCTATATTTGAGATGAAATAATATGAGATTCATTTCTACAAGAGGATGGAATGAATGTGAACTTGTATATTGAACTATACTCCTTTTCTGAATAAATAGAACAACATTTTATCCAAGCCAATTAAGAAAACCAAGGCCAATGAGTGTAATTTATGCCCAGTTAAACTAACACAATAACAACTTTTTGTCTGGACTCACTTATTATGTAAGAATGAATTGTATTACTGTTTACTGCATCTAATGTCAAGTATACTATCTGTATTTAATTTCAAATGCCTATCTCACTTATCGAAGGTATGCAAGAAATTTTATTTTGAAACAAATTCAGCACAACCAAAACCATGTCCACATATATGACAAATCCAAGATGGCTGCCACAATTTTAGATCCATGCACATGTGAAGAAGTCCCATCCCAAATGAAATCGGCTCACATATCAACTCTATTCCTACATACTTTATATTTGTGGTAAGGCTTGTGATCTAGGTAAACTTAGCATGTGCATGTACCTCCTATCTTCTGAAGCTAAAAACAGAAATAGTGACTTCAATTGAGAAAAATGAATCTTATGGGCTCCATATACATTTTGAATGGCTGTCCGGCTTAAGTTAGATACTACTGATAATCTGAGATTGAAAATTATGTCAAGTTTAGTCCTCAGCCTCTCATGACCGATAACTTTGAGGCAATTGTGTTGTTACTGCAAAAACCTCTATTTCTTCATCACAAATCTACCATCTTTTGCATCTGTCAAAACCCCTCCTTTCATGTTAATTTTCAGACTTTTGCTTGTCCCATCATTAAATATATATATTCAACTTGTTATTCAGAACATTTTAAGAACTTTTCATGAGGTTTTTTATTTTCACACTTTTGAAAAAATGACTAAGTCCGAGAATGGCCTCTTAATGGCATGTCCCCTTTGTATCCAAATATTTTATCCTCATGTTATTAGTAGCATCCGGATACTGAATGGCGAATCAGTCACGAGTATATACATCCCAGGGCTCCTATAATCGAGTGAGAGTTCCTCACTTCAGCAACCAGGACATAATGAAATTCATTGATAATGTTCTGGTAATTGAAGTGAGGAATTCTCACTCAATTATTGGAGCTGATGGAAATATTTGCTCGGGCCTAGATTTTCAATAACCGTATGCTACTATTCACATTTGGGTAAAATATTTGAATACACATTGACCTCCTTGGTGAAAATGATGAAAATTTTCTCCAACTGAAGTTCATCCATTTTGTTATAACCAGTGAATTTACTAGCAGTGCTCTCCTCACATTGAAATCTCTGAAGCGCAGTACTTGTATGTATTTTGTAAAACCAAAGTGCTCCACAATGCCATTACATGCGCTGCGCCTCCTAAAATTTTACAATAAAGAAAATTCTAAAATGTTGCACAAAAACTACAAAATCGTATAATGCTGTCCAAAAACTATTACAAATAACTATATAAAATGTTGCGCAAAAAAATAAAATCCTCCACACAAAAAATTCATGGGGAGGCACTGACTAGTATGTTGCCATGTGGACTACCAGACTTCTTAATAAAAATTCAAAATAACCCATACATATTACAAAAAATCTCTTTTACCATAACACAAAAGTACAGCCTTGATTTGAGCTAAAACTATAACATTCCTTTGCGTCAGTGTCACCTCAATAAATATGGTGCTTTGTTAGAAGGTTAAAGTTGTACACATTCACTTCAGTCCCATATTTCCAACCTTCCAGTATTCTTTTTGGATGCAGATGGGATGTACACTCGGAATAAGTGTAAGTTGTCATTCATTATTTTTTGTGACTGAAATTCCCTACAAAATTCTCGTGCTCATCACCCGATTTTCCTAATTTTGAGAGAATATGTTTTGGGAAACAATAAATCAGTCTGTCAGTGGGGCAAATTAGAATGTGGTGTCCGATTACTACAGAAGTTGATTTTGAACCGCAGACATGGCTTCAAAATCACCAAAGTCGAGTGACATTTTACATTTCATCCAGGCTTAGCTTATAGAATTGTCTGCTAGAAATCAGCGATTACTGGCAGGGAATTCTGGTTAAAGCTGGATTGTAGTGAATCCAAAATGTGGTGAATTTTTCATTAGACATTGCCTGGACAGCTGGCGGGATAATATTCAAAGCAACAACTATGCACTGGCATTAGCCATGTCTCGAATAATAGAACATAATTTATATAATAGTACAACAAAAACAGATTCCTGGTTGATTACCAAACAGCAAAAAACTTAAACAATGTCTATATATTGTTGTATGTATAGTTATATATTTCAGTATCCAAAATCACTGTGATATTATTTCTTACATCTTGAATCATCAAAATCTGGTATTCTTGATAATTCATCTGTACAGCTGTACACATCACTGCATTCTATTTCCATATATAAGTTCTTCTATTTTAATATTTTTTCCTCCCTTTGAATTTACCACCAGAGTTTGATTTTCCACCAGAGTTCGTTTTTCCTGAGTGCATTTTCCCAGAGTTCATTTTCTTTCTAAAACCTGTAGATTCTTCAGTGTCGTCTTCATCAGGCTTTCTTTTCCCTCTCTTACCATGGCTCTCATTCATCTCCTGAAAGTTAAGAGATGTATGTATCATGTTAGTAAATCCTGATCATGTAAAGAATGCTCAAAATGGCGAAAAACTGCATGATTTAAAGAATTTTTGGTCAGAGGGGGGGGTGCACAAGCCCCCTGGCTACGGGCCTGATACATTATGCAGAAATAGGATTAATGTACTGCTTATTTTGAGAAAAAAATGTCAGCATTTTTTTTAATGGCTATGTACAAACTACGAGTATAACCTATGACATCATAAATCTGGCAAATAAACCAACTGACGGGTGTACCAAAGATGGCAGGACATAAAACAATAAAAATCTATTTATCATGGCATTACAAGTTGTCTTATCAAATGTGAATATTATTCCAGTTAAATAAAGAACATGTCTTACTATTTCAATTATGAGTTACAAAATGTCATTTTTATACTTTCAAAAATGAATGACAAATGGACCAGGATAACGACATCTGGAAATAATATTGCGGAACTGCACCCCGGTACATACCATCTTAGCATATCTCTGAGCCTCTGTCACACGCTCCATTAATGACATCACTTCCTGTTCCTCTGTTTCATATAAGGGTAACTTTTTGCCAATTAAATGTTCAATTCTTTGAAATAACTCCACATCATATCTGAAATTATATTACATTGTAAAACTACAATTTCCCATATGACTTTGATACAGTCATATAGAAATACGTTTTGTAAGTTTGTTCTGATTTTATTAAACAAATATTCATTTATTCAAATGTACACTCTACTATTCAATGGGACCATGTTCATATCATGAAAACATATATTCATTACAATCTATAGTCGAATATTCATGTAACCGATCTTTATTCCATTTATCATTTTTCTCTCCATTTTTGGTCTTGATTTGATTTTGATCTTATACATTATGATAATCGTTACTTACATGAATTAGAAGCAACAAAATCTTTTGAAAAAAACTTACTGTGATACAACAGTGATAGCCTTCCCCGATCTACCTGCCCTGGCTGTTCTTCCAACCCTATGTATGTAGTCCTTGGAGTGGGTGGGGATGTCTAGGTTGATCACAACATCTACATGAGGGATATCCAAACCTCTGCAAAATAAAATAAGGTTATTCCCCTGGAATATTCTCAATACAGATGAATAGTTTGCTATTGCCTTTTATTACATTAACAGTTCATTCATAGTTCAACCTTAAATGCAATATTTGTAACTAATAAATTGATCTTGCATTTTGATTTTTACTTTAAACATATTAAACTCTTCAATCTTAAATCAAGTCTCCACCCTATTTCAGGGGGATGGGGAAACCCATAATCGTTCAATACTTTTCTGTTAGCACATACCTGCTGGCCACATCTGTTGCTATGAGAATAGATCTGTTCTTTGCTTTAAACTTGTTCAGGGATCCTAGTCGCTTTGACTGAAATACAGTAACATAAACATACAAGGTTTATGGAGGAGTTACTTCAAGTTCAGGTATATCTTGATGTTATGCCTAAAGGGGACAACTGAGTATAAAAGGAAGATGGAATGGACTGGAACAGCCAATTTAACTGTTGAAAATATTTGAATCACTGAAACCATTAAAAGCAAATACCAATGACAGATACCCATAAGCACTTAGGAATAGTGTTAGATAAACACTTAAACTTTAATGCCCACATTGACCAACTGATTAACAAATTGACAATTTTAATGAGGCCACTGAAGGCTCTTAGTAAAAAGTTATCAAGCAAACATCTTGAAACAATTTACAATGCTTACTTCATACCCCACTTAGATTACTGTGACATAATTTACAATAAAGCATCAGCTCTTAAGCTCCAAGCTCTCGAAAGTCTGCACTATAGAGCAGCCTGCCTAGTTTCAGGTGCTATTCATGGGTCAAATTCTGATAAGGTACTTTCTTCTCTAAATTGGAAAAAGCTGGCATCGAGAAGAGATGAGCACTTAAAAATTTTTATTTTTAAGGCACGCTTTAATGCTTTACCTCCCTTCATCTGTGATGTGGTGAGAACTTATGAAATTGTTCACACTAGAAGGCTGAGAGATCAGCCAGATTATCAGATTCCATTACATACTAGTGTCTCAACCCAAAAATCTACAATCTTTAGTGCCATCTCAGCTTGGAATGGGCTTCCACCAACTATCCGAGTTGGGCAGCCAATCTCAAGATTTAAAAGATCAGTCAGGAAGCAAAGGAGCCATGCATCCTTACCCACATCCAAAATGGAGTATACTATGCCAAGACAAACTGAAATTACTTTCAACAGACTTAGAGCTGGACTCTTGCTTAATAGCCATTTACATGCCCACAATTTTGCCACAATTAATGATCCCAAATGTCCATGTGGTGCAGCTCATCAAACCACTTCTCATTTTCTAATCAAATGTCCACTGCTCATAAATGAAAGGGAATTGCTTCTTGCAGGACTCGACGAACTGGAATGTCTGCCAGATTTCAGAAATTTAACAATCTCTAAGAAATCAGATACACTTTTGTATGGGGATACCAACCTTAGTGATGTGATGAATAGCAAAATTATTGAAATCGTGGCTCACTATGTCTCAACAGCAATCACAGTTTTAAACAGCCAGTGAAACATTCTAAATTCCTTTGGGAACCTTATGGGTGGGATGGGGAGCAAGCATACATATAGACTGAACATACTACGTGGTTTTTGTATTTTGTATTTCCTGTATTATATTTTTAATATTTACTATGCCGATAATGTTATTAAGTTAACAAAGGCATACTTTTGTATATCAATAGCAAGGAAATTGAAATAAATAAACTGAAAAAAAAAAAAAACCATTAAAAGTAATTTAATTCATTTTTGCCCATATTTTGATATTTCTAGGAAGTACCAGATAACCCATTTTGTAACAGTGATATATGAAACCATGAAGAAGATAACTGTGATCTGAGATCTGAGAATCATATGGTTTATTTCAAGCAATTTCATATTATTTCTCTGGTCATCTAACATTTCACATATTACAAAATACACTCAGGTGCTTCAGTAACCCAGATGGGAGTAGGTAATTACTAGTTTCATCACCAGGTGGCTAATTCGGGTCAGATCAGAAAGTTCCCTTGAATACCAGTATTCACCAGATTTAGTGGTTCTATGTTCATATTACCCTTATTCATCTGATAGTTATGCAAATTAAAATATGTCCACTAAAAGAAAATGTTATCTGTCCAATACAAGAAAAGATATTTCACCTAGAGATCCCACTTTCAAAGAAAATTACATTTTCGCAGTTGATAAACACGTTTTAAAACCACATTTTTGGTGTAATTTTATATGTAGATTTGAAATATGATATCACTTTGACTTTGACTTTGAATTAATTTTTCTTGCACCTAGTCTATAAAAGAAGTTTTCCACTTTAAACTATGTTCCTAAATGAGGAGCAATTACTGAATAAAATAATACAAGTCAAACATCACAGTAAAACCTGTATATCCAGATACCTCTTTAATCTGAACATTCTTCAATGTGATCGTTTTCTAGTCCTATCTTTAAGAATCTGCCATAGATTTTCACATGTAAAGAACATGAAATCTGAACATCTGCCAATCTGAACACTTTTGGCCACTAGGCAATTGAATTGGACAGATATTACTGAGTGTACTTATAATTTTGGAAAAAGTTTACCTGTGACATTTGGCCATGAAGTGGTATTGCTGTGAATCCAAGGTTACGAAGCATCAGTGCTACCCTCTGTGTGTTGGCACAGGTACTACAGAAGACCATGAAACTGTTGCCAGCCAATTCATTGAGAATGTAAACCAAGTAGCAGTCCTGTAATATATGGTTAGTTGAGACATGATTTGTTTATTTCTCCTCCCGAAAACACAATCCATATTATGTTTCACTTGATGGTGAAAGCAACAGAGCTGTTGTAAACTTTATATTTTTTTTTCTTTATATGACTTTTGACAGGTTAGTTTAGAATGAATACAAGTTGACAGTACATGCTATTCACTCACCTTAAATTTGACAGGGATGAACAGGTAACTCTGTTGAAGTTTGTCGACTGTCTGATATTTACTGGATACCTCCACCTTCACTGGGTCCTTGAGAGAGGCCCTTTGTAACTTTTGTACCTTTTTGGTCATTGTGGCAGAGTAGAGATATGTGTTACGCTCCCTCGGGAGAACTTTCAATATTTTATCCAGCTCAGCTTCAAAATCCATATTAAGTATCCTGTCAGCTTCATCCATGACCTAGAAACATTTCTGATGGCTTTATATGGGTCAATAAATCAACCCATGTGCTTTTTAAGACATCCCCACTTCTAAACAAAACGTTCACTCTTCACAGTTGATTTTTGTGGATCGACTGACTGCACTGGATGAAAAGAGCATCTTAAATATAACAAAGAAATTGCACTTACCAAATATTTCAGAGATCTCAAATTGAAACCCTTTGTGTTCTCTAGGTGGTCAACTAATCTTCCTGGTGTGGCTGCAAAAATAGAATACAGGGCATTAACATGATGATATTAGAATACAGGGCATTAAAATGATGGTAATGGAATACAGGGCAATAACATGATGGAAATAGAATACAGGGCATTAACATGATGGAAAAAGAATACAGGGCATTAACATGATGGAAATAGAATACAGGGCACTAACATAATGGTAATAAAATACAGGGCATTAACATGATGGAAATAGAATACAGGACATTAACATGATGGAAATAGAATACAGGGCACTAACATGATGGTAATAGAATACAGGGCAAACAAACAAACAAACATCAACATGGTGGAAATAGAATACAGGACATTGATGGTGGAAATAGAATACAGGACACTAACATGATGGAAATAGAATACAGGACATTAACATGATGGTCATAGAATCCAGGACATTGACATGATGGTAATAGAATACAGGGCATTAACATGATGGAAATAGAATACAGGACACTAACATGATGGAAATAGAATACAGGACATTAACATGATGGTCATAGAATCCAGGACATTGACATGATGGTAATAGAATACAGGGCATTAACATGATGGTAATAGAATACAGGGCATTAACATGATGGTAATAGAATACAGGGCATTAACATGATGGTAATAGAATACAGGGCATTAACATGATGGTAATAGAATACAGGACATTAACATGATGGAAATAGAATACAGGACATTAACATGATGGTAATAGAATACAGGACATTAACATGATGGTAATAGAAGGTGAGGTGAATAAAATTAATTTCATTAAATATTATTCTAAGTTCTAATAATACCAAAAATTATTTGATCAATTATTTAAAAATGTTACTCCAAACAAACACTAATTGAAGTGTCACATCTGTAATCTAATTATACGAATACTATGTTATTGTTTGCTTTTTATTTTGACAATATTTAATTATCAATACAAACAACAACAAAGAGCTAATATTAACCAATAGAACCTGAGTAACAGGTCCTTTGATTACATTTCCCTACCAGAGAGATTTTCATATTTTTCTTTTCTTAGTCCTGTTTATTAAAACTGGGTCAATTGCTATGAGAAGTGCAATCATATTACTTCTCTAGCAATAGACTTTAAAAGACAAAGCACATTACACAGTTTGATAAATGATCTTGTTAATCAACACTAACGATTCTTCGTGATTCCATTTTTCTTTTTCTTTTTGATTTAAAACACTCAATCAGGTGTTCTTTTTATGTAATGTTTAAAATATTGCATTATGAAATGTTTCATTAAATAACTTAAAATTGAACTTGTAGGACTGTGGCATCACAAGGACTCCATTAAGAGTCTCTGGTTATTTAACACCTTAGAAGGCTGGTACAGGCCATGAATCCCTATGCCTGAGAGGGCTAGTACAGGCCATGAATCCCTATGCCTGAGAGGGCTAGTACAGGCCATGAATCCCTATGCCTGAGAGGGCTAGAACAGGCCATGAACCCCATAAAGCATGGTTCACACTGACAGGTCTTTTTCACCAGACTTTTTAAATCCTCTGGAGACGAGTGATGACCAAAAATCTATTTTCACGACACAGGCCACGAATCCCACAATGACAAATTATCTCTGAAGGTAGAACCCAAATACACAAGCTCAAATATGAAGAATCATAAAACTTTGTATGAGCTTGGGAAACTATTGTCGATTCTAAAAGTATTAGTGCTGCTAATTTCGCCTCTTCTATAATTAGACAAGGCATATCACATAAAATGTCACCATTTACCACCAAGGCTAAACACCTCTCATAACAAATGTAACAATATGTCATCACATTTTGGTGGTCACATAAAACCTTACAACAATGCTTACCGATAACCACATGTGGTTTCTTGGCCAACAGCAGGGATTGTGACATCATGTCTATACCACCTACGATTACCGCTGAAATGAACAAAGATATATCTCAAATTATAAAAATATGTGGTCCAGTATATTTTCATGTATTCTCCAAAGTTGATGAACAGAATCAGTTCCTTCTTCAAAGTGAAAGAGGAAGAACATATGAACTTGGTTGTAGCATTACAATTTTGAGTAATCAACAAAACCTAGTACTATATTTTAACCTCTGTTTCACACTTTAAAAGATGACCACATGCCGATCACATCAGGCATGCAATATCCACTTACCACATTTTATGCCTATGGTTGATCCCAGTGCCTCAAACTGTTCACTTATCTGGAAGGCAAGTTCTCTAGTGGGTGTCATGACAAGGGCAAACAATCTCTGTGGATTTGCTAGCAATGCCTGTAGTATAGGGATAGCAAATGCCCCAGTCTTACCAGAGCCTGTCTCTGCAAGTCCTATGATATCCTTACCTGGAATATACAAGATGGTCACACATCAAGTCTCTCGTTGTACAAGTTGATTGATGTGAGATGATTCATGGATTATACACTGAATTTATTTATACAAAGGGCATGGATATTAAATATAAATTTCAAATGCTCACTTTTGTGCAGAAAACTGTAACAGAATCTGCAGACTTTCCATTTCCTAATTTTAAAACATTTTTTTCAAAAGAGAACAGATATACACACCCATGATACTAGATACAAATATAATTTAACAATCAAAAGGTTTAGAGCTGAAACTGGTCGAAAATCAATTGCGTTTAGAGGAGGAATGCAATATAACTCACTGGCTATAGACTTTAGTATGTTCAGAAATTCGAAAAACTGATAAAGAATGATCTTATCAGTAAATACCAATGATAATCTATGCTTCCATTTTTCTCTTTCATTTTGATTCATTTAGCTTTTGATCTATGACTAAAACATTACTATTAAAAATTATGACCCATGGAATATATACGCCCCTTGAGGTGTCTTTTTCATGTTATTGGTGAAATGTTGTATGATGTAATTTTGAATGAATAAATTGAATTGAATTGAATTGAATTATCACACATAGTACTACTACATATATCTATTTATGCAAAGGGCAAACTGTTGTCAGACTGGTAATTAAGCAGCAATGTACATCTAAGAGTAAACAAACCTTCAAGAGATACTGGTATAGCTTCTTTTTGTATTTTGCTGGGGGTTTTCCACTTGAGTAATTCACATGCTTCACATAGCACATCTACCACACCCTACAAAACATTAAGCCTTTCAGTAAATATCTACATCTATTATCAAAAATATAAATACAATGTACATGATAATATTTTAAATGGAAAAAGATGCATGTACTTCTTCCCTACCATGTGACCACGTTTAAAAGGGATACAGGCTACAGTGAAGTTGCAAAAGGAGTGGGTATTCTCTATTCTCTATGTTTGTCTATAAGGCTTATTTTCATTCTATGGCCATTTAGAAAACATGCTCAAAATAGGAAACATGCCAAAAATCACTCGATATGAATCCCCAAACTTTTATTTTTGGAGCTATTTCAAAGATATTGATGTCCACACTTACAACTCTAGAGTTTAGAAGAATGGACATAGTAAGAGAGGGTTTGTGGGGCTCGTGCAAACTCCCTTTGCCGAAAATCCTCTTTTGTTATTAAAATTTTTGGTGTAAAATAGCCATAAAATCATGGTCATTTGAAACAGACCAATGAAACTTAGTAGAATTTACAATATTCAATTGTATCAAATATGATTTTAAACCAATGTTTGATGACTGAGTTATAAACATTTGTTTGGCCATGGGTTACCTTTTTTGGCCCACCCTGTATTTTGTGCTTTTTCACGAGATTTGATGCATACTTAAACTCCAGCTTAGAGTGAAAAAAGTATCCTAACCAGAAACAAAAAGTCGTTATCATGGAAAAAAACAAAATGGCAGCATCACCTATGCAGACTGACTGTGCAGAAATTAGCAAGTGTGGATAACATGAGTGGGACTGGGAAGTGTAGAATTAATGGTCATTTTTGAAATTAGAATTTGGGAGAACTGTTGGGTCTTCAATTATGACAATTAATGTGTTTTTGACACCTAATAAAAAGGATATAACAGAAATAGTTGCTTACTTGGGTCTTTAGTGATACATTTAACCTCTTCCCAATGTATTTTTTGAATCAGTTGCTTATGTTCATCATTCTCAGTTTCAGCATATCAATACAGATTATTTTTACTGTACAATACAATGACACCAACCATACCCAGTGGTCGCTTTGAATGCACTGAATAAACTAGCAACGGTGTAGATATCAATCGTTGCACTCTCCAGGGATTTCAAGAGGGGCAATTTGGGAGGAACAAGGTCAAAATATATTATATACGCTTCAAGATTCTTCAAAACCAAAACCTGACAACACTGCAACACTTATGTGGTATGTTTTCTCTGTTTACGAAAGCTTTGAAAGCAGTATGGGAGAAGTCTCTATCTATCGCACAGATTGGAGTAAGTGTTCTGCGAAGGATAGGTATCAACTAAGATTTTCGACATCTAAAAAGTCACTCGACTTTTTTGTGATTTTGAATAACAGAAAGCATTCTGAAGTTTCAAATTGGCGCCACGTTTAATTTTTGGCATCCGCCTAATGTATACCACTTACCTTTTATTGATTCTTTCATAAGTTTCGTCATAAACTCAGTTTGACCAGAAGTATCTTTGTTGCCGCTAGATTCTTAAAAAAATGTCCCTTTTCTAATCACCCGGATGTGCAGTTTTCTTGGACTCGCCCAAAACGAAGGGTGTCAAACTCAAGATGGTAGAGATGCAGACATGTCGCCACTCTCAGAGAACCTATTCCATAATTTCAACATTACTACGCGGTTTTACAAGCGAAAAGGATAAGGGCAGGTTGTATATAGGACTGGACAAGATGAAAATTAATATTCTAAATAGATGGCACCCCTTTCGAAATAAGATAAACTGAACCTATCACGTCACCGATTTCTTAGAAGAAATTACGTCAGAAAAACAAAAGCGCAGTAGAGAATTTTCGCATGAAATGTTGAAAAGCAAGCCCAGTTTTTTATGGGAATATACAGTAATTAATAGTTATGTGTACAATGTTACCGAGTTCGATGGTGCATAAGTTAGGTGGTGGATCATTTTGTAAGTACGACAATGTGAATTCAAGCGACTGTTACTTTTTGGAAGGTTTTTTGCTAAAAAGTCAAGTGATTTTTTAGATGTCGAAAATCTTTGGCTTTTGGATTGGAAACAAGATTCAAGTATATTTCAAGACCGACTCACGTTGGGCTATTTATCACTATTGCCTCAGTTGTTCATCTAGTTTTACGTATCTTAGATGCTTTATCATCTATGTAGATATAAAATATTGTCTCCAAAATTGTTGTGATATGCGATAATTGACAGGTCAACTGAAAAGAATGTGACGGCTCTGGCACGTGACCATTCTCGTTCCCCAGCGGGAGGTTAAATCAATTCAAATTTACCAACCAATTAAAATTTCAACTAATCAACGTTGAGATAAAATTGATTATTATGTGATCACCATAGATCAAAATCAGGTCAAGGGTCATCCATCGTGCCATTTGCATTTTGGGATCGTACCAGTACATAAAAAAACAGTGAAATCATGTCAAAAATACAACACTTAAGGTACAGCTGGAAAATAACATTTTGGTAAAAAATTGCTATACCAGCACATGTTATTTTCTGGTACAAAATAAAGTATGAAGGCATGTGTCAATTTCCTTGCTTTTTTCAGGAAAGTATCATTACATTGTCTTAAATTAGAATACCTGGTAGGAGTTCAATGGGAACTCCAGGAAATTCTGATATTTCACACTTTATATTTTTCCGAATTTTCTTTCAGTTTCCAGACAACACAGGAGCTACCATTGACCTGTTTCCAAGTTTTATACTGAAAGTAGACAGTGTAATGATACTTTCCTGAAAAAAGCAAGGAAATACACATCTGCCTTCATACTTAATTTTGTACCAGAAAATAACATGTGCATGTATAGCAATTTTTTTACCAAAATGTTACTTTCCAGCTGAGCCTAAATTGAGGCTGATTGATTGGATACGACAAGACTCTACTCAATACAGCTGTGCAAGTTACAGTCACCAAGATGAGCTAATATCAGATGATATTCGGGAATAACCTTTTATTTTTTCATTCTTGTTTCCAATCCTAAAGCCTAGTTGATACCTGTCCTTCACAGAACACTTACTCAAATCCTTGATCTGTGGTTTTTCAGACTTGAGAATTTTCAACAATTTCAAAGTCGATAGATTCATTCTTCCTGAAAATAATTGTAAATACTTCCTTCCTATGAAGGCATTATTATCATTTGATGGGAATGAATAATTAACGAAAATGTTTCAAATCAAAATTGTAATCTGAAAGTCAGTGAAAACATGAAAAAATCACACGTGAATTTTTCAGAAATAACATGTTGTCTTATACCATTGGTACATAAGTGAAATAGAAACAAAATACACCGAAGTGACAATTATAGAGTTATCATTAGAATGGACGTACTAAACTTCACTTACCAAGGACTTAAACGTGGTAATTTCATCATTTTCTTCGGATTTTGAAATCTCTTCAGCACTTCCGGTAGCCATTTTTAAAATTTAAAATGAATGTCAAGGTCATTCGGATGTAAACAAAAGTACAGATGTTGATGAGTGAACAGTTCCAAAATAAAATATATGAAACTATCAATTTCCATATTTTTCACAGCATTACAAACACAATGCCCATCAGCTAAGCTAGAATAATCATCCATTAAATTGTCAAACATTGGATTGATTTCACACTGCTGTGTGTTCAAGGTTTACAGTTTAATGAACAAAGCACTAAACCATAGAACTGAGTAAATAGTTCCCTGTGGAAGTCAACATGTTCAGACTGATGATATCCTAAGATGGGCTGCCCTAGCTCTGAATCTTCTGAGTAGACTATCTTCTATATCTACATCAATATTCTGCAAAAGGCTAATAAGACATTAAAGCAGATAGATAGAATAGAAGCGATATAATTTGAATAGAATATAGTTCAATCCTTAACATTTAAAAATAGATCTATGGTTTGGCTACAACTCATTTCAAAATTGAAAGAAAACTCCCTGGTTAGCCAGTTGGCCAACCAATGTACCACCCTAGGAAGTCCCTTTGTACTGAAATACACTAAGGCGACTGTCAGGCTATCGCATGGACATCGTCCCTCATTACCAGAAGTGCAGTCTTGTTGCTTGCTGTTGTTGTGAGTTTTGACATGCATCAAAGCCCATCCTAGGGGTGCACCTATGTAATGTTATCATTGTCTATGGTATTTTAGTATGGTTCTGTGGCTATTAAGGTGAATGGTTGAAATAAATAATTACTGTATTTTGGAACATAGCAGGCAAAAAATCGAGAATTATTTGTGAATTGTCTTTATAATGATCTAAATTACATTCAATATAATCCCCAGTAACCCTCTAGTTGACAGAACTCTCATTTCAATATCTTATTGAAGCCAGCTAACAAAATTCTGAAACACTTATACAGACTTCAAGTTCATATTGGCAAATTGTAATGTCAGACTTTTCTAACACTCATTTCAGTGGATTAGCATTGGTGTGTTCGTTAGTCTTGCTTCAAAGGGGGGGGGGTCTAGGGTCTTGAAGCAAGACTATGTGTTTGTATAGTTCTGATGTAATTTGACCTAGTATCAAATAAGGTCCAGGGAAAAAATTTACAATTTCACTTTCTGAAAGATGTCGCTACTTATGTTTTTTAACCAAAAATAGATGGCACCCATTTAAATCTCAGTGAGATTGAGATAAGGGATCATAGTGTCAACAGGCGATGCGATATTACCTCCCTCAAGCCAATTTTAAGACATTATAGGTCTATGGAGGGGTACCAGTTCCTAATGAAGGATGGAGGCACTTTCATTACATGGCCATTTTGTTAAAACTAATCTCAAAATAACAGTCCCATGGGGTTTTATTTCAAAATCCCAAAATAAGGTCCAGGGACCTTATAGACTATTACTATGAGGGAGGGCATCTCAAAACTGAATGCCTTACTGGCATTTGAGATTCAAGGAGTTCTGAAAGAGAAATCCAGAAATATATGACACTGTCCATGCAGAAAGTACAGTTGATTCAATTTAGGGAAGCTATGGTTTACATATCACTCTTTACATTTTGTGATTTTGAAGTCTGACATGGGATACTACTCTGAGCCCTCTGCTAATGGTACATATTTTTGGGGGGAGGGGCAATGCAAAATTCAATCATTATGGGTTAGGGATTTTAAATACCCCTTTAGTCCCATTTTTAGAGGCCAGGTCACCTTGTCACATACCCCTTGGGAACCCCCCTCTGCTCATGGTATATATATTTGGGTGGTGGGGCAATGCAAAATTCTATCATTATAACACAAGTTAAGCAACAAAAACTATAATTCTTTTTTTTTAATTATCAAAGTAGAATTATTTTTTATTTGTTTTTCAAAATACTGTAAAATACTGCCATAATAAACTTTTTTGTAATTTTTGAAATTGCATATACTATCTACAACATATACTACATACATTCTATTTTGTTAACTTGGCACCTGATTCTAAAATTCAGGACCAATTGAAATGCTGTTACAGGTTTTGCAAACTACTTCACCTCTTCAGTTTAGTTAAAATATATGTACCGCAGTAGTTCTATACAGCACAACTTCACTATAACAATTTATTTTCCAAAACACTCATGGAAGAGATTTTCCTAATATTGCATTGAATGATATTTTTAAGAACAGCACACATTGCATGCATTGTGCCAAACCTCACACTTGTAAAGCAGACATATAATGTCTATGGCTATTATTATCATCTATAACTGGTGACAAGGGTGATTCATCCAGGCACTAATTAACACAATCATTAATTAAAATTATTACATGACACAAATATGTTGATTTAATGAACTGAGTATGACGACCCTAACTAAGATCACAAAATGGTAATATGTTCCTAGTATAACCCAACTGACAGAGAAAAATGCATGGACTGGCTTAAAGTTAAAGTAAATCTTTTGTGATTACTTCACAGAAATACAATGGCTTTGCCACTTCACATGATCTTCCATCATAAACCAGAAGACCATCATAAAATCTTAGTATGGGTTTCAATCTACAAGTGCTGAAAAGTATGAAATCAAAATTGGTTAACCTGGATCAAATAAAGGTGGGATGCACCAGATAAAATGTGATCTACCTATATACAGACCTTATCAATAAATCTCATTGTTCTCTAAATTGCACATGAAATGAATTGAAGATTTTTTATTTTAACATCAACCTATGACTAATTATACACATATGCCTACTTCTTTTGAACCTAAAGTAGAGGGAAATAAATGAATGTTAAAACTACATCAACCCACTTTTATTGTACAATAAATTAATTATCCAATTAGAAAAGTAGTTGAATTAAAAATGCAGATTAAAACAATTGGAAGAAATGCATATTTCATAGGGCTTATCCTACAATGCCTTTTGGTACATAAAGAATAGAAATGCATCAAATTTTGAGGAGAAATTAGTTACGCTCAATAAGAGCATAATTTTACTTCCCAAAACATATTATTGTTTTCTACTCATTCCAATTGTAATAATTATAAAATGCATAACTGCTGGAAAGATCTTGATCTCCAATTCAAAAGTTGAAATAAATGCAAACATATTCTGTTCTTCATCTGCAATAAATGCATTTCTGTGTTGACTCGATACGAATCAATAGAGGGCATATCTACCCACATTTTTATAAAACTAATTCACTAAAGTATCCTATCTAGTATCCTACAGTATAAAATACATTATGTTTCCACTCAGTCAATGTGTAACCTCTATCACAGTACAAAATTATCTTGCTACACAACTACACTAAGAATTTCTTGTATGCATTATAAACTGATAATAAACAGGATGTAATTTGTTTACTAATATGTACAGTGTACTACTAAATTTAAATCTGTTTGATAAGCTTAATAACTCCACTTATCATCTTCCAAGCATTTTCACTTTCACCTCTCATTCATATTGAAAATATAAAAATGAAAAACATTTTGTCAAGATTCACACCAAGTGGCACTTGTTCAGCCAGATAAAGCATTTATAAGCATATATAATGAGATCTGAGATTGTCCAAAGTATTTTCAGTTTAAGCACTTCAGAACTGGAAATTCGGAGTTCAAAATGTTTGGCATCAGACTAATGGGAATAGGTTTCCCATTTGCTATTGTGGATGTACAGTTTATGTTTTGCGATTGTGAAACCTTGGCTAAGTACAAGAGTTCCCCATCTTGAGCACCCGATTCGCATCTGTCGAAAATTTGGTAAGATTTTCCTAATATGGAATTTCGGTTCTTCATGAATCGTAATCGAAAGTTCAAACGTCGCTACTGTTGTTGGATCAAGTTCAATTCTGGCAAGTTCAGTTTTTTTCAGATTATTCTCCTCCAAAGTCAAATACAAAACACAACCCCTCCAGCCATAAGGTTCATTAGCGCACATTCTCATGACGTCTTGTGAGATTTTTCGAAGCATTTGACTGGGAATGAGAATTTCGCACTCTAGAGTATTGACTCTAGCCTGGTGCAGACTGGCATAGAGTTTATGGGCTAGTTCCACACACTGTTTCAACTCTGTCTGGTGCTCGAAAACCCCATAGCTATTTCGTTCATCTTCTAACATTGCCATCAGATCTTCTGAAAATACAAAATAAGTTAAATTAGTCATTCATTCTATAATTTGGTTTAAATAACAATACATTCTGGTACATCAGAATCAACAACAATTTCACTTTACTTGCATAATAATTTCAAAATGTGAAAAAATAAGCCAATAAAATTAACAAAGGTTACAGTACGAAACAATGTTAATAAACAGGACATATAGGTACTGTGCATAAAGATTTACTAAGTAAACTTAATACTGACGCAAGCAAGGTGTAAGTTCAGTGCAAAACAAGCCCAATAGATAGAGAACATGTTAAGTGAGAATGCTAACACATGTTGTTGATTATATATAAGCCTAAAATTGTTTGTAAACAAGCGCTTCATGATAATCTGTTACGTCAACAGGATCTGAGGTAACAACTCCAGGGTACAAAATATGTGTATGCACCTGTGCATTAGAAACTGTATGTTGCACTCTGAACATACCCAGTTCAGAGATAGATCTTGAAAGTGAGCTGCAAATCAGATATCAACTCGTGGTAAAAAAACATATCACACAGAAGGTAACAGGTGAAGCATATCTCAATGATACCCTGGACATATATTTTCTTATCAAGACATCATCCAAGTGCATGCACTGGACGTCATCTAAATACATGCACTGGACAACATCTAATTGCATGTACATGTACTGTGCATTTTACCTATCACCCACAGAATTATCCTAAATTTTGAAGATGCCAAAAAGCCCAACTTCAAGAGGAGAATAACGAGGTAGACGAGACAACAAACAAGTCATGTCATGATAAAGATTCTGGTTATTGGAGGATAAATCAAGATCAAAGTCAATAATTTCACTGCTATAAACTTATTAATCTGAGGACACATACAGATTGGATGACATTCTGCATGATTTCTAACTATACTCCAAGATATAGACTATCAACAACAAAGTTGTCACGTGAGCTGGACATTCTTATTGCCAGTCCATAGTAAAGACTTACATGCATTCCTTGCATGGACAATCTAAACAATACAAATAGAAAGAATGGCCAAATATACAACACACATGGCAATCACTGCACCTGATCATCAGCACGTGCATGCGCCACACATGGTACACTTAATACATACACATTCCTTGCATGGACAATCCAAACAATACAAATAGAAAGAATGGCCAAATATACAACACACATGGCAATCACTGCACCTGATCATCAGCACGTGTATGCGCCACACGTGGTACACTTAATACATACACAATAGGTCCATATCAATATACATCTCAAAATGTTACTAATAATTAAATTATTATTATTCAGTTATTCAAAAAGTTATTTGTTGCAAATTATAGTTTAAACAAAACATCCACATTTTGATTTACCAGAGCCATTCTTCATCTTATGCTTGAGAGGGATATAGTACATGGATCCCATACTCTGAACAAAGGTCTCCAGAACTAATACCTCCTTCTTCTGGAGGCCTGTGTTCAGAGAATGTGGATCCCACAATGAAACATCTATTATAATTCCATTTACCATATGTGAAATGGAGGAGATTGACTGATCTAATATTAAAGCCAAGTTCCTACATGCTACAATCTTCGTCACCTGATCTCAGACAGAAATGAAGACATTAAAGTGTTGTTCCACAGACGATTGTTCACACAAAGTCTTTCAGTGCACAAATAAGTCATTATGTGGTTATTAGGTTACTTTGACACAATGATGACATATATGAGGATATCATGAAGTGAGATACGTGCATACCGGCATCTATGACTATGACCATCTCGTACTATTGGGAAATATATCAAATACCGGCTTAATGTATCCTGGTTCATAAAGTATATATATTTTTAATTTTCATGATCAGTATGGCCTTCTCAAAAGATTTCCTTGTTTTGCAATAAGCACTACATTCACTTAGCATGTGTGTCCAGTGTAGGTTGCCATAATTCTTGGAATATGGACTTCTTTCCCCAGGTACACTTCCATATGATTTATTGCAGGAAGGTCATCAGTGCATTTTGCAATCAACAACAGTGAAACCACAAGTGCAACCGTGTACTTTAAGACTTATCCCTACAACAAACTGGTAAATGTATCCATATGTTTTCTATAATCCATTTAATAATTATTTCCATTCAACAAAGACTACAAACCTATGTGTACTTTCATTGAATTGAACAAGAATTAACAAGATCTTGATTGAGTCTCAATATTTATTTATTTATAGAAAGGTTTCTGGAAAACTTCTACAGTTGGGAACAAAAATAAATGACAGGTCGATTTTCTATCACCATTTCCTAATCATGGTCGTCTGAAACCCCATACTTTCCAATATTGCCTAGATACATATCCCTTAAAATTTGTATATTTTGCATTTTGTATAATCTCATCCAGTGATGTATGGCCTCTTGAAAATTCTCTTATTTTTAACATGGGAAATCCTCACTTCAGCAAATAGACCTGTCATTTATTTATGTTCCAAACTGTATAATGCTGGTAAAGTTGATTTGTAGGATTTTTGAGATTAATCAAAAACATGCGCATTAACAAAATACGAAGTAAAGACAAATCACCTCATAAAACTAAGTGACTTAGGAAAATGTAAATGAACTAAGAGGTAATAGCCTTAGTTATGACTGAAAAGTTATTTTGCACGTACAAGTTTTTAGACTGTTAGGGGGGCATCTGTGATTCTTATCCTAGCCTCATCAATTAACTAGGAGGTAAACATTTTTTCAGCAACCTTGAACCAAATAATGTTGTTTTTACTCTTTCATGGCCAATAGCCTAGATTTTGAACACATGTACCAGGGCATGTTTGGAACATTAATGTATTTACTTGTACAAATGTGTAATGATATCACACAAAAAGATTTTTCAAATCATTGATATCACTATGGAGCAACTCTTAATAAAAAAATAAATTACAAACCTGAAGTTTACTTATCAACTCTTTTTTTTAGTAAAAAATTGCAATTGAATGATTCAGTCAAAGTCAAAATGATGTCACATTTGAAATATACATGAAAAAGTACATCTAGAAATATGGTTTCGAAAATTGTTCATCAACTTTGAAAATTTAATTTTTTTTGAAATGAGACTTCTAGTTCGGGTTGATTCCCCATAGACCCCATGTGACAAAATCACAAAAAGTGAAATATCTTTTCTTGATTGGACAGATAATATTTTCTTTTACTGGACATATTTTAATTTAAAGCATAACTATTAGATGCATAAGGGTTATATGAAAATTTAACCACTAAAACAGATGTAATTTAGTTAAAGTGAACTTTCTACTAAATCCACCATGCTATCTGACCTGAATGAGCCACCTGGTGGTGAAACTAGTCACATATGCGTTATTAAAATGACATGTTACAAAGATAAATTAATCCTTTTAACAATTACTTACCCATCTTTTCAATAACTAAATTGCAGTATGTTGATTCCTTTGTTCTAACTCAATTTCCAAAGTTTAAACTCATGACTAATATTCACATTGTGCTCCACCTTACAATCAATACATGTAACTGCTGTTAGATTCTAAACAATGAGATCCACAGGTGTCTAAAACATATGTGCTGAATACAGGGTGACATGATCACTAAAATACCAAATGACATCATGTGACAAAAATCATGACCAACGGTTATTGATCAAGTATTGGCATCAATGAGTCATACAAACTTGTTACAACTTTTCTTATACTTAGGTTTAAGTAGCACTTAAAAGTGAAGTAGGCCAAAGATCATTACTACAAAAATAAATAAAATTAATTCAAGAAAAATATCAATTGATACCAAGTTTTAATAATTGTAAGTATAAGGGACCCAACGATAATTCTGTGTCAGAAAAAACTCCTATTTCTCTTTTTATGCTTATCTTAAGATTATTTTAAATTATGATGAGATTTTTAAAAATGGAGCCACGTGTCAGAATCAGCCGATGCAAAGTTTAATGTCTATCATGACTGACCTACATATTAATCTTCATATCATATGACTTTACTTTTCATGTCCTTGGACTTGTGGGTGAAGTAGGACACTAATTATAGCATCCTATCTATCTAAAGCACTATTACATCCTATTAATAATAGTATTATCAGGTATGTCAAAACATAATGTTTACAATTTTTAAACTGCTTTCAAGTTATTTGTCGGTTTAAAAAAATATTTAGGTAGTGAAATCCTCTACCTTTTATTGGTCCATTTAAAGCAGAATAATGCACTGAAAGGGACAAACATGCCAAAAAGTCTGCCCAGGCATATGAAGTAGCTTAAATAGCACATAAAAGCTTCCAAGTCATAGCCCAAATGACATTTTACAAATGCATATTTTTAGCTGCTTCTCCATGAATTTCTGGCAGAAATAGTAAATACTTATTTAAATGATGGGGATCTTTATTGGTTAATAGGATAACAACAGCACTTCTGACCAACATACATTTAGCAAATGACACATTTCCTACAAGTAATAAATTCTAGCAAGGAGGGCAAGGAGGATTGGAAGCCAGGGTTCAAACTCGATATTCTTTAATCTCCAACATATTTCCCTTGAGATAACCCCATATTCAAAACCTTCCGGTATACAACCGACCGTTATATGTTTCATAATTGCTAGTTTACTCCATCTTCGAAGATGGGCCTAATCCTGGGTTTTGGAACAATGAAAATACAATGAATCCGACTTATTTTTCATCCAGTAGGCCTACAAACATCACATATGCTAATGTAACAATTAATGCTTGCAAAAAGAAAAACCCTCGCATGTATAAAGCCTAGAGCATACTTTAACCAGTGTATTCCTTCGGGCGATACCTTCTTCATGGGTCAAGGCCCGGGGGTCAAGGGAGATGCGAGTCTAGGCCAAAAAGGAACAATGAATAATTGAAGGGAGCTACCTAAGAAAAAGAAGAATGAACATAAACCTTACTATTTATTAAGTTACACCAAATATTAATCATATCTAGGTATAAGATGCATGATCAAATTGATTGTCAATAATTGGGCTACAGGTTATTCTAGGTTACTTCGGTCCAAAGCCTTCTCTATATTCCGGCTTTGAGGAGGAAGATTGAGCTGCCTTGGTATTATAAATATTGTAAATCATTGTGTCACACGCACAGTAAATATGGCATAATAATATGAAATATACCTTTATGTATAGATTTGAAGAACATCAGCTCACATCCCCGTCTGAATCTATTGTTATATTTGATTTCTTTAAGCGAGAATAATTTCAAATGTTATTCACGTCCAGAACCGGAAGCCATTTTTAGCTACAGCGAGAAAATTTCACCATGTGTCAAACTCCGAAATGAAATTTTGAAATATCTAAATCCAGACAAGCAACGCTTCATCCTAAATATGATTAATATTCTTAAAAATATTTATAAATTTATTAAAAATGAGTTCTAGGTGCGTGTAGGTGCGTGTAGCACAGTACATACGAAATCCATGAAGTTTCGTCTAGCTGTAAGCTAGAGACTCGAGTAAACGAACTCCCGTGCAGTGATATATCACTGCGGCTGGCAGGTATCTCACCGTAAGCATGGTAACTTCGTAATAAACAACTGACGTGATTGGTTCTAGTCCCATGCTCAGGTCGCGTGATTGTAAAATTTAGACAATTTCATTGGTTGAATTGCGCGTATTAACTAATAAACAACACGTGCGGTAAACTATTATCAACAAAACTTTTACTCAGAATTCCTTCCGCGGTGATTTCTTCTCATATTTCAATAATTTTGAAATATTTTGACAAAATAATGTTTGGGGAACATTCATGAATACATATTTTATAAGTTGTGTGAAAATTGACCCCATATGCGATGAAAAGGGGAACTATTTTCCCCAAGTTTTGGGGATTTGCTTCATCTGCCCGCCGCAGTGTCTATACCGAGACACTGCATTGGAGTTCGTCGAGTAAATTCTAGGTTGACAGTTTGCAACTTCAGCAAATCCTGGGGAAAATTCCAGAAAATCTTTCGTTCAAATAAAAATAACCGCAAGGATTTAGATAAAAATACTCACCAGCATTTTTACAATAGTCTGTTTCGATCACCTCTCTGTTCTCCAATACACCTTCTATTGTCTGTGCGATTAACTTTCGCTTGTAAAGCTCCCGGAATTTTCCAAGAACTTTTTCCAAACCAGCCATTGTTTTTATTTTGTTCAGAGCTACACTAAACGTTCTTGTAACAGTTATCCTGTGACTAGCACCTTAAATTGTCATGTAAGTCTCTTCCTTGAACATTCATCTACTCTTTCTACCGAACTTATCCACTGAAGTGGTGTTGATCTTGAGTTATCTTGGTTTATATATGCAGCTATCTTATGTCAGTGTTATCCAGGGACGACCAGCTGATTTTGCAGCTGATTTGAGTAACCTCTGACCTGCCTCGTTTTGAGTTGACCGAATTCTCCTTATTTGGAACATAGACTCTTCCAGTTCTGACGTCTTGGAGGGGTGCAAGCATATGAAACCACTGCACAGTGCACACAACTTTGAAAACTAACTTTTGAAACCATTGCAAATCAACGAGTATGTCAATTATGTACAAATATTGAATTCTGAGGAGTTGAATATCTGTATATATTTCTGAAGGTGTATTCACCCCAGTCCGAAGGACCCTTGAAACCCAAAATTTGGCCTGAAATTAAAAAATAAGGCCTTAAAAGGCCCAGTAATGACCAAAAAGGCCCACTTTTTGGAGCCTTAAGGCCTTTTTTGGCCCCAAATTTTTTTGAAGCCCAATTTTTTTTCTGGGCCCACCCAAAGGGAGGGTGGTGGGCCCCCACTGCACAGTGCACACAACTTTAAATTGAAACCACAAACATTGCAAATCAATTAGTATGTCAATTTAATAATTAATATATTTTGGCTTATTATGTTGTATATTGCTTTGAATTAATTAATTATAGTTCATTAATCATCCTCTTGATGATAGAGTTTTCAGATGATAGAATTTTCAGCCACAATGAATTTGAAAGAATTTAATACCTTGAATTGATTTTCTTTTCTAATTTGACCTGAAATAAGATTTGTATGCTGATAGTACTCCGCATTGAAGCAAATATGACTATTCTGTGTTCTAAGATTGATGGTAAAGAACTGAAATGATCTGGTGACGTTATTGACACAAATTCTATTCACATGAGAGACTGTGTTATTTATCTTTGGCTATTTCCATCAAAGGACTTGATTTTAATATTCAAGCTGATTTTCTGCAGAATAAAGAAAAAAATAATTTTCTCAATTATGTAGTTTGATTGTTCTATATATGAATTTGATGTTTAGAATATATCAGTTGATGAAACATTAGTTAGTTTATAATGTAGTTTTGGGTCTATTGTTAAAATTATCATCAACGACCTAAGCTAGGTTTGATTGTTCTCTTAAGAATTTGATATTAAGACTATCTTTTGATGAAAAATTAATTAACTGTATTTTTGGAACATCAAAAGTCTTTGTCCATGAGGATTATCATGTTATGTGTGTCTTTTAAGTAATGTGTGTCTTTTAAATAATGTGTGTCTTTTTAGTAACATGCAGGAGGATGTATTCCAAATCAAATAAAAGACTTTCACCTGTAGTGGAATTAAATAAGTGTCAATTATTACTGAAAGGAAGGTTGAAGGCAAAGTGTGTAGATTCTAATTGAATAAACCACATCCCGGAAATGTGCAGTTATCAATATTTAAGTATAATTTAGAAAGGGTTTAAAACTGGTTTTAAAAATCAAGAGTTTGGTGCTTATATCAATTTAGTTTTATGCTTCTAACTATTAACATTTGAAAGATGAACCATCTATTTCAAGCTTATTACAGAAAAGAGGGTTTATTTTCAAGTGTTCTTTTGGATGAGAATTACATCCAATTAGCCATTAATTATGCTAAGGTTTCAAAAAACTGGGTTTAAAAATGAAGAGTTCAGTGTTTTATATCAATCTATTTTTAAGCTACTTATTGTCAACAGGAAGCAGTTTTGAATGATTAAAGGCCACTTAGAATGATAACACTTACATGCACTTGAGAATATAATAGGATGTAAATCTTATTTCTATTACTAATTAAGAATAGCAGAATAGTAACATGTTTGACCACTTTGTCTCATATTATGGTCTTACTCAATGTTATCAAATGTGAGATACTTCTGTTTTTAAAATTCCTCATAGAAATGCATTTTAAAATTTTAGTTCTGACTTCATCCTAGGTTATAATCGAAATAGAATCCAATGAAGCCAATTAATCATGTATGTATGTTCATGTATGAATATTTATTAAATTGCCTCGTAGTGTACCCAGCCTATTTTAGGCTTATGGGGCACATTGTAAATATAATACATGTTTTCTTAAAAAATTAAAAATCTAACAATATTGTTATAATTAAAATGTTATGGTATTTAGAGATCATTTACTAGAATTTATTTTTAATAAGTTAGTAATGCTAATAATGATCCTTGAGAAATATTCCTCTTTTACGAGTTGTAAATCAATTGTATAACTTTTATCAATTTTTAATCATAATTCATTTATTTTTGATTCAATTGATGATTTTGGGAAATTCAAATATTTGAAACTTAAAAAGCCATCAACCCTTTTCAATATTTGAACTTAGTTTGTTTTGAAAAAATGTTAAAACAACTTATTTATTCAGGAGAGTTAATATTTGGATAATTAAACATATCTTCACATTGTACCAGACCTTTAACAGACAATCATTCATCATTTTTCTATTTCTATTTTTATAATTTTAATGAGAGTATGGTCCAATGTAATGTCAACTCTTATCTAACAAGTGCAATTATTGTATAATCTGAAAATACATTTAAGGCACTTATTTCATGTATTGTGTGACTCATTAGTTGTTTTCATACTCATGCCAATTAACAAAGTAGCTGTAAATCTATTTGTGTCAGTCACATTTTGTTTTTATGGCTAGGGTGAAGGAGGGGACAACCATATAGTCCAGTTGCCAAATAGGAAAAAGACACCAAAGGTCGTTTTGTGGTAGAAAGTTTTTTTCTTTGCATTTTTGGATACCTTATTGTGTCTGCATAATATATTAGGAAGATGCAAAATTGTGCAGGTTGAGCATTTTTTATAAAATGCCATTGAAATTATGTAATCATTTCAGAGGTGGGCGTGGCACTTTACTTAACATATTATCATATAAAGGTTGCATCTTCACCTCAATAGACTAATATCTTAAAGTGTAAGCATGCTAGTAATAACTACAGATAGCTAGAAATGATTTATGAGCACAATGAAAAGCAATTAAATGATATATTATGTAACAATTTCAAGTGGATATGGCAATTTTGCTTCTCTACTCATTTTCACTTTTTTTAGCTGAGCTTCCTAATATTTTTGTAACAATTCCCAAGATATGACCCAGGTATTCTATGTTTAACAATTGAAAAAAATATTAACAAGTTGCAAAATACTGCAGGTTTTTATTTTTCATAATTAGGCATTAAAATTATGTAATGATTTTAGGAGGCGGCGTGGCACTTTACTTCAAAAACCATCATATGAAGGTTGTTTCTGCTCAAGAACCAAGTGTTTTATTTAAGTGTAAACATGCTAGTAATAACTTCAGATAGCTATAAATGATTGATGTGCAATATGTTAATTAATTACATAATTAATGACGTAACAATCTAAGATGGGTGTGTCAATTTTGCCAACATACCAGGGGCATGGTGCTTTACTTTACAAACCACAATATAAAGGTTGTTTCTGCACACAAACCAACTTGTGTATTGAAATTAGGATGTTAGTTATAAATTCAGCTACAGCTATAAATGGTTCATGTGTAAAATGTTAATTAATGACATCATGACGTTACAATCTAAAGTGGGAGGTTCAATTTTGTCACTGTTTTCACTTTTTTAGCAGAGTTTCTTCATATTTTTGTGACTGTTAAAGTATGTCCCAAATATATATCTTCATCAATTGAAAAGGTATTACCAAGGTTTCAAAATACTGCAGGTTGAGTATTCTTCATAAATTGGCATTGGAATTATGTAATCATTATAGATGGGGGTGTGGCACTCTCTCCACTTAAAAACACCATATAAATGTTTTCTTTGCACATGAATCGACTGATATTTTAAAATATAAGCATGCTAGGTACAACTACAGATATTTATAAATTATTTTATGTGCAAAATTATAATTAGTTACATCATAAATTACATCATTTTATATAAAACCCAGGTGCTGTATAAATCAGTGCCATGCTACAAACATGTTCCCTGACCAAACCACTGACACATGCTCAGAATCAAGGCTTTGATATCATCTGACAGGGAGATTCATTCCATAGTATGGTGGCCACAATACAAAGTTAGCAAGAGATAAGGGGCTTACTACATCGCTGTATATCAAACCCATTATGAAGTCAATGAAACTAACAACAAAAATGGTATTATTGATGGAAGCTCAGAGATTTAAGCTATGATTTTCAGAGCAATGGTACTTCATCCAGTTGATTGTATTGAATTTTGTTTACCACCAATGAAGGTGACCAATACCTCTTTGGTATGTCCCGTATATATACGGTCGTAATTTACGTAATTAACATGGAAGATAGACCCAGAAACACCTCCTATGTTCTTTTATGTGCACTTATACATAGACATATAAGTACACACCACAGCCTTTTGTACGAGTTGCGGACCACTCAGTCAAACACCCTGAAGTACTTCACGCAAACAAGCAAATTTAGTCTTGCCTGAACCGGGGATCGAATCCGGGACCTATTGCGTAAGAGGTACCTGCGCTACCACTGAGCTACACGGGCGGCCATTTTGAAGATAAAAAACAACCAGAAGCCCCACTCCTAAACATTGGGTGCAGTCAGAACCTTAGAATTGACCTATGATGACTTTAACAAGAGCTGAGTGAGAGGCAGAGTAGCTGCTATATATGGGACAGTTAAAGATATGCTTCCCCATGTCACATCAATTATGCCAGATATGGTTATTTATTTTTTGAGGTTTCCATATCCAGAACCTCCATATCTCCCGCCATATCCCGCCATACTTCCGTTAATGCAATAAAATGACTTTGCATATGAATTATTTGTATATTTTTACACCTTGTAGTATTGAAATGACCATATGCCCCTGAAAACTCAACTTGGTATAGGATGAAGCAGTTATGTACGGTCGGTTTGGATATAGGGTTCATCCCTCATGAGATATGCACATCTACCTTCGGTCCCTACGGTCCCTCAGGTAGATATGCATATATCCCTCTGGATAAACCCCATATCCAAAACCTCCCAGTTCATGACCCTTATTTATCTGAATGACATGGAATGCCTCCAAAATGCATATTAGATAGTGTAGCATGTTAGATAAGCCTGGTATTGAATGTGGACCGATTTGTTCGTAAAACAATGTTTATCAAGTGTGGATTTGGACAAAGCGTTACAATAACTTTGAAACCAGG